TGCGTCACCATGGTAACTGCTGAACATTCCGCCATACGCATACATGTAGAACTCCCCCAGCGCGAGGTTTGACTCGATGTCCCTGGACTCGGTTGCAGGTGGAGTGGAGAGAGTCTCATAAGTTCCTGAAGGTGGAGTTTCCCGTGAGCGTCCACAGCCCCAGAGCCTCCTACGAGATCCAGTTTGGACACCTGGACCGGCCCACGCACCGAAACACCTCCTGGGACTGGGCCCGGTTTGAGGTACTGAACCGGGACTGAACCAGGACTGAACCAGGACTGAAACCAGGACTGAACCGGGATTGAACCAGGGCTGAACCGGGACATAAACCAGGACTGTAAAGGACTGAACTGGGACGGAATCGGGGCTAAACCAGGACTGAACCTAGACTGTAAGAGGAGTAAACCGGGACTGAAATGGGACTGAACCAGGATGAGAACAGGATGAAACCGGGACTAATCTGGAACTAAAACCAGAATGAAAACAGGACCAATCCAGGACTAAACCAGGACTAAACAAGGACTGAATCAGGACTGAACCAGGGCTAAACCAGGATTTAAACCAGGATTTAAACCGGGACTGAACCGAGACTGAACCAGGACTGAACCTTGACTAAACCAGGACCAAACCAGGAGTAGAACAGGACTAGACCTGGCTAAATTCTTTACATATTTACATTTTAAATATTCATTAATATGTGCTGTCCCTTCACAAATAAATACGAAATAAGGACAAAACTAGTATTGAACCAGGACTAAACCAGGACTCATCTGAACTAAATCAGGTTTGAACTGGGCTCAAACCAGAAACAAATCAATGTAAGTGCACTCACTTAAACCACATCTAAACTGGGGCTAAACCTGGGAATGGGACTGAATCGGGACCTGACTGGGACTGAACCAGGACTTAAACCAGGACTAAACCAGGGGATAAACCGGGACTGAACCGGGACTGAACCGGGACTGAACCAGGACTGAACCAGGACTGAACAACGAGTGAACCAGGATTAATCAGGACTCAACCAGGACCAAACCAGGATTAAACTGAGCAAAAACCAGGACCAAACCAGGACAGAATGTAGTCATGATGTTAACGTTATTGTAGTGACGATTGGTCCATAAACAAACACCCACAGAGGAAAAATAGACTGTATATAATAAATTAGTATCACACATGTTCACAATTTGGATTTATTCAGCAAAAAAAAGTTATATAATATAGTATTTTTACATATATATTTGTTTGTCTTTTGAATCTGCAGTAAATCACGTTCTGTTTTTCAGGTTTGGGGTCACAAATGGGCCGATCTGTCCGAGCACAACTTTGGAGTGGCTCTTTTAAACGACTGTAAATACGGATACTCTGTCCACAAGAACACGCTGACCCTCTCACTGTGAGCCTCTCATCTCCTCCGTCTGTTTAACTCTGCTCCAAACATCCACTGCATTAAACCAAAGACTGTAAAGCTTTTATATACACAGAATAAAAGTCTGATGGTCTCTGAGATAAACGTGTTTCTCCTCAGGCTCAGAGCTCCCAAAGCCCCAGACGCCAACGCAGACATGGGCACACACCAGTTCACCTACGCCGTCATGCCACACTCAGGTCAGTTCTGGATTTATGGATTTGAGCTTTCTGAGACATTTTGAGGACTTTTTACCCTTCAAAAGATATACAGTTTGCTTAAAATTTTCAATAATTCTGACATAGGCAAAATCCAGATGTTTGGACCTGTTTAATGTTTAAAGGTCCACCTGCTTGTCCTTCTCTGCTGGCCTAAAAACATAATTACAAAATAATTCCAAATGTTCTGTCCGCTTCCTTTAAGAGCTTTTCCGATGCTTGTGCCGCTTCCAGACATGGATTTTCATAATGAAGCATTTGACCAATCACATTTCAGCATCACTTTGTCACCCACACTGTGCGCAGGTGCACTGTACCAATCCAAAAAATATATATCTGGGTAACTGATTATTTCTTAAAACTATATACAATGGTCTGCTTGTAATGAACAAAATATAACAAAGGCAAATTTATGATTGTTTCAAATTTAAATTATATTAGGCCGCTTATATAGACACTGCCAAATTAAAAGTTCATTCAGCCCACCTGCTTAATACGGGCCCCAGTCAGTCTTTCCTCCGATGAATGTATTTAATCCAGTGTCACCGAATTCCCGCTCACCCCTTTAAAACAGTCTCATAAATCCCAAATTAATGATCTTCAAAAAAAAAAAATTTATATCCAAAGGGCCGCAGCGGCGGTGCGCACTCTTGTGCGGCGGCGCTCTCGTGCGCTCTCGTGCGGCGTGCCTCGATCCACGCGCAAAGGCAAAATACATGGAGGATCTCACCGGGTCGAGCTGGGTCCTGTCGGTCTGATCTTTTGGCACCGTATACGTGGACCAAACCGGTACAGTCTGTTAGTAATCCATGTTATGTCCTTTCGATCCTGAACTGTGCGCGTGCTCACACGTTGTTGTCTCTTTTTTATACTATTAGGCGCGCGCGAGTCAGCAGACAGGGCGATCAGCCTGACATTTAAGTTGTAGTATTTTATATACATATTTTTTTATATCTCACGTCGGGAGAAGTGGGTGGACAGCGTCCTGCAAACCACACCAATCTGTGTGTCATTCGTTCATTCATTTTTCAATATAAAACCAAAAATAAGAAAACGAAAAAACAACAGTTTTCTTCATTATTTGTCTCCAAAACCAAAATGAAAAAAATGGATGATGATTCATTTTTTCAGTTTTCGATTTTGTGTTTAAATGAAAAATGGAAAAAACAGATAACGACCGTTTCCCGTTTACGTGATTTCTGTGACTGCGATGCCGGATTTTTGCGCCGCATACGAACTGAACCAGGACTGAACCAGGACTGATTCAGGTCTGGGAGCACACCGGGACCAAAGCGGAACCAGAGCGGGACTGAGACCGGGACCAGTCCTGGTTCAGTCCTGGTTCAGTCCTGGTTTAGTCCTGGTTCAGTCCTGGTTTAGTCCTGGTTCAGTCCTGGTTTAGTCCTGGTTTAGTCCTGGTTTAGTCCTGGTTTAGTCCTGGTTTTAGTCCTGGTTTTAGTCCTGGTTTAGTCCTGGTTTATCCCAAAATGTGAAAACAGAAAAATCCCGCTGTGTAATCCATTTATTTCAACAAAGTAACTGTAATCCAATTACCACTCACTGAAACAGTAACTGTAACTGAATACAGTTACTCATAATTTGTACTCTGATTACATTACTCCGGTACATGTAATCTGTTACTCCCCGACACTGGATGTGGATTATATTACAGAAGAAATTAAAGTATTTTTGACCACTAGAAATGCATGTAATGAATAAATGTAAGATGTAAATGTTTAAAGTCAGACCATGGGACATTCCAATAACAGTAACATAGCAACAACATCTCCATGGAGTCAAGTAGAAAAAACAAAAACTGGAAAGTTGCACAGTGCAGCTTTAATATCCCTGTAATTACTGGGCACATCACTATGAAACAAAAACTGGCACAAATTCTATAATATTCTCATACTTTTAGAAGGAGGGTGGGGCCAAAATGGGACTCAGGGGAAGAGTCACCGTTTTTCCCAAAAACTGTCACAAAGTGTAACGTCATCTCTGTCAGAACAAATTAACAACTGTGTTCATTTGTTCTCTCCGGGTGGGTAGAGAGTCTCTGCCTCAAGTGGAGGAGTTCATGTCGAGGTCGTCTCAAACACAACAGATTCCAGTCACTCCAAACAAGTAGAAAAAGTTAACACATCGCACGAGAAAATTGCAATTAAGCCCTGATGAAGAAAAGTTAAGGTCTTAACATGTCGGCTTTGGCCATTCAAACAAAGGCCTTTTAACTATATTTTTTTCTCGTGCGATGTGTTAACTTTTTCTACTTGTTTGGAGTTGCCTGGAATCCGTTGTGTTTGAGTTTTGATCCTTTTTTCCAAGAGCGTCCTCTACTTGCTCCTACTGATTGGAACACCTGCAGCAAACAGCCACATTTTTGTTCTTTATGTCGGGGTCTTGTTCTCGAGTGAGGGGAGGACGGAGCGTGAGATTGACAGGTGGACAGGTGCAGCGTCGGCAGTGATGCGGTCGCTGTATCGGACCGTTGTGGTGAAGAGGAGCTGAGCCCAAAGGCAAAGCTCTCGATTTACCGTCAGTCTTCATTCCTCCCCTCACCTCTGGTCTTGAGCTCTGGGTAATGACCGAAAGGACCAGATCACGGATACAAGCGACACAAATGAGTTTCCTCCGCAGGGTGTCTGGGCGTCTCCCTTAGAGATAGAGTTCAGTCACACAGGAGGAGCTCGGAGTAGAGCCGCTGCTCCTCCATGTCAAGAGGAGCAGCTGAGGTGAGGTGTTCATGTCCAAGGAGGCTCCGGGGAAGATCCAGATCACACTGGAGGGACTATGTCTCTGGGCTGAGAATGCCCGGAAGTCTGGGAGTCCCTGCTTAGACGCCTGCCCCCGCCACCCGGCCCCGGATAAGCCGAAGAAAATGGATGATTGGATATTCTGAAATAATTGTGCGATCCCGTTTTCAGTTTTGGCCTAATGTTTTCTAATTTAATATTTGGGTCTGGTCAAGTGGTAACGGAGGGAAACAGAGGCAGATTTTGTACATTCAAATGTCTCTTATTCAGAAACTAGAGGAACTATTGAAATAAGTAAAGTATCAGAATGTAGGAAAGAGTTACACTCCAACAGGGTCAAGTTAAACCTGTGATATTCTTTCAAGTTGTTGACAAAAAATTAAAAAAACTCATGTCGGTAACGGAGGGAATGAAATATGCAGCACTTTTTGGGCAATAAATCCAAACAGTGATAACTCTTGGTTCTCACTTCCATATCCTTAACAAACTGGTTTGAATATTTGCTTCATATAGTTTTCTACCATATGGTACAAGATTAGGTTGAAAAACCTCTTACTTTTTGAATCATGAGATTTTTTATTAAGAAAGGTCATGGTAACGGAGGGAAAAGTAACGGAGGGAAGATTGTACAAACAAGTAGAAGGTGCAGGATTTTACATCATTTGTCGCTTTTTTCTTCCAAATACTTTAATATTACTTCAAAATGAAAGGAAACAATTTCGATAAAATATGTCAGTCCTTCCAAGCAAATTTTTATCATTTTAAATATATATATATATATATTTTTTTTTAATCATGTCCCTTCATCAACAGTTCAAAGATGGAATAACACAAGATATGATGAAATACATCCATTTATTTACATGATTTGCAGGTCTTTGAAATTTGGGAAATAATTTTTGTTCCATGTTTCATACATGGTCTGTTTAAAACATATGGAACTTTAGAACCAAAAATGGTAAAGAAAAAAGGTCAACAGTTTCATAAACTAGAGTACATATGTATCTGTTCAATACATTTTTATATCAGATGCATTAACTTGAATTTTTGGCCTTGTTGTTTACTTCTGTTTGACCAGACCCATTTCTGTTGTAGTAGTAGAGGACCTTGTTTTTGGACTCACAGCGTCACAGGAGATGTCTTTTACCAGCTTTAACTGTTTTTGTCCAGTCTAGATGTAAACTAAATGAAAAACAATCTCACGAGATCAGTTTCCTCACGTCTGCATCGACTTGTGGCAGTTTTATTTCACGAGGTCTTGTCCTAATAATTACACATAAAGTTCATTTTCAGATTACCACAGAGCCCCGTCCTGGACCCACCCTCCACCTGAACATGACATAATGTTCTATTACGTGTTCCAGCTTTTGAGTAATGTTGACAGGCCCAGGAATAACAAAGATATTAAATGTAAAACTGGTCAAAATATGTGGATTTTGAACACAGCCTTTCCATGTGTTTCATAATGGTTAAAGATCAGGACCACTGCTCTGGTCAAAAACAAATAAATATTGCTAAAATGGACAGAATTGTGATGCTAATAAGTTTAATTGGATATTTCATAAATGATCAATTACATTATGTTCCAACAATAATCAACAGAAACATAAAGACAGTTATTTTATTTTACTAATCACGAATATAGTCTATAAAAAAATCTATAATTTCGGAAAAGGAGTGAGGAGAAGCAAACGTTTATTTGCCCCCACCCATTTTTACAAAACCATTAAAGCAATAATGTGCTTCTGCCAGATTCTTCTAAAAGTACGTCACATTACTCCAGACACTAAATAAATAACTACATTTCAAAATGTTTTCGTCACATTCAAATGACAAATGAACTTAAATTTCCTCTTCTACACACTTAGTTATAAACATTTCTTTATATCAGGGGTCTCCAACCTGTTTCCTGTCGTGAGCTGCTTTTACAAAACAAAAATGTCAAAGAGCTGATTATTTCAGCGGCCGCAAAACATTGAGCGATTATAAGAAAGAGGGCGAGCTTCTGGGTACAGTTAGAGGCCAATGAAACATAAACCACTGTCCACTTATTAGTGCAAAACGAATTATACAGTTACAATTGTAATAGTCATGTAATTAACTAAATTTTTGTGATTCAAAAAAAAAAAAAAAGTATTTCCCTTTTTTCCCTTTATTTATTCAGTACTTATTACAGTATTTTTTTTTTTTTTTAATTCTTTTAAATTCTTTTATTCTTTTATTTATTATTATTATTATTTTTTTTTTTTTTTTATAATGGAGATTGGATATAGGCGAGTTTCATTGTTGGCAAAAGCCCGCGTTGCATGCTGGGAATTATTTTGGTCGGCGGCAAGAAACACTAATTCAACATGACGGACGGAGCGAGAAAGCACGTAAAGGGTATTGATCCCGGTTATTTATCCACTCTAACGGCAGAGGACCCAAGACCATTTGACCAGAAATTGGTCATAAACATCGACGGACGCCAAATCACCCTTTTCAACCCCGACAGAGTCTGGACCAAACCAAGTTTCTGGTCTAAATCACCAACCACCTGGACAAATAATCACTTGGGCGACATCCACAATGACTTGGTGGAAACTCCTGGGCCATTCACAGCAGAAAAGATGAAAACCTCCAAGAGTCTCGATGTGTTGTTGAACTTGTTGGAGTCCACGGTTTGTTAGGATCTTCTACGTTTGCTCTGTGAATGTTTGAAAGTCGTTTAATTCACCGTTAGCGGTTCTTTTCACTCAGAATACGAAAAAGACATTTTCCTTCTTCCGTGCTTCTATTTGTGCGTCCGATAATGCAGCAGGAATTTACCATTATCGGGGATAAATACGCGAGGTTACGCACTGTGTTTGACGCTACAGTGTTTCTTGCCTCAGACCAAAATATTTCCCAGCAGCAACGCGGGTTTTTAATAACAATGACGTCAGCTGAAACTCGCCTATTGGTGGAGGAGGGTGATGGGAAGGGGGGTTTGGGGAATAAAAAAAAAAATGGTCACATTATATTACAACTAATTATTTTTCTCTGTGACATCTGCTTTAAGTGCACAAAAAAAAAAAAAAAAAAAAAAGTTATTCACCAGCACAATGGTATAATTTCATTAAATACAAAATCAAAAACTGAAAAAAGGAATTATTATCCGTTTTTTCATTTTGGTTTTGGAGACAAATAATGAGGAAAACAGTTGTTTTTTCATTTTCTTATTTTTGGTTTTAATATTGAAAAACGAATGAATGAATCATACACAGATTAAGAATTAGTGCCAGGTTTTTGTTTTCAATTGTGCCCAGTAAACACAGAGATAATAAACAAGATCAGGTTTTAGTTTTATACGGCAAATCAAATAAATGAGACTCCACATTTTTACAGTGGATATTTTTCAGAAAAACCATGAGTCCTCCATTGAAAAGAAACATTTATTCCACCGCCCTCCTCCTGAAAACATGCAGAATATTTCAGAGTTTGTGTTTGTGTTTTTGTGTCCAGCCGTGCCCGGTATTCACAGAGATCAGAACATCTGCATTTTGACCGTAAACGCCAAATTCCACAGTAAATTCCGGACCTTTTCGAATGTTATCAGCAGACGTGACCCTGGCGCACCCGTAATTACGTCTGTTTGTTGTTGTTTTTGGAGTGTTCGGTCTCATCAGATCGTGTGATTACAGGAAGCTTTCAGGATGCCTCTGTGATCCGGTGCGCTTACAACTTGAACTACCCTCTGAGGCCGGCGCAGTGCCCCCCGCAGGCCGGTCCGTGGAGCGCGTTCTCCGTGAGCAGCCCCGCCGTCGTCCTGGAAACCGTCAAACAGGTACGAAAAGTTTAACGCGCTTTGTTTGATTTCACTTTTCCGGTGGAGCGTCCGTCAAATTTTCTCCATGTTAGATGTTATTTTCTTTGTCTGGAATGTTCCGCGGTATAGCCAAACTAGACCAGGTTAAAGGTCAGATCTGTGGAGAGGCGACCCCGCTCACAGTCAGAAAGTTTGTTTTTCAAGGCATTTTTGAGCGTTAAAACCACTTGTAACTGAATAAACATAAAGTAGAGCTGTTTAATGTCACACTGTGGAACATTCCAGACGGAGATATAGCGTCTCCATAGTAACAAGAAGCAGGTGACGGACCTAAACAGTAACGTTACACAGCGCAAGTAAAAGTAAAAGTACAGATTTAAAAGTAAAAATTATCACGTGAAAAAAAATCAACTGAAGTACCTGTTTAAAAATGTACTTTATGAGTAAAAAGTAGAAGTATTTTGATTTTTAGAACAATTAAAAGATGAAATGTTGTGATTTCTTAATTTTTCAAGTTACTTTTGTGTTTTTTTTTTTTTTTGGTTTGATCAAAATTGGAATGAAACTATAAAACCACCTTTAATAATTGAATAAACATGAAGTAGAGCTGTTTAATGTCACACTGTGGAACATTCCAGACGGAGAAACGACATCTCCATAGTAACAAGAAGCAGGTGACGGACCCAAACAGTAAAGTTACACAGTGCAAGTTTAAGTAAAAGTACAGATTTAAAGGTAAAAAGTTTCACATGAAAAGAAATCTACTTAAGTAAAACTATTAAAGTACCTGTTTAAAAATATACGTAAAGAGTAAAAAGTAAAAGTATTTAGATTTTTACTACAATTAAAGGATTAAATGTTGTGATTTTGACAAAGAACTGACAACCAACCCAAAAGTTACACAGTGAAAGTTTGAGCAAAAGTACAGATTTATAGGTAAAAAGTTACTCAAGTAAAAGTAAAAATATCATGAAAAAAATCTACTTGAGTAAAAGTATTAAAGTACCTGTTTTAAAATGTACTTTAAGAGTATTTTGCAGAGATTTTTCTAATTAAAGGATGAAATGTAGTGATTTTGAAAAAGACTTCAGCTGATTTTAAATAAATTTCTTAATATTTCAAACTGTTTTTATGTATTTGGTTTGCTCAAAGTTGGGATAAAACTATAAAACCACCTGTAATTGAATAAATATCAAGTAGAGCTGTTTAAAGTGACACTGTGGAACATTTCAGACAGAGAAATGACGTATCCATAGTAACAACAAGCAGGTGACAGACCCCCAACCCAAAACTTACATAGTGCAAGTTTAAATAAAAGTACAGATTTAAAGGTAAAAGTATTGCGTGAAAAAAATCAACTGAAGTAAAACTATTAAAGTACCTGTTTAAAAAGTAAAAGTATTTTGATTTTTAGAACAGTTAAAGGATAAAATGTCTCTATAGTCGATCTGTAGCCGGCGGGCAGCTCTTATAATGTTTGATATGATCTCCTGGGCCAAATATAATTATACTGCGGGACAAATTTGACCCCCGGGCCTGAGTTTGACATGTCAACACTAGACGGTTTGCAAGGACCCCGGAAGTTGTAGACCAGGGGTGCTCAATACGTCGATCACGATCTACCAGTCGATCGCCAAGGTCGTGTGGGTCGATCGCCGTGTCTCGTCTCAGACTCACGTTTGGACTCGGTCTTGTCTCTCACTCGAGGTCTGACACTCAACAAGTGTGATCATATTTCATTCCGGCCGCTGCTGTTGGTAATAAACTTGTAGCGGGTGCAGGAGCGTGTGGGGCGTCTCAGTGCAGCCTGTGTGCTCATTTGAAACCCGCGGAGACTCTACGGCGCATCACAAACACACACGCTCCCTATGCACGGCTCGTCTGCGACAGCGTGTGCCCTCGTGTACCAGCGTGCATCACAGGGCAGGTTCAACTTCCTAAACATCCTACCTGTCCATCTGCCTCACGTCAGCACGCCGCCCCTCGCCTTTTCACGCTCTCGCTCCTTCCTGCGTACAGCCAACACAAGCCCCTCCCACAGTGCGGCTGATTAGAAGAGCAAGACCAAACGTGAAGCAAAAACCAGTCTAAATTTGTGTTCCAGTGTTGGCACAAAGCAGGTCTACAGCATAGAGCGGATCTACAGAACAGACCTACTGCCACATTTGGCTGAAGTTTGTCTAACAAAAGTGACAAATGCATCTGTGTTTGTCACGATGTGCGTTTGGTTTGGTAAACGTGCAGAGGCTGGTAAATATCACTGCAAAACCAGAAAAGAATGCAACTCCAGTTTGGAACTTTAAAAAACAGGTTTAAAAATCTTCCTTCACTTTTTTCACAGTTTTGTGTAAAGTGCCAGAGGAAGTTCTCTTAAAGAAGAGGTTCTCAAACTGTGGGGGAGGGTCCAAAAAAGGGGCACAGAGTGTTTCAGTGCAGTTTGTTTGGCTTTGTATTAGGTCGATCATTTTGACTTGGTCATTTTGTAAGTAACTCGCATGATGAAAAAGTGTGAGCAGCCCTGTTGTAGACGGTGCACCGACCAGTCAGGGAAGACCCAATGATGTTCATTTTGTCTTCTTATATACTTTAACTTCTTGGGTTCTTTTTAAAGACAATGCAGTAAAGTGTATTTACCTTGTTGACATGTTTCGGCTGCTGCATCTTCAGAACTGTCACCGGTGTTGGTGATGACGTGTCGTATATCAGTTGTTGTTACTTCCTGTAGGCGTGGTCAGCCTGATGGACCTGGCAGGTCGCTCAGACTGACCACGCCTCCCGTCGTCCGTTGTCGTTCCGCCCGATAGTCGATAGCATAGGTTCGGTAACATACAATTTATCCAAAGCCCTGGTCGAAATAATAAAACCACTCATCGGTCAAACAAAATTCCACTGCAAGAATGCGAAACAATTGGCACAGGAACTAAAAAATATTACAATAGCACCGGATGAAATACTCATATCACACGACGTCATATCACTGTTCACAAAAACCCCCGTGGATGTCACACTACGCATAGTACAGGAAAAACTTAAAAAGGACAAAACACTCAAAAAACGCACAAATCTAGCAGTTGATGACATTTCACAATTATTACGTTTCGTGGCCAAATCTACATATTTTCAGTACAACAGCATAATTTACAGACAGAAAGACGGGTTTGCAATGGGAGATCCACTATCAGCAATAATGAGCAGTTTTTTCATGGAGGACCTGGAACAGAAAGCTTTCAACACCGCACCACCACAATGCCGTTTAACCTTTTGGAAACGTTATGTAGATGACATCCTAGGAAAAAATACAGCAAGGACACACTCAAGAACTCACGGACCATCTCAACACACAAGACGACACAGGAAACATTCAATTCACACACGAGGAGGAGAAAGACGGAGCAATACCTTTTCTGGACATTAAAATCCACCACATCGCAGACGGCAGCATCAAAATCACAATATACCGGAAACCCACACACACTGACCAATATCTGCTCTGGACATCCCAACATCCCACTGCACACAAACTTTCAGTAGTAAGAACATTATTGGAACGGGCCACACTCATCACAGACCGACAGGGAGGAAGAGGAGAGACACATCATACAAACACTCAAACAATGTCAGTATCCCAGCTGGGCCATAAACAAAGGCAGACAACAAGTTATCAATAAAACCAACAAACCCCGGAAAAAACACAACAATCCAACACAGGGCAGCAGGACAAGAACATAGTCACACTAACCGTACATCAGAGGAATAACCAAACCCATCCAGAGCCATGAAAAAACACAACATAAGCACTGGAGTAAAACCAGACACAAAACTCCACCAACAGCTCGTACACCCCAAGGACAAAATCCCACAAGAACAAAAATGCAATGCCATCTACGAAATTCAATGCAAATCATGCAATAAATCATACATAGGGGAAACAGGCCGGGCATTTCACATCCGAAAAAAGGAACACCAAAAGGAATGCGAAAAGGAAACTGTCAGGGAGACTCACCAGAACACAAAAAGATAAAGCAGAAGAGGAAAACCTAAAATCCTCCATATCAGACACTGTAAAAGGAACAACCACATTATGGATCAGGACGAGGCTCGGGTCATTGGATCGGAAAACAACAAGTTCAAACGCTGGATCAAGGAGGACGGTGAAATCAGGAAACGAGGCACGGACAGTGTTAACCGTGATGACGGCGCGTTCCTCCTTTCACACACCTGGGACACCCTCCTCCAGAGACACCGGGCAACTGATATACGACACGTCACCACCAACACCGAGGACAGTTCTGAAGATGCAGCAGCAGCAGCCGAAACATGTCAACAAGGTAAATACACTTCACAGCTCTTCACAAAGCGTCGAGATGGATGTAGACAAAGACAGACATTCTGTGTTGTTGACAATTCCCCAGATCAAAGATTTAAAGCCGGAACAAAGAGAATGTTTGGTGAATTTTATCAAGGGGAAAGACGTTATTGTTGTTCTTCCTACAGGATTTGGCACATTCAGAGACTGTATATACAGTATAAGTGGACATGGCTAACGCTCTAGTCGCCGTGTGCCAAACAGGAAGTTCACCAGGAGGTTCTTCTCGCTCCTTCTGGCTCTGGTCCAATTGACTCACACTAGGATCTTGCGGCTCATCTCTCTGTACCTGCTGCTGTGAGCCTCGTCATTTTGGTCTTAAATTGTTCATATTAGAGGTAAGATCTTAAGACCGAGCCCAAGCCCGACTCGGGCTTCAAAAAAATATATGTTTATAAAATGTATGCTAAAACGATGTGTGGATACTAAACTAAGGAATACTTGTTATAAAATAAATAATATGGATAAAACAGAGAAGTAATGTAATGTAATTGCTATTTAACTACTAAACAGGATCCGCAGAGCCAGAGCTCTGCGCACGTGAACGCCCCCTCTTCATTTAATAATCTTCCCCTCCACAAGTCTGCATCTATTTTGATCTGGTGTCCCCATTATGGAAGGAGCAAGAAGTTAAACTAAAGGCAGGAGAACTGAAAAGACAAACACGCACCGGTAAGAGTGAGGTGTGGAAAAGCTTCAAATTGATTGTTGAAAATGCTACAGAAACTTGCGTTGGCTTCGCTGAATGTCGTCAATGTGGCGCTTTGCTTTCATACGAGAGCAAAAAGACTGGCACCTCGACGCTGAGCACTGCTCCTCCTCCCGAGTCCTCACAAATAAAATATGACATTTCGGGTTTGCTTCAGGCTCGGGCCTGCAAATCAAGTTAATTGGTCGGGCTCGGGCCGGGTCGGGTTTTAATACCCGCGGGCCGGGTCGGGTCGGGCTGGATTTTTTAGGCCCGATCTCACCTCTAGTTCATATTAACCAGCGACACATGATCCTGATTTTTTATTTTTTTTCCACTATTTTGTCCGTCAAAAAAATCTTTATCATTCTTTTATCGAAAGTTTGCTGACCTTTTCTTTTATCTGTTGGTTTTATGGATTATCTGTGAAGGACAGGAACAGTCTGAACCAGATAGTAAAAGTGTGCAGCAAAATCAGTGGTGTTCAGATGGAGGATTTGGCGTCTGTGTGGAGACATCGGGTGCTCCAAAAGACTAAGGCCGTACTGAGCCAGACTAACCATGTTCTGCACTCACAGTTCATGAAAATGCCCTCTGGAAGGCGCTATGTCACCCTACAGCAAAAGACTAACCGCTACGCCAAATCTTTTAAATGGAAAGTGAATTTGCTGCTGTTTCCCTGATGCACTGTGGTTTGAATGTATATTTCTTTCTTTTATTATTTATAGATTGTGCACGACTAGAGATGTGCAAACTGAGTTGCCCTTTGGGATTAATAAAGTTGTTGACTGATTGATTGAAAAGAAAATCATAGTGTGGCTCCAGATTGGCTCTTGTAACCTTGAACATCGCGAGCCTCATTTGAGCGACGCTGAACGCTGTGGGTGACGTCACACTCGCTTAGGCCACTTCTTTTATACAGTCTGTGGTCACATTACATACGTCACGACCAAACAACAGAGATTGGTAAAATAAATAAATAAAAATTTAAAAAAGTACCCGCTGACCGTCGAGCGAACTAAACGTAATGCTGCGAGGTCAGACAGTTTGTACGAAGTGAAACCGTCTGATGAGTCAGGTTAAGTTTAGACCTGGTTTAGATAAAATTGGACCAAAATAGAGACACTTGGGACATTTTTTGTATAAAACTGGGACAAATCAGTGGTTTTGTATAAATCTGCTGGGACAAGGGACACAGGCTCAAAACTGGGACTGTCCCGAGTAGGGATGGGCATGATTAGTCGATATTAGTCGAATCGAGAATTGATCATTAAAAATGTAATCGATTACGTAAATTTTTAATCGACAAACTGAATGTAGGTTGCTGTGCATAGCGTAGGGTGAACAAATGTCCATGTCCAGGGACAAACGGGTCCGTACATGTAGTTCTCTGCACTCAGAAGGAGCGAGACACAAACAGTGGGTCAGTCTGCAACGTACCGAAGCACAAATGTGGATTTAACGATGATTTGTACAAGAAATTCCACACTTTCCGTTGCGTTCGGGACAAGTGTGAGTCCATGTGCAAAGTGTACAAATGTTGTCAGTGCACATATGTTTCTGTGTCCAGTGGAGGTGCCACGGACCTCAAAGCACCAGGACACCGAAAAACATGAAAAAGCTTTGTCAGGTGAGAGTCGCTCAATGTCGATGACGAGTCCCCGCCCCCCTCCCCCCGTACGCTGTCCTGGTTTTGACAAACGCAGATCTGGTCACACTAACCTGTATTCACCTGAGTCATGTCTTTTAATCCGACGGAAGTTGAACCACATCAGCGACACAAGAGCTGGAGTTTTATCTTCGCTTAGTTTATGCAAATTACCCTTGAGGTTTAAAGTTTTGTTTCTGTGAGAGTTGAACAAAACTGAATTAAACACATTATAATGTCAAACAGGCTGATGTGGCTCTAGAGTCGTTACGGTTTATATGTCGTAAAGTTGAATTTATTTATGCAGATTAGTAGTGCAGATAGTAATAATGATGATGATAATTTTAATATAAAAACGATTAAGAAAATTTTATCGAATGCCCATCCCTAGTTCCGAGTAAACAGGGACGTCTGGACACTTTACCGTAGGAACAAGCCTTCCAAAAAAACCTGAACTAAAGCATTGTTATAATCCATGACTCCGTGTCTCTTTGCTCCAGGCGGAGGACCTGACCCAGGCTCTGGTGGTCCGTCTGTATGAATCACATGGGAGCTCCGTGACCTCGGCTCTGAGAACTTCTCTTCCAGTGAAAGAGGCGTGGCAGTGAGTAATCCACGTGTCTGGTTGTTTTAAGTCGATTTCTTACTGTAGAATGGTTTGTGTAGAAAACAGTCTTATCACTGTTCCTTTCCAGTTGTGACCTCCTGGAGCGGAAGGACCCCGACCGACCTGCGACGCTCACACCTCAGGGAATCACGCTTCACTTCAAACCTTTTCAGATCGTTTCTCTTCTTCTAGTGTTGTGAGGATGGTTCTCAGGGTTCCCACGCTTCTACTCTCCAAATTTCCAAACTTATTCCATGACTTTTTCATGACCTAAAGTGAAATTTCCATGACTGTATGGCTCCTACATGCGAAGAATTGATCAGACTTTTAGGGCTAAATATGAAATGTTAACTCTTTCCACTCACTTTATGGTTTGGGATTATAGTTTTTTAAAGGGGTACCATATTTTCCACACTCTGGATTATAAAGCGCTCTGTCACTGAATGGTCTATTTTCAAATTTTTTTCACATATAAACTGCACCGGACTATAAGGCGCATTAAATGAAACACAACAGTTAGATAAGTCAGTCAAATTTTATTTAACGCGTTCACAATAGGCGAGTTTCAGCTGACGTCATTGTTATTAAAAGCCCGCGTTGCATGCATAGCGTCAAACACAGTGCGTAACCTCGCGTATTTCTCCCCGATAATGGTAAATTCCTGCTGCATTATCGGATGCACAAATAGAAGCACAGAAGAAGGAAAATTTCTTTTTCGTATTCCGAGTGAAAAGAACCGCTAACGGTGAATTAAACGACTTTCAAACATCCGCAGAGCAAACGTAGAAGATCCTAACAAACCGTGGAAGTTCAACAACACATCCAGACTCTTGGAGGTTTTCATCTTTTCTGCTGTGAATGGCCCAGGAGTTTCCACCAAGTCATTGTGGATATCGCCCAAGTGAATATTTGTCCAGGTAGTTGGAGATTCTGACCAGAAATTTGGTTTGGTCCAGGCTCTGTTGGGGTTGAAAAGGGTGATTTGGCGTCTGTCGATGCTTATGACCAATTTCTGGTCAAATGGTCTTGCGTCCTGCCGTTAGAGTGGATAAATAACCGGATCAATACCCTTTACGCTTTCTCGCTCCGTCCACATGTTGAATTAGTGTTTCTTGCCACCGACCTTCCCAGCATCGCGCGCTTTTGCATGAAACTCTATAACTCTCAACTTTGTTCAGTCGCATAAAAAAATACTGTGAGTGTCAGTTCACTGTGTTCATTCTGAGTTCAGTTCAGTGTTACAGTGATGATCTGAGTCAGTGTGGTTACTGTTCCCTGGAGTTCAGTTCAGTGATGATTCTGGTCTTTGGTGAAAGCTCGGACCACAGCCCTGATCCTGATCCTTCGCCCGGGCGTCCACGATCCCTCGGCAGATCGTGACGTAAGTCGCTTGGCGCCGTCTCTTTGTCTTGGTGAATGTTTGTTCTCCTTCTCTCATCCACTGCTCCTACGCAGCTAAACGCACTTTCACTTTCGAACAGCCTTGAGTTTGTGAGCGTGTCTCTTGACAGGTGCATTTTGATATTAAAAGGAATCACAGTCGCGCTCTTAAGCCTCTAACCGCATCAAAAAACAACCGAGTGCCCCGCAGTCCAGAGCGCCGTATACACGAATCCACTCAGGTGTCCCAGCACGACTTCAGTAAACTACAAAGCCGCACCACCCACAGAACACACAAACACACACGGAGCAGACAGCGACCGCACAGAGAAACACACCCACAGACACACTCATCACTCCACGCCGACGAGGAACGGAACGGAGGAACGAACCGAAAAAACGAGCGCGACGTGCCACTTCTAGACACGACTGAACAACTGAGTCACTGCGAACACGCCGACAATCCGTTGGTCCCAGACACACCCTCCCTACACGCCACAACTGAACAAAGCCCAGAGTCACCGTGAACGAACAAACAAACAAAACCACTCACCCATCACACTGTTGTGTTTCCTTTAAAGTCCCACGCGGTTTATTTGTGAAAAACGTTCGAAAAATAGACCATTTAATGACAGTGCGCCTTATAATCCAGAGCGCCTAAAATACAGTATGTATTACTCCTGATGCTCCTGACTACGGGAGCCGTGATGCTGCAAGTGGAGCGGCTTTGTACTTTACTAAAGTCGTACTAAGACACTACAATAAATTCATATATAAGGCGCTCTGGATTTTAAGGCGCGCAGTCATTTTTGGATGAAATTAGTTTGGCTTTTAAGTGTGCCCTATAGTGCGGAAAATACGGTAGTTCAGAATTTTGGACATAGGGCCTCATTTGGAGTGTTGGAGACGTGTGGAGACACTTTTTTAAAATATTCCATCCAGTCCTTGTATTTGCAGAAGTCGCTGGTGTTAGACTAGTGCATGTAAATGACCATAGTTCTCCTGCCACTAAAAACAGTCTTACCCACTCCACCAAACTCCCGAAGAAAATCTATTATTACACCAGACTGTCCATGTGAATGTCTGTGTTGATAGAATAATGTTTGAAATACCATATTTTCCGGGCCATTAGCCGTGGTTTTACGCCTCTAACCGCATTAAAAAACGACCGAGCGCCACAATCCAGAGCGCCCCATACACGAATCCACTCGGGTGTCCCAGTACGACTTCAGTAAACTACAAAGCCGCAAACACACATGGAGCAGACAGTGACCGCACAGAGAAACACACCCACAGACACACTCATCACTCCACACCGACAAGGAACGGAACGGAGGAACGAACCAAAAAAGCGAGCGCAACGTGCCGCTTCTAGACACGACTGAACAACTGAGTCACTGCGAACACGCCGACAATCCGTTGGTCCCAGACACACCCTCCCTACACGCCACAACTGAACAAAGCCCAGAGTCACCGTGAAGGCGCCAAAGAAAGTCCGACTGACCCATCGAACTGCTGTGTTTCGTTTAAAGTCCAGTGCGGTTTATTTGTGAAAAAAGTTCGAAAATAGATCATTTAATAACAGTGCGCTTGATAGCCTGTAAAATACGGTAAAACCAACCTTGCGTCGCATGAATTGTCGCATGTTGAGGGACTATTTTCTCATATATCAGTCCAAATCAGTTCAAAGTTCAAATCCAAGGTTAGTTTTATTTCTAATACTTTACTACAAAATTTTGTAAAAGTAGCTCACCGGAGGAAAGAGGTTGGAGACCCCTGCTTTAAGCCATGTTAGAATGTTGTTGCCTCCTTGAAAACAGAGCAGGAGTTGTGTTTTATTTCATTCACACACGTTTGAATAACACTTCATTATGAGTCTGTCTCCATCTCCAAAGCTCAAAATGCTCTGTTTTCAAGTTCTCAAGATGACCTTTTACTGTTTGTTTAGTAAAGATGGGCAGATCCAGGGTTGAAATCAAGCAAATGATTCTCGTGAAGGTGTGTGGAGTTTAAAAACACACTGGAGCACATCCTGTATCACCACATGACATCACAAGGTGGAATGTTTTGTTTTAGTTTTTTTTTATGCAGGGTTTGTGTTTTTAAACGTGCACGAATGAAACAAAAAAAACACAACTCCAGGTTTGTTCGTGATGATTAAACGACATTAGAACATTAAATAACAGCGTAAATAGTGAAAACAGACCTTAAATAAATAAATAAAAAACAGCACATTTCTTTCATTTCAAAGAAGGGAGTTTTTTTGGCTGAATCATGGAGGAGACTTTAAGCTGCTGATTTTGTGATGGACAGGCTCCAAATGAGGTACTGATACAACTGATCCAGACTGAGATTTGGTTGTGTTAATCAAAACAAACACCACATACTGTTTTTTTTAGTACATTTATTAAAAATATGTAAAAAATGATACAAAATTCCCTTGTATTCATCTGCTGCTGCGTCTTGTTATTCTTCTGTTCTCCTGTAAATCTGAAATACAGGGTTTGTTAGTGACAATAAAACAGGACGAAATAGTTTTCTAGACATTAAATCAGACCTATTCTGCAAAATCGACCTTTTCTTACAATAGTTTTCTTCTCAGTGACCCTCTGAACTTCTATTTGGAGTGATTCATGTTTGAAAAATCTTTAAATCACTTATTTTCAAGACGCCATTTTGTCAATCAATAAACCCCCGTTTTCAGCTCCACCGGTAGAAACTCGCTGATGTACGCATTTCTGTCCTGAATTTCATCTAAGAATGAAAAACAAACTGGGAAAACGGTTTGTTATTTCATTATTTTTGTTTTAGTAGATGTGTTAGTTCCAGAGGAGTTTCAGTGTAGTTAGCTCCTCCCTTCTGGCAGATAAAAGGAAGTGTCACCAACGTCTGACCAGAACTGAAGAAGCAGAACTTAGAAACGTTTTTGACCAAATAAACTTCTGATTTCTCCTTTTGGCGTGGATTTTAAATCTGTGTATCATTCGTTTTTCAAAATAAAAACTAAAATAAGAAAACAAAAAAACAACTTTTCTTCATTATTTGTCTCTAAAACCAAAATAAAAAACATTTTTTTATCAGTTTCTGTTTTTTCATTTTTTTTTTTCAGTTTTCAATTTTGTGTTTAAATGAAAAATGGAAAAAACGGGTAACGACTTAAACTGCGATGCCGAACTTTTGCACTGCATACAGACTAAATCAGGACTAAACCGTTTTCAGTCCTGGTCTCAGTCCCAGTCTGGTCCCAGTCTAAGTCCTGGTCTTGTTCCGGTCTGGTCCCGGTCCTGGTTTTGTCCTGGTTTTGTTCTGCTTCAGTCCAGTCCTGGTTTAGTTCTGATTCAGTCCAGTCCTGGTTCAGTCCTGGTTTAGACCTGGTTCAGTCCTGGTTTAGCCCTGGTTTAGTCCTGGTTCAGTCCTGGGTTAGCCCAGTCCTGGTTTTGTCCTGGTTTAGTTCTGCTTCAGTCCAGTCCTGGCTTAGTCCTGGCTTAGTCCTGGTTTAGTCCTGGTTTAGTCCTGGTTTAGTCCTGGTTTAGTCCTGGTTTAGTCCTGGTTTAGTCCATTCGACGCTGTGTTATCACGTTTAACATCCACATCAGCTCCTGTTGGACACCACAGTTTTCTAACACAGAAATCAGCTCATGTGTTCATTTTATTACGTTGTTTTAGATCAATATTGTGATTTAAAACGTGCAAATTCTAAGAAACAAAAGCACAATCGGTCTGATTTAAAGTCGCTGGTTCTGAACTGCACCTGCCGCTGGAGCCTCTGTGTTCTTCCTCTTCCTGGGCACAGACTTGTTCTTTTTGTCCGGAGGTGCGCGTGTTTTCCGGACCTTTTCATCCTTCTCTTTCTTTATTGTTTTTTTGTCCACATTTTCCTTTTTCACCGCCTTTTTCTCAGTAGCGTTTCCACGGCGACTCACAGGCTGAAAAACAAACCCAGACTGAGTCCACGTGTCCCGGCTTGCAAAAATCAAACTCTTTACCTTCTTCTTCTTCTTCTTCTTCTCGGTGTAGTCGTGGTCCTCTTCTTTCTTTACTCTTTTTTTCGCCTTGGGTGATTTAGCGCCTGATAGAAAACACATACGTTAAAGGTTCATCATGTAACTTTTCTGGCGTACGCTGTGCCGTCTGCTCGTCTCCACGGAGATGTTGTTGCTTTGCTTGAAGTGTTCCACAGAATAGGTCTAAACTTGTTTATCTTTCACAGACTAAAGAAGAGGAGTGAGTGAGTGTGACTTTATACACTTCAGGTCCAGTCAAATGAAGCTCATCGAGGCTGAAGTTATGGGGGCGAATTTGGAGCCAGTTCCATATTAGGACTAGGAATTGATTTACAGACAAAATCGCGAAATAAAAACACCAGGATCATGTAGAGTGGGTTAATAAATCATTTTAAGACCAAAATGAAAGGGGAAAGTGAATTGGAGCCAGAGTCAACAGACCTTTTTTACAACAGCCAGAAACATAATTTACGGTTGGCAGTGTTGGGAAGGTGACTTTTAAAATGTAATCCCCTACAGATTACAGATTACATACACCAAAATGTACTTTGTAACGTAATCCATTAAATTACTTAAAGTGAGTAATGTAATCTGAATACTTTGGATTACTTGATTTGCTGTAGAGAAACAAAGACGAGGAAATCTTCACATAAGATGTTTTATCTGCTAAAAAGAAAATAAAAAGCCCAGACTTTCCTTAACCGTATTAAAATATTATTGATAAAAGAGGATGAGACACGTCCACGCAGCAGGATTTAGTCCTGTTAAATCCTAAAGCCTGTTTTAGTCCTGGTTTAGACCTAGTTTAGACCTGGTTTAGTCCTGGTTTAGTCCTGGTTTAGACCTGGTTTAGTCCTGGTTTAGTCCTGGTTTAGACCTAGTTTAGTCCTAGTTTAGTCCTGGTTTAGTCCTAGTTTAGACCTAGTTTAGACCTAGTTTAGTCCTGGTTTAGTCCTAGTTTAGACCTAGTTTAGTCCTGGTTTAGTCCTAGTTTAGACCTAGTTTAGACCTAGTTTAGTCCTGGTTTAGTCCTAGTTTAGACCTAGTTTAGTCCTGGTTTAGTCCTAGTTTAGACCTAGTTTAGACCTAGTTTTAGTCCTGGTTTAGTCCTGGTTTAGACCTAGTTTAGTCCTAGTTTAGTCCTGGTTTAGTCCTAGTTTAGACCTAGTTTAGACCTAGTTTAGTCCTGGTTTAGATCTAGTTTAGACCTAGTTTAGTCCTGGTTTAGATCTAGTTTAGACCTAGTTTAGTCCTGGTTTAGACCTGTTAAATCCTAAAGCCTGGTTTAGTCCTGGTTTAGACCTAGTTTAGTCCTAGTTTAGTCCTGGTTTAGACCTGGTTTAGTCCTGGTTTAGACCTGGTTTAGGCCTAGTTTAGTCCTAGTTTAGTCCTAGTTTAGACCTAGTTTAGTCCTGGTTTAGACCTGGTTTAGTCCTGGTTTAGACCTGGTTTAGACCTGGTTTAGTCCTGGTTTAGACCTGGTTTAGACCTAGTTTAGTCCTAGTTTAGTCCTGGTTTAGTCCTAGTTTAGTCCTAGTTTAGACCTAGTTTAGTCCTGGTTTAGTCCTAGTTTAGACCTAGTTTAGTCCTGGTTTAGTCCTAGTTTAGACCTAGTTTAGTCCTGGTTTAGACCTGGTTTAGACCTGGTTTAGACCTAGTTTAGTCCTGGTTTAGTCCTAGTTTAGTTCTAGTTTTAGTCCTGGTTTAGTCCTGGTTTAATCCATTTATTTCAACAAAGTAACTGTAATCCAATTACCACTCACTAAAACAGTAACTGTAACTGAATACAGTTACTCATCATTTGTACTCTGATTACGTAACTCTGGTACATGTAATCTGTTACTCCCCAACACTGACGGTTGGTGCGTTTTTATAGCAAAGTGTGTGTTAAAATGTGTGTGTAAATGTGTGTGTAAATGTGTGTCGTTTTCTCTGCCTCATCACCAAATCTTCAACCAACAAACTCCACAAAGGATAAACTTTCTAACATGAACAATTTATCCACAACTATCAAGAGAAGAAAGACCAAAACTAACGAAAATGTCACTAATGCGTCGTCGTTGTTTCCTTTAAGTTTTGGTCTTTCTTCTCTTGATCGTTGTGGATAAATTGTTCATGTTAGAATGTTTATCCTTTGTGGAGTTTGTTGGTTGAAGATTTGGTGATGAGGCAGATTTATGAAGCTGCTGGAGAAAACGACACACATTTACACACACATTTACACACACATTTACACACACATTTACACACAGAAAACTAGGCCTGGGTATCATGAAGAAGTTGCCGATATGATACATACCTCGATACAGTGAACTTTCGATTTGATATATTTCAAAACGACTCGATACGGTTCAATAAAAAATAAAGGCTAAATCGTGGCTGTGATACTAAAAGGCTTTATTAATTTTTAATAAATTTTTATTAATATTTATTTTATTTCTTAGTGCAAAGCTCATATGAAACACAAATATTTTAATCCTCAAAACAGTAAAAATGTCAAATGTGTCGCATAAATGAGTTTCCTTTCACTCCACAAGCAACAAATCTGTAGCTGTAACAAAATAATTTAGTAAAACACACGTAAAAATACTCTTGGTGAAATATCGATACAGCAGCCCACGATATCGATACTGTATCATCACATTAAACGATACGATATATCGATATTCCGATATTTTTGCACACCCCTACAGAAAACCATTAAGCGGACGTGACGTTTACCCGACATTGCGGCATTTCCGGCTGTTGTGAAAAAGAACGCAGCGGTTGGCGGGTTAGTGGGTTAGTTACGTCCATTTATAAACAGTCAGTGATACTTTCACGAAGACAAGCAGGTGATACCGAATTAGAGATCAGACCTTTGGACAGGTGACCCCACTTCTGCTTTTCCAAGTTATTTTTGCATTAATTAGTAGTAGTAGTAGTAGTAGTAGTAGTAGTAGTAGTAGTAGTAGTTCTTCGGTCAATTCACATAATCATGCATCATATAACAATGATTTAACAAAACAAAAAAACACAAAACAAACAAATTATGCAGTTAGTGCATATAAATAAAGTTATTCTGTAGACCAAAAGGGTTTAGGCTGAAGTTTAACACTTGTTTTGCCAAACAATCCGTGTATCATTCGTTCATTCATTTTTCAATATAAAACCAAAAATAAGAAAACGAAAAAACAACAGTTTTCTTCGCTATTTGTCTCCAAAACCAAAATGAAAAAACGGATAATGATTTGTTTATTCAGTTTTCGATTTTGTGTTTAAATGAAGAATGGAAAAAACGGATAACGGCCGTTTCCCGTTTACGTGACTTCCGTGACTGCGATGCCGAACTTTTGCACCGTGTACGGACTGAACCAGGACTGATCCAGGTCCGAGACCAGACCGGGACTGAGACCGGGACCAGACCGGGACTGGGGCGGACTCCACGCTTTGACTCTGAGCCTCCGCGGGGTCCAAGCCTCACCTTCGAGCTCCGGTCCTGCCGTGGGCTCTGAGCCTCCGGTCTGGTCTCGGTCTTGTCTCTGTCTCAGTCCCGCTCTGGTCCCGGTCTGATCCCGGACCTGGTCCATTTGAACCAAAAGCTCTTAGTTCGGTTCGTTTTCGTTGGTGTGAAAGCGTCAGTTGGAGGCTTTGCTCCACCTCGGAACCAGCCGCGGTTCTTGAGCGCGGAGGACCAGAGCAGCTCTGTAGTCCACAGAACATTCTCACTTTCCCCGCACGGAACCAGCGCGGAGACGATGACACGGAACCGCTCGGACCACTGGTCTCGGTCTCAGTCCCGCTCTGGTCCTGGTCTGTCCCGCCTCAGTCCCGCTCTGGTCCCGGTCTGGTCTCGGACCTGGATCAGTCCTGGTTCAGTCCGTATGCGGTGCAAAAGTCCGGCATCGCAGTCATGGAAGTCACATAAACGGGAAACAGCCGTTATCTGTTTTTTCATTTTGGTTTTGGAGAAAAATAGCTTAGAAAACTGTTGTTTTTTCGTTTTCTTATTTTTGGTTTTATATTGAAAAACCAATGAACGAATGATACACGGATTCCAAACCATATTAACATATAAAACAGGATACAAGAGGCAGAACTATGTACAGAAAACAACAACAAAAGAAAGCCTCTTTTATAAGAGCAGGAAAGAAAATGTCCTAAATGTTATAGAATAAACTTACACAATACAGAACACAATCTAAATATATGTTAATGTTCACACACACACACAGACACACACAGACACACTCTCCCTGTGCATGTTAATTTTTATACCTATTGGTTTATATTATACTCTTAAATATATATAATAATAAATAATTAAACATCTGTAACTGAGTAAACGCAAGACGTTAAAACCTCACTGTGGAACATTCTACGCAAAACAATCACTTCACCACGGAGACAACTGCAGATTTCAGTAGTAAAATAAAAATACTGTGATACAAACCTTTAGGCGCCATAGGACCTGGATTTCCCTGAAGAAATAAAAACACAGAAAGTAATTTATTAGTAGTAATAATTATTAACAGTGTTGGGAGTAACGCGTTATAAAAGTAACAAATTACTGTACTGCATTGCTTTTTGCTGTAACGCAGTAATGTGGCGTTACAGGGGAAAAACATGTTAATATTTCACTCGGTACAAATGTGAATAACACGTGTGACAATGCTTTTTTTTTTTTTTTTTTTTTATTTATAATTTGTCACATCCACAATAAGACAGACTTAACTAAACACGCATACAAAAAAAAAAAAAAAAAAAAAAAAAAATAATAAATAAAATAAACAATAATAATAATAATAATAATAATAAGGATAAATAAATAAAAATAAATAAATAAATAATAATAATAATAATAATAAAAATAAATAATAATAAGGATAAAAAATAAATAAATAAAATAATAATAATAATAATAATAACAATAATAATACCCCCCCCAAAAAAAAAAAAAAAAAACAGTACAGAGTTTCTCAATGCAGTGACACAAACATTTACATACACATATATTTTGACATTATCCAAGAGTATGTTGTTCTTATTTTACTGTGCTTTGTCCAAATAGGGTTTTGCCACAGTCCATAGGTCATCAGTCCGTTTTTTTTTTTTTGTGTCCAACGATTGAGCCGCCTGCTCCATAGAAATTAAATCCAAAAAATCTTTGTACCAATTGTCTATCTCGAAACATTTATGTTTGCGTTCCTTCCAGTTCATCATAATAATACGTTTTGCTGATAAAAACCCCCGTGATAATATGTGGTCCAGTTTTTGGGATGACAAATCTTGAGTTCTTATTCCAAATAGGCACAACAGCGAACATAGAGAAATCTGCTCATCAAACATACAAGACGGACGATCCATTACAATGCATTTTTAACCTGGACTGAAGTGGTGGGTTTTTCGTTTTTCTTCATGCAAATTCGCTAAAATCACCGCAATATCAGCAGCGGTGAAACGGCGGAGACGCGACAGGACCGACGCAGAACTCCACGCTCCACGGGGCGAACCGGAGCTGATGCCCGATTGTGCCTTACAGACACCCTGTTCCACGGGCTCGGGGTTCTCTCAGAGATTCCAAGTTCTAGTCCAAGATAAGTCCTGGTGTAGTCCTGGTTCAGTTCTGTTTTAGTCCTGGTTAATCCTGGTTTAGGTTTGGTTTAGTTCTGGTTTAGTTCTGGTTTAGTCCTGGTTCAGTCCTGGTTCAGTCCTGGTTCAATTCTGTTTTAGTCCTGGTTCAGTCCTCGGTTCAGTCCTGGTTCAGTCCGGGTTTAGACCTAGTTAAGTCCTGGTTTAGTCCTGGTTTAATCCTGGTTTAGTCCTGGTTCAGGTTCAGTTCTATTTTAATCCTGGTTAATCCTGGTTCAGGTTTGGTTTAGTTCTGGTTTAGACCTGGTTTAGACCTGGTTCAGTCCTGGTTTAGTCCTGGTTCAGGCCTCGGTTCAGTCCTGGTTTAGTCCTGGTTTAGTCCTCGGTTCAGTCCGGGTTTAGATCTAGTTCAGTCCTGGTTTAATCCTGGTTTAGTCCTCGGTTCAGTCCTGGTTTAGTCCTCGGTTCAGTCCTGGTTTAGTCCTGGTTCAGTCCTCGGTTCAGTCCTGGTTTAGTCCTGGTTTAGTCCTCGGTTCAGTCCTGGTTTAGTCCTCGGTTCAGTCCTGGTTTAGTCCTGGTTCAGTCCTGGTTAGGGTTTTTAGTCCTGGTTTAGTCCTCGGTTCAGTCCTGGTTTAGTCCTCGGTTCAGTCCTGGTTTAGTCCTGGTTCAGTCCTGGTTCAGTCCTGGTTCAGTCCTGGTTCAGTCCTGGTTCAGTCCTTGGTTCAGTCCTGGTTTAGTCCTGGTTCAGTCCTGGTTTAGTCCTGGTTTAGTCCTGGTTCAGTCCATATACGGCGCAGAAGTTCAGCATCTTCACAGTTATTTTGGTGAGAGTAACTTAAAAGTTCTGTAATATTTGTGTAATATTTTACATTTTAAACACAGTAATATTGTAATGTAACAAATGACTTTGAAATGTCAGAAACACGTCATAAATAAATAACACATTACAGTTTTAAAGTCACTTGCCCGACCGTGATTATTAAAGATGGATGTGTTTAAAAAGCCTTTGACAGGTTGGACTACTCATTTTACCAAAACACATGTAAGATCTTTAGTAAAAATTATAAACATTTTTCCTCGTTTGGCCTTTTTTCAGGTTTCAGATTTGACTTTCTGGTTGGAAATCATGACGCTGGGGAATTCTATAACTGTTCGCAAGCAACTATAATGTGGAGTAGGACAAAACTAGGCCAAATACACACAGAGATAATATTTTGACGAATAAAATAATAAGAAAACACCTTTATTTTGTTGAAATTGTGTTTAAATTAACATAATCTACTCTCTACTATCTGTAATTTCCAACATATTTTTCTTCACAAACTGCTTATTAATCAGTATAAAACTAAAATTTACATTTACAACACATGTATTCTCCCACCAATTTAAGTAAAAAAAAATATTATAGAATGATCAAAACATGCACACGTGAACTTACACTAAACCAAATAGTTCGTCCGTTACTGTCCCGGAGAGATTTCATTCCGTCCACGTAATAACACTGAAGCCAGGCCTCAAAGTCTGCGTAGTCCTGTTTTTCTGGATCATAACCTTTTCCGCCTGTTAAAATGAAAATATGAGTGAGTAAAACGGTCAGAGGGTCACACAAACACACCGACCTGTCGCCATAATCACTAAAGCAACTTGGCATTCAACATTTAGACTTAGACAATTGCTGATTGTTGACAATTATTGATCTACAAGGATCTGGACAAAGGAGCTTTCACATCATAATATATTATAATAACAAAGAGAAAAAATATAAATGGCAATGTTAAGTAGCAAAAATAACAAAAGATTGGTGTCAAATACGGCATAATTACCGTATACAGAGTGCTGTGAAAAAGTATTTGCCCCGTCCCGATTTCTTAATTTTTTTTGTACCTTTGTTACGCTTACTCATTTCAGATCAAGCAAACTTAAATATTAGACAAAAATAACTCACAAGTACAACTCATGTTAAGAGAAAAAAGTCATGTGAACGTACACGGCCCATTAGTGTGGTCCATCAAAGCAGGGTAAAAATAAAGTTTCACAAGTATCACCTCGATTAGAACCTGCATTAGGTTTTTGGAAGAAAAATAGATCTTTTAGACGTTGCTAAAGCTGCATGAAGTTTCCTGGAAATGGACAAATTTGGCATTTTTTTGGTATTTTTGTTTTCCTTAAGAAGCTTCACAGTCTGAAGATTCAGTTGTGAAGAAAGAACCTGAACAGTTTTGGGCGACATCTTTGGTCCTTGAGTAAAGAAATGTTTGTCCTGCATTCTTCAGTCCAGTGCGACAGAAGAACAGAAGAAACTGATGATCACAATATTATGGAAAAGGAAGGTTCAGTGGATCCACCAAAGCCACGTGACAAAACTCTTAATCCAGCAGATTATGAAGAGAAGCAGATCAGGGAGTTTGTCTCCATCAGCACCATGTGTTTCTTCAAAGCTCTTGATCTGCCAAAAACATTTTTAACAATTCCTCAGGAGACTGGGCTGATGATGCAGACTTTCAGGAACGGCTGAATCTGCATTCAGGAAAGTGTCAGTGATGTCACTGCAAGATTTTAACTGTAGTAGAACAAAGAATGAAGATCAGAAACTGTTTCTACTGCAGGAGTCAAACACACAGGAGCATCTTTAGTGACGCCAACAAACACACAGAGGAGCTCGACTTTACGAGACACTTTTATGAACTTTATAAGTCATTTTTATGCAAGTGTCAGTTGAAGTTTGCAGAATAAAATGACAAATTATTCGAACAGGCCTTATTTATTTGGTTCTATGTTATAGTCTAGGCCACAGGTGTCAAACATGCGGCCCGGGGGCCAGATCCGGCCCTCCAAGACCTTTAATCTGGCCCTCGGCTGATTTTCTACTAAAATATTTTAATTCTATATTTTTTATTAAAATCTTGTTAATTTTCTGTGGTGTTTATCACAGCAGCGTCTCCAGCGTCTCTGTACGTGGCCCCTCCCACCAGAGCAGCACAAATGAAGACTTGTCTCTTTCCAAACGCTCTTAAAGGACGATCGTTTTGACTGTTGACCGTGACACCCTCATCAGAAAAATGTCCAACATGAGAAAAGTGGAGCCGAGTGCAGAATTTTACAACAAAAATGGACTTATTCCTATTTCTACAAGTTCATTTTAAACAAGTTCATGTTAAAACTTTGTGTTGAAACTGGGTTATTTTTTAAGTTTCAGGTTGTTCATAATATTATAATATTTTGTAAAAGAAAGAGTTCATCAATTAAAAAAGATTTCTGTAATAGATTTGTGTTTCTCTGCACAAAATATTTGAACTTATTGTTATTTTTGGGGTTTATATGACATGAGTTTTCTGATCTGGACACTTTGGGATCAAAGTCGGTTCGATACGGCCCCCGGAACAAAATGAGTTTGACACTCCTGGTCTAGGCTCTAAAGGGCAATTTTCAAGTGTCTTGAGCAAACTCTAAATATGAATTAATTTGCATAAAATTTGGACCCAAATATTTTGGCCAGATATGAAACCAAATGCAGAGTTCTAATCTACAATCTAAAAAAAAAAAAACTGGCCCACACCTAATTTTCATGGAGACCAACCAGACCAAGTTCCAGGTCAGATCTGTGGAGAGGCGACTCGCTCACAGTCAGAATGTTTGTTTTTCTAGGGATTTTTGAGCTGTAAAACCACCTGTAACTGAATAAATAAAACCAAAATGAAAAAATGAAAAATGGAAAAAAACAGGTAACGACCGTTTCCCATTTATGTGACTTAAACTGTGACGCCGGACTGAACCAGGACTAAACCGGTCTCAGTCCTGATCACCCAACAGTCCATGCTCAGTCCTGGTTCAGTCCAGGCTCAGTCCTGGTTCAGTCCTGGTTCAGTCCTGGTTCAGTCCTGCATCACAGTTTAAGTCACGTAAACGGGAAATGGTTGTTAAAATAAAAAAATAAAAACATTTAGACCACCCTAATCTTCAAGGAGACCAGACCAAGTTCCAGGTCACGGTTTACGAACGGAATCAACAGACGTGTTTTTGTTAGTTTACGCCACATTTCAGCGAGAGGTGAGAGGAACTGACCGAGACGCACGACCTCCAGAGGGACGGTGTGACAGAGCCGCAGCACGTCCGGAGTCTCCTGTTTCACTCGCTTCTTCATGTCGTCCATCTTTAAAACACGACAAGTTAAACATTAGGAAAAACTGTGGGCCCATTTACAAACCCGGTAAAAAAATAATATAAATAGAATAATCAGATAAACCAAGATTTAGATTAGGGATGTGCAAAAATATCTGAAATATCAACATATTGTATTGTTTAATGTGATGATGCAGTATTAATATCGTGGGCTGCTGTTTAGACCTGGTTCAGTTCTGGATTAGACCTGAATTAGTCATTTTTTAGACCTGGTTTAGTCCTGTTTCAGTGCTGGTTTAGACCTGGTTTAGTCCTGGTTTAGTCCTGGTTTAGACCTGGTTTAGTCCTGGTTTAGTCCTGGTTTAGACCTGGTTTAGTCCTGGATTAGTCATTTTTTTAGACCTGGTTTAGTCCTGTTTCAGTGCTGGTTTAGTCCTGGTTTAGTCCTGGTTGAGTCCTGGTTGAGTCCTGGTTTAGTCCTGGTAGAGTCCTGGTTTAGTCCTGGTTTAGTCCTGGTTTAGTCCTGGTTTAGTCCTGGATTAGTCATTTTTTAGACCTGGTTCAGTTCTGGTTTAGAACTAATTTAGTCCTGGTTTAGTCCTGGTTTAGACCTGGTTTAGACCTGGTTTAGACCTGGTTTAGTCCTGGTTTAGACCTGGATTAGTCATTTTTTAGACCTGGTTTAGTCCTGGTTTAGACCTGGTTTAGTCCTGGTTTAGACCTGGTTTAGTCCTGGTTTAGTCCTGGTTTCAGTCCTGGTTCAGTCCTGGTTCAGTCCTGGTTCCTGGTTCAGTCCTGGTTCGGTCCTGGTTCGGTCCTGGTTCGGTTCCTGGTTCGGTCCTGGTTCGGTCCTGGTTCGGTCCTGGTTCAGTCCTGGTTCAGTCCTGGTTCAGTCCTGGTTCAGTCCTGGTTCAGTCCGGCATCTCAGTTTAAGTCACGTAAATGAGAAACGTCCGTTAACCGTTTTTTCCGTTTTTCATTTAAACACAAAATCGAAAACTAAAAAAAAACAAATACATCTTAATGAAGATAAAAAATTTAATAAGTAAAGATTATAGCCAACGTGGCTCGTTTCCATCTTCAGTCCCTCGGCAGGTTGATGTAAAATTATCTACAGGATCAGTTTTTTTCATTTTGGTTTTGGAGACAAATAATGATAATAGTTGTTTTTTGGTTTTCTTATTTTTGGTTTTATTTTGAAAAACGAATGAACAAATGACACACGGATTCTGAAGCTTGAACTGATTCTGCCTTTACCCTTTATTCCTTTGTCAGAGCGTCGTCTTTAAACTCGTTCATCTTCATAAATACTTCAAGAGAAAACAAACAAATCAGTAACAGGACAACAGAGTTCTACAACACAAACTAAAGGTCATAGTTCATGTATCTGCCCAGAGTTAAACATTTCTTCCTTTTAAAATGTCAGAGTGATGCAGTTTTATGTCTTTTGTACAATCGCGGCTCTGACACTAAAACAACTTTTGCGCCAAGTTACGAAATGTTATGAAAATTTATCAGAACACTCCCATTTTACTCATCTAAACAGCGAAAATGTCAAATGTGTTGCATAAACGAGTTTCCTCCCTTTGAGCAAGCAACAAAACCGTAGCTCTGTAACAAAATAATCTAGAAAATCAACCAAAAAATACTCTTGGAGATATATCGATACACTACGATATCAATACTGTATCATCACATTAAACAATATGATATTTAGATATTTTTGCACACGCCTAGTCCCAGCAGAAAACAATACAATAATCAGATCAAAATGGTGTTAAATCTCACCGTCTCTTGGGTTTCACACACGTCGTCCGGGTCCAGTCCTGTGAGAACGGTCCGGGCGCACTCAAACGGAGGAATGTTCAGCCTGGAAAACATTTTAAAAAGTCCAAAACTTAGTAAGTTTTTATTTATATAGCACTTTCCACAGATATTTGTCCCAAAGTCGCATTACAGAGCATTATTCATTCACTCCAGACGCGGTGGTGTAAACTACTGTTGTAGCCACAGCTGCCCTGGGACCAGTGTTGTGAAAGTGACTTTTAAAATGTAATCCCCTACAGATTACAGATTACATACCCCAAAATGTAGTTTGTAACAGAATCCATTAAATTACTTAAAGTGAGTAATGTAATCTGAATACTTTGGATTACTTGATTTACTGTAGAGAAACAAAGACGAGGAAATCGTAACATAAGATGTTTTGTCTGATAAAAGAAAATAAAAAGTCCAGACTTTACTGAACCAAATTAAAAATATTATTGATAGAAGAAGAAGAGACACGTCCACACAGCAGGATTTAGTCCTGTTAAATCCTGGTTTAGTCCCATTTTAGTCCTGGTTTAGACCTGGTTTAGACCTGGTTTAGTCCTGGTTAGTCCTGGTTTAGTCCTGTTTAGTCCTGTTTAGTCCTGGTAGTCCTGGTTTAGACCTGGTTAGACCTGGTTTAGACTGCTTTAATCCTGTTTTAGTCCTTTTAGTCCTGTTTAGTCCTGGTTTTAGACCTGGTTTAGACCTGGTTTAGACCTGGTTTAGTCCTGGTTTTTAGTCCTGGTTTAGTCCTGGTTTAGTTTCCTGTTTAGTTTGGGTTTAGACCTGGTTTAATTTAAATCTGAGTCCTGGTTTAGTTTCCGGCAATTAGTGGAATTACTGAAAAAAAAAAAAAAAAGAAAAAGAAAAAGAGGATACAGCCCAAAATGTGAAAACAGTAAAATACCTTTGTGTAATCCATTTATTTCAACAAAGTAACTGTAATCCAATTACCACTCACTGAAACAGTAACTGTAACTGAATACAGTTACTCATCATTTGTACTCTGATTACATAACTCTGGTACATGTAATCTGTTACTCCCGACACTGTCTGGGACAGACTGACTGAAGGCCCCTCCGACCACCACCACTCACCACACACACCTACACACACACACACACACACAACACACCTACACACACACACACACACACACACACACACACACACACACACACACACACACACACACACACACACACTCACACACACACACACACACACTCACACACACACACACACACACACACACACTCACACACACACACACCACACACACACACACACACACACACACACACACACACACACACACACACACACACACACACACACACACACACACGCACACACACACACAACACACACACACACACACACAGACACACAGACACACACACACACACACAGACAGACACACTCCACTTTCATACTGGACAGTCTTGTGTCTTGCCTAAGGACACGGCGACTGTGACTGTTGCCCCCCTGTGGTCTCCTATATTTACACAAAAATGACTCTTCTAAGGTTTAATCCATGTTAGAATGTTGTTACCGCCTCAAAAACAGACCTGGACTTGTGTTTTGTTTCTTTCACATGTTTGAGTAAATCTTTATTATTCGTCTGTCTTCATCTCCAAAGCTCAAAACGCTCTGCTCCACCTTGTGATGTCATGAAGCTGTAGTTTGTTTGACTTGAATCAATGGATAATTGAAAAAACAAAGTGTCCATCCATCCATTTTCTTCCTCTTATCAGGGGTCGGGTCGCGGGGGCATCAGTCTAAGCGGGGACTCCCAGACTTCCTTCACCCCAGACACTTCCTCCAGCTCCTCTGGGGGGGTCAAAGTGTGTGGAGCTTAAAAACACTTCAAAAGAAACAGAAAACGCACACCAAAGTTCTTGCAGAGGTGCGAATGCAAGGAGCACGATACGATATCATCACGGTATGAACCTCACGGTACGATATTTCTCACGATATCATGGGAAAGCTCACGATATGGAGGAGAGGAGATAGAGATGTAACAAAATCCAAATCTCTCAGTACGATATTTTCACGATAAACATCACAGTACGATATTTATTGTGATATTTTGTGGAGGTTAAACAGCTAAAACTGTAAATATGTGACTTTTTCCTCTTAAAATGCCTTGACAAGACTTAATCCAAAAGACTTAAAAGTGTCAGAACTGTTATTTCTTCTTGTCGTCTGCACTAAAATGGAGCAAAGGATCATGGTCTATGTAGTTCCATGTGTTTTTTAAGCTGTTGCTGCATCATAACTCTTCATTTAAGCAAAGAGAATTGTAATTCGATATATTGTGATGGTCCACAATAGAGCCCGACCAATATGGATTTTGTTGTGGCCGATATGAAACCGATAAACTGGGAGTTGGAGCTGCCGATAGCCAATATAATCGCTGATATATTTAGTGATGTAAAAATTCACTGTAAATCTTGAATTGTCTAAAAAAAACTTAGGTTTGGCTCTAGTGGATATTAAATTGGATTTATTTAAGCAACATTTACTGTTTTTCTGCTTCTTTACATCATATTTACAGACAGTAGTTCGGACTAATGACATTTTTGCATCACATTCTACACACTAGTGATGGGTATTCCAGTTCTTAGAGAACCGGCTCTTTTGGCTCGGCTCACTAAAAGCAGCTGGCTCTTTCGGTCTGCACTAATAAATGTCCTTTTAATCCAGATTCAAACCGATTGTCCGTAAAAAGAAAATAATCTCAGTGTTGCGCTCGGCTGCGGGTGTAAACAAACACACGTGAGTGACGTGACGTGATGTGACTCTGTGGTGTGTTCAGGGACAGTACAGACACACACACAAATGACTCCACTGATAAATACTGATGTGGAGCCACATATCAGGACATTTATCTGTCTGTAAACTGGATTAAATGAACATAATGTAGAGAGTCTAAGCTTTATAACGAGGTATAACATGCCCACGTGAAATATCGGCCCTTATCAGCCAATAATATCGGCCACCCGATATATCGGTCGGGCTCTAGTCCACGATATTATTGTGAGAACTTTGACGATACGATATCACGATATTTCGGTTATTGTTACATCCCTAGTATTGGACCTTTAAATTTAGAAGTGAGCAAGGTACCCACTTTGCCACTTTTACATTTTTCAGTAAGAGCAATGTCCCTGTCTGTTAAGATTATAAGTTTAACCCTCGTAAAGCACCTGTACTGCTATTTTGGACTTTTTTTTTAATGACCCAGTGACCCCTTTTTTCCTTCATCTTGCAGCTCCAGGTGTGTTTGTGATGAGGAAACAACATTATAACACACTTTAGATCAGAGAACAGTGGAATATTGTCCCTTTGAGAAGAAAACAATGCTCTTTTCATTCGCCAAAGTTTCAGTTTCAGCCGCCCCCAAGGCCTCCAAACTAAAAACAAACCTCTTCAGACTGAACAAAGGCACATTTAAAAGTCTCGACTCAATAGTCCTTGAATCCTGCTTTGCTCAGAGTCACGCAGCCGATAAACTGTTCCAGGAAAAAAAAAAAAAAAAAAAAAAAACAAGCACCAGGGTCTACAGGTGGAATTTAGCTCTCGTGCTGCGAATTGGCACAAAACATCTTTGTACCAGACTGTGCACTGTCCCTGTCTCATAAATAAATAAAAATAATATATATATATAATAACAATAATAAACTTTCCTCAACGGCTCAACAGGACAGCAGGGTTTAAAGGGCCTGTAATCGCCTGGATAGAAACGATAGCAGTGGAAGAGGAACAAAGCCGAGTTGAGCTCGAGTTGAGGCGAGTTTCAGCTGACGTCATTGTTATTAAAAGCCCGCGTTGCTGCTGGGAAATATTTTGGTCGGAGGCAAGAAACACGGTAGCGTCAAACACAGTGTGTAACCTCGCGTATTTATCACCGATAATGGTAAATTCCTGCTGCATTATCGGATGCACAAATAGAAACACGGAAGAAGGAAAATGTCTTTTTCGTATTCTGAGTGAAAAGAACCGCCAACGGTGAATTAAATGACTTTCAAACATCCGCAGAGCAAACGTAGAAGATCCTAACAAACCGTGGACTCCAACAAGTTCAACAACACATCGAGACTCTTGGAGGTTTTCATCTTTTCTGCTGTGAATGGCCCAGGAGTTTCCACCAAGTCATTGTGGATGTCGCCCAAGTGAATATTTGTCCAGGTAGTTGGTGATTCTGACCAGAAATTTGGTTTGTTCCACCTTCTGTAGTGGTTGAAAAGGGTGATTTGTTGCCCGTTGATGTTTATGACCAATTTCTGGTCAAATGGTCTTGGGTCCTCTGCCGTTAGAGTGGATAAATAACCGGGATCAATACCCTTTACGTGCTTTCTCGCTCCGTCCGTCGTGTTGAATTAGTGTTTACCAAAATAATTCCCTGCATGCAACGCACGCTTTTGTCAACAATGAAACTCGCCTATACATGCATCACAAATTTCAGACATCTGGTCATCACGCACAATTCACACTGGGAAGGATTTTCCGAAAAAGTGAACATCAAACCTCCATGTTTGTTTTCCCAGTGGGATGTGTCTATTGTCAAAGTCGATCTTTTCAAGTCTTTTGAACCATATCACTTTTGTTTCTGGTTCTGATATTGTCATATACAGTGTTGGAGAGTAACAGATTACATGTACTGGAGTTAAGTAATCCAGGTTACTAAAACCAGGTCTAAACTAAATCTAAAACAGGACTAAAACAGGTCTAAAACAGGACTAAAACCAGGTCTAAAACAGGACTAAAACCAGGTCTAAAACAGGATTAAAACCAAGTCTAAAACAGGATTAAAACCAGGTCTAAAACAGGATTAAAACCAGGTCTAAACTAAATCTAAAACCAGGTCTAAAACTAAATCTAAACCAGGTCTAAAACAGGACTAAAACCAGGTCTAAAACAGGACTAAAACCAGGTCTAAAACTAGATCTAAAACCAGGTCTAAACTAAATCTAAACCAGGTCTAAAACAGGACTAAAACCAGGTCTAAAACAGGACTAAAACCAGGTCTAAAACAGGATTAAAACCAGGTCTAAAACTAAATCTAAACCAGGTCTAAAACAGGACTAAAACCAGGTCTAAAACAGGATTAAAACCAGGTCTAAAACAGGATTAAAACCAGGTCTAAACTAAATCTAAACCAGGTCTAAAACAGGACTAAAACCAGGTCTAAAACAGGACTAAAACCAGGTCTAAAACAGTATTAAAACCAGGTCTAAAACAGTATTAAAACCAGGTCTAAACTAAATCTAAGCCAGGTCTAAACCAGGACTAAAACAGGTCTAAAACAGGACTGAAACTAGGTCTAAAACAGGATTAAAACCAGGTCTAAACTAGATCTAAACCAAGTCTAAACCAGGACTAAACCAGGACTAAATCCTGCTGTGTGGACGTGTCTCTTTTTCTATCAATAATATTTTTAATTTGGTTCAGTAAAGTCTGGGCTTTTATTTTCTTTATCAGACAAAACATCTTATGTTACGATTTCCTCGTCTTTGCTTCTCTACAGCAAATCAAGTAATCCAAAGTATTCAGATTACATTACTCACTTTAAGTAATTTAATGGATTCCATTACAAACTACATTCTGGGATATGTAATCTGTAATCTGTAGGGGATATTTGGTCATATTTTAGTTTTGGAATTCAGTCATCGTAATTTTGTGATTGTTGGATCCTAACAGCGGAAAACAGCTCAAGAAATGGGCTTCGGAAGTTTGCCAACTCCATTGTTTTCCCAGTGGGACGTGTCTATTGTCAAAGTCGATCTTTTCAAGTCTTTTGAACCATTTCACTTTTGTTTCTGGTTCTGGTCATATTTTAGTTTTGGGATTCAGACATCGTAATTGTGTGGTTTTTGGATCCGAACAGCGGAAAACGACTTGAGAAATTTGTTTGTGAACTCCATAAATACAAAAGTGAATCAGATGTGTGTGACTCCAAACCTCGGTTCAAACTGTTTCTCTTCCCAACGGAATTGAAAAATAGTGAAAGGTGAAGGTGATGGGCAGGATTGATCCACAGGAAGAACCAAAAAGGAAACATTTGACTGACTAAATCATCCTGAGTTTGCAGAGAACATTTTGTAAGTGGAGTAACGACAAAACAAAATCCCGATCCCTCACTCAACCTTGATTACAAATGTAAACAGTCAACACCAAAGTGAAAGGCACCAACTGTTCACCAAGAAACACCTTCCACTGCAAAGAGACCAAGACGGTCTCACGGTTTCTCAGGCATGTAAACGCAGTATCACAAATACTGACATAACCGGGACATGGCTAATAACTGGGATACTGATGTGCATGTAAACACACTCAGTGATGTGTGTGTCGACTTTTGTCAGATAGAACAGCTGAACACACTCGTGGCTCGTTCTTTTTACAACACAAATCAAATATTGTTCAGAAAGTTCTTCCCAAGTCTGTCGCAGAAGTTTCCATAAATGTGTGGCACTTGTAGGTTGCTTCACTCTTCAGTCTTCAGCTCGATGGGGTTTAAGTCTGGACACTCCAGGTTTTCAAGGTTCTTTTTTCTTACTAAACCAGGTCTAAACAATATGACACTTACCAGCAGGTGGACATAATGTAAAGCAGCAGTGACCTCATATAACAATAATTTCTCTATCAATAATATTTTTTTATTTATAAGAATCTCGGACTTCCGGTCATCGCACAATTCATACTGGGAAGGATTTTCTGAAAAAGTGATCATCAAACCTCCATGTTTGTTTTCCCAGTGGGATGTGTCTATTGTCAAAGTCGATCTTTTCAAGTCTTTTGAACCATATCACTTTTGTTTCTGGTTCTGATATTGTCATATTTTAGTTTTGGGATTCGGATGTCATAATTGTGTGTGGTTGTTGGATCCTAACAGCGGAAAACGACTTGAGAAATTTGTTGGCGAACTCCATAAATGCAAAAGTGAATCAGATGTGTGTGACTCAAACCTCTGTTCAAACTGTTTCTCTTCCCAACGGAATTGAAAAATAGTGAAAGGTGAAGGTGATGGGCAGGATTGATCCACAGGAAGAACCAAAAAGGAAACATTTGTCTGACTAAATCATCCCGAGTTTACAGAGAACATTTTGTATGTGGAGCGACAACAAAACAAAATCCCGATCCCTCACTCAACCTTGATTACGAATTTAAAAAGTCAACACCAAAGCGAAAGGCACCAACTGTTCACCAAGAAACACCTTCCACTGCAAAGAGACCAAGACGTGATGTTGCTGTAAAACCACAAGAACAAGAAAGTGCAGCTCAGTCTGTTTGTCTTCTGCTCCTCTCCATTAACAAACGGGATTTTGCTTTGTTGTCGCTCCACGTACAAAATGTTCTCTGCAAACTCGGGGTTGATTTCTTGCCCCTGACAAAACCCCGAGAGCTCCGGAGTCCCTCACCTGTGCAGGATCTCCGCTCGCAGGTAGTTCCCGATGCCGTTGAAGTATTTCTGATTGAGCAGAACTTCACAGATGGGTCGGTCGAAGGCGTGGTCGGACAGACGAGACAGAACATTCTCCCTGGAAAAAAAAAAAAAAAAAAACGGGAGCTGTGAGTTTAAAGTTAGTTAGATGTTCCACAGTTTGGCATTAACTTCTCCATCTTGTATTTACTCATTTACTAAGAAATAGCTTGAAAAACAAATTTATTTTTCTGCAAGCGGATCTCGCCCCTCCACAGATTTGACCAATAACTGGGCCAGTGTCACCTGCTCATAGTGTAGATTTAATGCCGTGCTGTGGAACATGCAAGGCAACGCGATCTCCATGGAGACAGTTGTCCTTTAAGCTTCTTCTTAAAAGAATCTAATGTAGTAATCTAAGTTCTAATGTTGTTTCCTCATCACAGACAGACCTGGAGTTGTGTTTTGTGAGTTATTTTCTCAATTTGTGATGTCATGTTTTTTTTTTTGTTTTTTGTTTTTTATTTAGATCCCCATGAGCTACTGAATAAAGACAGTAACTTTTTTTCCTGGGGTCTACATCTGTGCCTAGTCAGTCTGACGTCACCTAGTTCCTCCGCTCAGTTTCATTTCTCTCCAGCGACTAGATCGGGAATCAGAAAACACTAGACCAGGAGTGTCAAACTCATTTTGTTCCGGGGGCCGTATCCAACCGACTTTGATCCCAAAGGGGCCGGATCAGAAAACTCATGACATATAAACCCCAAAAATAACAATAAGTTCAAATATTTGTGCAGAGAAACACAAATCTATTACAGAAATCTTTTTTAATTGATGAACTCTTTCTTTTACAAAATATTATAATATTATGAACAACCTGAAACTTTAAGAAAAAGGCAATTTTAACACAAAGTTTTAACATGAACTTGTTTGTAAACAGGAATAAATCCATGTTTCTTGTAAAATCCTGCACTCGGCTCCACTTTTCTCATGTTGGACATTTTTCTGATGAGGGTGTCACGGTCAACAGTCAAAACGATCGTCCTTTAAGAGCGTTTGGAAAGAGACAAGTCTTCATTTGTGCTGCTCTGGTGGGAGGGGCCACGTACAGAGACGCTGGAGACGCTGCTGTGATAAACACCACAGAAAATTAACAAGCTTTTAATAAAAAATAGAATCAAAATATTTTAGTAGAAAATCAGCCGAGGGCCAGATTAAAGGTCTTGGAGGGCCGGATCTGGCCCCCGGGCCGCATGTTTGACACCTGTGCTCTAGACGGTTCGCAAAAACCCTGGAAGTGTGAGTTTGGGCACCAGCCAATCAGAGAAGAGACAGACATTCTGTGTTGTCAACGATTCCTGAGATCGAGGATTTAAAGCCGAACAAAGAGAATGTTTGGTGAATTTCATCAAGAGGAAAGACGTTATTGTTCTTCTTCCTACGGGATTTGGGAAAAGCTTAATAAACCAGTGATACAGCAGTGATTGGTTAAATAAAAAAAGTACCCGCCTACCGTCGAGCAAATTAATTCTAACACTGCAAGGTCAGACTTTCACTTCATAGAAACCGGCTGATGCATTCATAGCCTGGCACAGATGTAGCCTGATTCTTTTTTTTAATTTTCATACAGGAAACAGACAGAGGATGTACAATAGTGTTATAACTTTTTTACAACCTCTACACCCTGTATCATATTTTGATGAACTTTTGCCAGTAATGAAAGGAATTGACCTTCAGTTGGTCATATTTTTGGAAAAAAAGTCTCCCCAGACTCAAAATGAAGTTTTGGTAAAGCAACAACCAGAATAAAACTGTTATAAGGTTCATATCTGTTCAATCATAAAATAACCAAAGGCAATTTTCTCTTTAATAACACAGGAACAAAACACATGATCAGGGTAAAGATCATATAAAATAGGAAACTAAAAATCCAAAAATGATGATTGTCAGTGTTGTTAGCGACGATGAATCAAATGGTTTATAAAGTGAAACAAGAATAGAAACTGAAACTCCAGTATTATGATGACAGTATAACTTATTATTGATCCATTTTCAGTTAAATTGACTTGTCATGGTCCTTGTGAGAACTTAACACCATTTCACATTTCATATCATTGGCTGTAATGTGTATTTAATTATTATTTTTTGTTTCGGGGGGACTTTTTTTAAAAGCGTGTTGAAAATGAAGTTTGGTTTCTTCAATTATACCAAAAAGTTCATCCAATCATGATGCAGGACTTTGATTTTGGAAAAAAAAAGTTTAAAAAGTTATAACCCTAATGCACAAGCACCAGGAGGGTGGGCCACAAAATGATGGTATTTTTTTTTTTAAGTTTCAAATTTCTTTCCTGCCAATGTTTTATTTGAGTCTAACCCATGAAAAAATATTCCATGTAAAATCTCAGCCTGATTAGTTCATATTTAGAGGCAGCTCAAGCTCTAAAGTTTTGTTTTTGAGTCATTTGTCATTCACTGTGTTTTTGTACAAACTGCAGTAAACGATGATAAATTCTAATGAAAACAGAGTATCCCCAAGTTTGATTACACCAGATTTAAGACTTTTGAAAGACCTTTTAAAGAGCACTTAAAAGAAAATCAAGACCTACACCGCACCCAAAAACACCAGATCCAAACAACTACAGAACTATATTGAGAATCTAAGAGCCACTGTGGATTAAACCGTCACTTCCTCATGATCCATCCAGCATCTTCCACTCAACTGATTGTTTACTCATCACCGCCGGCGCCAGAAACCAAAGTATTGTTTGTGTGTACTCCAAATGAGACGTTCAATCACGTTACATGATTCCACGTGGTTGTTTTTTTCCCCTCCCTCCATTTAACATCACACTGCAGCCCGGTTGAGTTTACAACAAATAGGCTAACGAAATTTAAACCCTTTAAGACTTGGACAACATAATTTAAGACTTTTTAAAGGCCTTGATTTAGGAACATGAAATTTAAGATCTTTTTAAAACTTTTAAGACCCCGTGGCTCCACTGGAAAGGTAAATACTGTGTATTTAAATGAAAATTTGGTAACACGTTATAATAACTACACCTTACTTAGCCTTAATAAAGCATGAACAAAGACTTAATTAATAATGAACAAAGATTTAATTAAAGGTTGTATGGAGGATTTTTTTTTTTTTAGTTCAAAATTGTCAGTGAAAGTTTAAAATACCATTACAGAGATGCAGCAGCCTTGTAATTATGATGATTTTTAAAAAAAAGAATGAAAATCTATCAGCTGTGGACGTAGTGAGGCCGGATAAACATCAGCCAATAGAAAACGAGGCTGCCTCATTTTCTATTGGCCCTTAGGTTGTCAATCAAACTCCCTACGCGCGGGGATTACGTGGTTTATGCAGCGATTCTTAGGGGCTTTTTCAAACTGTAGCTTCTTCGCATTTTGCACAAAGTTTGTTGCGACGGCGGACGAGAATCCACGATCAGTTCGCCGCAAAAGAAAGTCAGTTTTTGAGGTCGCTGAAAGAAGAAGAGAAGGAGAAAAGGAGCGAAGACAAACTGAGGTGATTCTTGGAGATTTCTTCCAGCGACGGCGCGAATGAAGCAGACGAAGGGTCTAAAAACTGAAGACGGTTGCTAAAATATTTCTAGACAGGAAACTTCAGCAGTAATTCTGAACATGCACTGGATGTAAACAAGCCTGATTTCTAGAGTAAAGAGGCGGGAGGAGATGTTTCTACTGAGGGAGATGTGGAGGAGGAAGGTGGTGTCATACATGTAAAAGGACTGTCGCTGTATTTCTCTTCCCTTGAAATATCCTCTATACAACCTTTAATAATGATTCACGCTTAGTAAATGCTTAATAAAGCATAATTTGTCTTCACTTTAGAAAAGCTCTCAAAAAGACTTAACTAACAGATAACAGCTGCCTGAATGATCATTGCTTTGCATTATTAGTAAATCATTCTCTCATGGCTTATTAATGATTAATAAATGCTCAAATGTTTAGTTCATGAGTAATTAAGTATGAAATAATTATGAGTAACTATTTACAGCACAAGCAAATTAAGTGCAAGTGCTAATTAAGGTAGTAATTAAGTAGTTACTAAGCGTGACTCATTATTAATTAAGTCTTTGTTCATGCTTTATTAAGGCTAAATAAGGTGTAGTTATTATAATGTGTTATCGAACATTTTAATAATAGAAAATAAACTTTGATTTGTATAACTGCTTTATGTTTTTACGGCTGTTTTTCTTCAGTGACGTCCACTCAGAGAAAAGTGAAAGAATCTTTTCATTCCCATCATTGGTCATGGCACTGACACATGTATCTTTGCACTGAAGGAGATGTTGGATAAATATAATTCCCAGGGGTCCACTATATTCATGTGTTTTTTAGATGCTTCTAAAGCATTTGATCGGATTAATCATGGGAAACTATTCAGCAAATTAACAAACCGAGGTGTTCCAGGGTACCTCATTAGAATACTTATCTTCTGGTGCACCTGTCAGTCCATGCAGGTGAAATGGGGTGATTCTACTTCTGACTCTTTTAGGGTCAGTAATGGAGTTCGCCAGGGTGGAATCCTGTCTCCCCTTCTGTTTAATATCTATGTTGATGACCTGTCTGTGCAGCTGAATGAATGTAAAATTGGATGTTTTGCTGGTGATTATCTGTATAATCATTTAATGTATGCAGATGACCTAGTGCTGCTGTGTCCTTACAGTGCAGGTCTGCAGCAGCTTTTAAATATCTGTTCTCAGTTTGGCTTTGAATATGACATTAAGTACAATGCTTGGAAAAGTCACGTAATGATTGTTAAAACAAAAGAGGACAAAAAGTTGTCCTTTCCTGTTTTCTCTGTGTGCGGGAGTGCCCTCCAACTCACAGATGAGGTCAAAATATCTTGGACATTATGTGTCACCAGTGAGTCTCAGATGATAGAGACATGTACAGGCAGCAGTGTGAGCTTTATGGCCAGGCCAATATGCTTGTCCGTAAGTTCTCTATGTGCTCCAGTCATGTCAAAATTGCACTTTTTAAATGTTTTTGCTCACCTTTGTATACTGCGCATCTTTGGCGTAACTATAAGAAAAAGAGTTTGCAGAGTTTGACAGTGGCGTATAACGACTCTTTGAGAATATTACTGAAAGTGCCGAGGTTCTGTAGCGCCAGTGAATTGTTTGTAAATTGTGATGTGAGACCCTGTGCTGTCATAATCAGGTGTTGTATTTATTCATTTATGTGTAGAGCCGTGAATCTGAGTCATCAAATCATTGAAGCTCTAGTGTGTTCCTGTGAGGAGCTCTGTCAGATTCACCTCTGAGCTGTGGAGACACTGGCTCTTGTCTGTAAACATTATAACATGCACTGTATTTAACTTTTTATTCTTACTATTGTTTTTTTTTTTTTTTCTTTTTATACTATGAACCAGATATCATGTGTTCTTAATAAAGATTGAATTGAATTGAATTCTTTTTGGGGTTTTTTTATTCTACCACAATCTCATGACTTCTCCCCAAACGACGCCGGCGCTGAATAGAAATGTGACCAAAAAATGTGACCAAAAAATGTGACCAAAAAATGTGACCGGCACTGCATAAAAACGTGACCATAAAAAATGACCACAAACACGGAGAAAAACACGGAGCACCTGACCACGTGAGGACAATTTGTTCCAGTATCTGCGCCTCTGAGTTTGAGAACAGATAAAAACGCCTCGCAGACGACTTAAGAACGACTGGTGCTCTTTCTAAAGGGAACGCAGAACAGTTTCACATTAAAAAGCTTTACCTGAAAAATAAAATAAAGTAAAATCTTGTGTAACCAGTAGAAAAAATAAGGTCGAGCTTGAGCTGCTCCTAAACATTTACCAGTTAAACTAAAATTTTGCACACGTTTTTTTTTTTTTCCATAGGTAAACTCAAACTAAACTGTCTAGAACTTAGATTTTCTGAACCACCCTAAACTGTTCCACATTCACACTGACAAAGGAACAAAAACTAAACAAAACCAGACACCACAAAAATAACAAAAATATACAAATAATCATGATCATTAAAATAACTGCTTGACTTTTGTTCAGATTAGAGACAGAATCATTTAAATATTCAAATATTAAGCCCTAAACCAGGACTAAACTAGGACTAAACCAGGACTAAACCAGGACTAAAACCAGGTCTAAACCAGTACTAAATCTAGGTCTAAACTAGGTCTAAACCAGGATTAAACCAGGACTAAACCAGGACTAAACCAGGACTAAAACCAGGTCTAAACTAAAACTAAACTAGGTCTAAACCAGGACTAAACCAGGATAAAACCAGGACTAAACCAGGACTAAAAGACTAAAATCAGGACTAAAACCAGGTCTAAACCAGGACTAAACCAGGACTAAACCAGGACTAAAACCAGAACTAAACCAGGTCTAAAACCAAGACTAAACCAGGATTAAAACCAGGACTAAACCAGGAAAACCAGGTCTAAAACCAGGACTAAACCAGGTCTAAACCAGGACTAAAACCAGGACTAAAACCAGGACTAAAACTAGGTCTAAACCAGGTCTAAACCAGGACTAAATCATGTCTAAACCAGGACTAAAACCAGGACTAAACCAGGACTAAACCAAGACTAAAGTCAGGACTAAAACCTGGTCTAAACAGCACTAAATCTAGGTCTAAACCAGGACTAAAAGGACTAAAACCAGGACTAAACCAGGACTAAAACTAAAATCAGGAAAATCTAAAACAAAACTAAAACCAGAACTAAACCAGTCTAAACCAGGACTAAAACCAGGACTAAACCAGGACTAAACCATGACTAAACCAGGACTAAAACCAGGACTAAACCAAGACTAAAGTCAGGACTAAACCCTGGTCTAAACAGCACTAAATCTAGGTCTAAACCAGGACTTAAACCAGGACTAAAATTAGGACTAAAACCAGGTCTAAACCAGGTCTAACCCAGTCTGTTTATCAGTGTGTGGTGTGGATTTCTGACCTAAATCTTTTATACTCAAACATCACACAGGGGCCTCGGTCGGGTTGCCAGGTCCCGTTGGGTTGCCAGGTCCCGAAGCGCCGCGTGTCCACGAAACTCAGCACCCGGCGCGGCTTCTCTTTCGTGTAAAACCTCAAATGCGCGTGTTTGGGCAGCTCCTCCTCCGCGGTCATCTTGAACAGCCCGGACATCCCGAAGCGAAACACGACGTCCATGGGCTCCGTCCCGTTTCTCCTTTTCCCGTCGTCTCCGGGTTTGGGTCGGAGGGTCAGCTTCACCTCCTTCCCTCTGGACGCGGCGGTGATGGTGTACGCCTCGCAGCTGAAGGGGACGTCGGGGCTCTTGCTGACGTCGGATTTGCGCACGGCTCCGGTGAACACGACGCCCTCGCACACTCGGTTCACGTAAAGACTGGCCAGGTGCAGCTCGGGTCCCTCCGGCATGTCGTCTGCGTCCGAACGCCTGAAAAAAAAACTGTAAAGACGGTGTTTGAGTCGGACTAGTTCTACATTTAAAAGGTTTTATCTTACACGAAAATGACTCTTGTGAGTTTTACAATGTGGCTGCGTCCTCACAAACAGACCTGGAGTTGTGTTTTGTTTAACCCTCTAACTCTTTATTATTAGTCTGAACTAAAACCAGGACTAAAATCAGGACTAAACCAGCACTAAATCTAGGTCTAAACTAGGTCTAAACCAGGATTAAACCAGGTCCTAACCAGGACTAAAATCAGGTCTAAAATTTAGGACTAAACCAGGTCTAAAATCAGGACTAAACAAGGACTAAATCTAGGTCTAAACTAGGTCTAAACCAGGACTAAAACCAGGTCTAAACCAGGTCTAAACCAGGTCTAAACCAGCACTAAATCTAGGTCTAAACCAGGACTAAACCAGGACTATAACCAGGTCTAAACCAGGTCTAAAATCAGGACTAAATCAGGACTAAAACCAGGTCTAAAATTAGGACTAAAATCAGGTCTAAACCAGGTCTAAAATCAGGACTAAACCAGCACTAAATCTAGGTCTAAACTACATCTAAACCAGGACTAAAATCAGGTTTAAAATTAGGACTAAACCAGGACTAAACCAGCACTAAATCTAGGTCTAAACCAGGACTAAAACCAGAACTAAACAGGACTAAAATTTTGACAAAAAACAGATCTAAAACCAGCATAAAATCTAGGTCTAAACTAGGTCTAAAAGCAGGACTAAAACCAGGACTAAACCAGAACTAAACAGGACTAAAATTTGGACTAAAACCAGATCTAAACCAGCACTAAATCAAGGTCTAAACTAGGTCTAAACCAGGTCTAAAATCAGGACTAAACCAGTACTAAATCTAGATCTAAACCAGGTTCTAAAATCTGGACTAAAAGTTGGATGAAAACCAGGTCTATACCAGCACTAAATCTAGGTCTAAACTAGGTCTAAACCAGGACTAAAACCAGGACTACATTTAAAGGTTTTATCTTACACAAAACTGACTCTTGTGAGTTTTACAATGTGGCTGCGTCCTCAAAAACAGACCTGGAGTTGTGTTTTGTTTCCTCTAACTCTTTATTTTTCGTCTGTTTAAATCACTGTTTCCCAAAGACTGAGTCACGATCCTCAGGTGGGTCCAATCCAACTTTGCTTGTATAGCACATTTTATAAACACAACAGTTTCCAAAGTGCTTCACACAGCAATAAAAAACATCCCATTAAAAAAAAAAAAAAAAAAAAAAAAAAAAAAAAAAAAAAAAAAACCATAAAAAAAAATTTAATCTGCAGAATTATGTTTCAATCATAAGGAAAGTAATAGAATAAATAAAATAATAATAAAATAAATGAACAAAAATAATAAAATCAATACATAAAAGCAGTACTAAAAATAAAATTGATAAAAACTATAATAAATAAATAAACAAATAAATAAATACATAAATCCAATCCAATTTTATTTGTATAGCACATTTTATAAACAAAACAGTTTCCAAAGTGCTTCACAAAGCAATGCAAAAACATTTACTTTTCTTTTATTTTTTCCTGCTCAAAATGCTCTGTTCTGAGGAAAGGCAAAGCTCTCGCATCTATCTCCGAGCATGTCCCACCAGGAGGAGGCCCGGGGAAGACCCAGGACACACTGGAGGGACTGTGTCTCTGGACTGGACTGGGAACACCTCAGGGTCTCCCCAGAGGAGCTGGAGGAAGTGTCTGGGGTGGAGGAAGTCTGGGAGTCCCTGCTTAAAACTGCTGCCCCCGCGACCCGACCCCAGGTAAGAGGAAGAAAATGGATGGATGGATGCTCTGTTCCACCTCGTGATGTCAAGAAGTGGTAGTTTTCAAGTGAACAGCTCCATTTACCTTCAGTTCAGTAAAGACTGAAATGATCCAGACGATCCTATTCAAAGTGTGTGAAGCACTTCCTGTATTTTCACAACATCACAATGTGGAATGAAGTGTTTTCCATTTGAGGAAAGAACTCCTAACATAAACATGCAGGGTGCGTGTGAATGAAACGAAACACAACTCCAGATTTGTTCATGATGAGGTATAATGAAATCAGAAATCAATTTGAAAAAAATAATCTGTGGTGATGATTTGTGTAAACTGAGCTGGAACATTACAAAAGCTGCAGATTCAGGAGAATGATATATTCCCTGACCCTGACAGTCCGGCCAAAGCAAACCCGCTGTTTCTGAAGAACTCTGTCATAACTGTGGCCAAACTAAATAATTATAAAACCTACAAGTCTGTGATCCACCCACCTGCCCGAGCGCAGCCTGATCATTCATACAGGAATCAGATCGAATAACACGAAGTACGTTAAATATTTACTTCACTTTGATGTTAATTTTGCATGAATAAAGCGCACGGTTCTGAAAACTTACCACGAAGAAAACGATTCAAAATCTCAGCGCAAACACCAGGACCCACGTTGGTTTGTTACCAAAGAGTTGTTGTGCAACGTAAGAGCGTGAATCCCGTGAAGTCTCGCGAGATTTCGAATTGTTCTGTCATCCATCTTGTTTGTAGTTTTATTTTTACTTTCTCTATTTTGTCCTGATCAGCAGTGTTGGGAAGGTGATTTTTAAAATGTAATCCCCTACAGATTACAGATTACTTACACCAAAATGTAGTTTGTAACGTAATCCATTAAATGACTTAAAGTGAGTAATGTAATCTGAATACTTTGGATTACTTGATTTGCTGTAGAGAAAGCAAAGACGAGGAAATCGGAACATAAGATGTTTTATCTGATAAAAGAAAATAAAAAGGCCAGACTTTACTGAACCAAATTAAAAATATTATTGATAGAAGAAGAGACATGTTCACACATCATGATTTAGTCCTGTTAAATCCTGGTTTAGTCCTGTTATAGTCCTGTTATAGTCCTGGTTTAGATCTAGTTTAGACCTGGTTTTAGACCTGGTTTAATCCTGGTTTAGACCTGGTTTAGATCTAGTTTAGACCTGGTTTTAGTCCTGTTTTAGTCCTGGTTTTAGACCTGTTTTAGTCCTGGTTTTAGACCTGTTTTAGTCCTGTTTTAGTCCGGGTTTAGTCCAGGTTTAGTCCAGGTTTAGACCTGGTTTAGATCTAGTTTAGACCTGGTTTTAGACCTGGTTTAATCCTGGTTTAGATCTAGTTTAGACCTGGTTTAGACCTGGTTTTAGTCCTGTTTTAGTCCTGGTTTTAGACCTGGTTTTAGTCCTGTTTTAGTCCTGGTTTTAGACCTGGTTTTAGACCTGGTTTTAGACCTGTTTTAGTCCTGTTTTAGTCCGGGTTTAGTCCTGGTTTAGACCTGGTTTAGATCTAGTTTAGACCTGGTTTTAGACCTGGTTTAGATCTAGTTTAGACCTGGTTTTAGACCTGGTTTTAGTCCTGTTTTAGTCCGGGTTTAGTCCAGGTTTAGTCCTGGTTTAGATCTAGTTTAGACCTGGTTTAGTTACCGGCAATGAGTGGAATTACTGGAAAAAATAAAAAATAAAATAGAAAAACAAAAAAGGGGGATGTAGCCCAAAATGTGAAAACAGGAAAATCCCGCCATGTAATCCATTTATTTCAACAAAGTAACTGTAATCCAATTACCACTCACTGAAACAGTAACTGTAACTGAATACAGTTACTCATCATTTGTACTCTGATTACTCCTACATGTAATCAGTTACTCTCCAACACTGCCTTATTAGTAGATTATTTACTAGGGGTGTAACGACATCAAAGTCTCACGATACGATATTGTCCCATTATAAACCTCACTGTATGATATTTATTACAATTTCGTGGGAAAGTTCACGATATGGAAGAGAGACTCACGATTAGGAATGTAACAATATCTAAACCTCTCAGAATGATATTTATTGCAATATTTTGTGACCTTAAAAGTGTTAGAACTGTTATTTCTTCTTGTCGTCTGCACTGAAATGGAGCAAAGGATCATGGTCTATGTAGTTCCCTGTGTCTTTTTTTTAAACTATTGCTGCACCATAACTCTCCAGACTTGTAATTCGATATATTGTGATGCGCTACGATATTATTGCGAGAACTTTGACGATACGATATCACGATATTTTGGTTATTGCTACATCCTTATCATTTACTGGTCTGGAGTAGCCCAGATCTAAATCAAATTAAACTATTTATTTTTCAGTGCAACAGATGTAATAAAAAGACCCGGAGACAATTAATTAAATGTAATAAATTCGTTTATATAAATCTGTGCAAAAACAGTGTTACAAGATTGAGAACAGAATTATTTACAGTTAACACACAACAGAAAAAGTACAGTCTGCAGTTTAACATCTGGGCATGACGTTCTGTGGTTTTTTTCTCCTTCACTGCAGAGAATTCATCAGACTCTGCGCTTGTTTAAGCTCTGTAAACACAAAAGATAAAAAAAATAGAAACCGTAAAGACCAGTTAAATCCACTGAAAATACATGGGTTACAATAGGTTAAATAAATCCGCTGACCACAAAGCAGGACTCTGAACTTGTCAGCAGACATGGACACCAGCGCGGTCTCCGAAACCCCTGACTCTGCTCCTTCCACCTGCAGTTTCAGCTGAACACTGGGCTCGTTCACGTCCTTCACTTCACTGGAGCTTAACGTGTAATCGACCCGCCACGACACGGCCTCGAGACGCCCCACTGCGCAACGGGACGAGGCGACAGATCAGCGTCACCGAGGAGTCACAAAGAGTTTCGGTCTGACACAAGAGGAATACTCACGTCTCAGGCTCGTCTCCTTTAATTTGTCCCTCAGGGCGGAGTGTTTGTCTTCGTATGATTTGCAGAGGCCCGTGGTGTGCTCTGATACAAAAGATAATAAAAAACAACAATATAATACAAAATAATATATATAATAAAACAAAAGATAATAAAAAACAACAATAAATACAATATTTATATAAAACTAAAGATAATAAAAAACAACAATATTTATATGGTTAGAAGATTCACATTTGCCAACATCCAATATTACACCTATTTTATCCTCAATGCACTGGCTCCCCATTCATTTTAGAGTTAATATTATATATATAACTTTATCACTTTATTTACAGACCAACGCCAACATAAAAAACCTACAGTGACATAAGGTCCTGTCAGTGTTGGGAAGGTGACTTTTAAAATGTATTCCCCTACAGATTACAGATTACATATACTAAAATGTAGTTTGTAAAGTAATCTGAATACTTTGGATTACTTGATTTGAGGGGAGAGAAGCAAAGACGAGGAAATCATAACATAAGATGTTTTAACTGATAAAAGAAAATAAAATGTCCAGACTTTACTGAACCAAATAAAAATATTATTGATAGAAGAAGAGACATGTTCACACATCATGATTTAGTCCTGTTAAATCCTGGTTTAGACCTGTTTTAGTCCTGGTTTTAGACCTGGTTTAAATCTAGTTTAGACCTGGTTTAGTCCTGGTTTAATCCTGTTTTAGACCTGGTTTAGTCCCATTTTAGTCCTGGTTTAAATCTAGTTTAGATCTAGTTTCGACCTGGTTTTAGTCCTGGTTTAGATCTAGTTTAGAACTGGTTTTAGTCCTGATTTAGTCCTGTTTTAGACCTGGTTTTAGACCTGGTTTAGATCTAGTTTAGATCTAGTTTAGATCTAGTTTAGACCTGGTTTTAGTCCTGGTTTAGCTCTAGTTTAGACCTGGTTTAGTTTCCGGCAATGAGTGGAATTACCGAAAAAAATTTAAAATCCCGCCGTGTAATCCATTTATTTCAACAAAGTAACTGTAATCCAATTACCACTCACTGACACAGTAACTGTAACTGAATACAGTTACTCATAATTTGTACTCTGATTACATAACTCCGGTACATGTAATCTGTTACTCCCCAACACTGCTGAGGAAGACCACTAGTGAGCAGATGAAACTGTCAAAACAAACTCTTGGTCTGTCAAAAGAACCTAATCTCAAAATTTCCGCCTACGCTTCATAGACTGTCCCCAGCGTACATCTCAGACGTCACTGTTCCTACACTCCTTCCCACACGCTGACGTCTGAGGACCAGCTCCAACTTGTCGTCCCAAAAACGAGACTCAAACGCTACGGTGACCCTGGAGTGATCGAGCCTTTTCTGTGATTGTCCCCGAACTTTGGAAACGCTCTCCTCCCTCACATTAAAAGTGCCCCCCTTCAGTCGATTCTTTTAAGTCTCGTTTAAAAACACACTTTTTGTAGCTACCCCGGTTTTCTTCGCATGAAAGGAGTTCACGCTTCGTACTGATGATCACGTGTGTCAATATTTATTCTTTCTAACACACTGAAACACTGTGAAAACTAAAAGACACACACAGAAAATGTTTCAGCTTTACATAAATATCTTTAAATGAACGCAGAACTGAAAACAATATTTACCGTGTTCACCTGTACATCACTGGCGGTGGTTAAGTAGCGTGACTTTAATTTGTGACGTCTTTGTCTTTACACGATTTTCTGTGTTTTTCTCTATCGTCTTTTCTCTCTTTTCGCGGCTGCTACAGTATTTCTCTCTCTTTGTTTACATCCGGGGGCAAGGTAAAAGGCCACATCACTTAAAATATAAAATTAATAACTGTGGTGTTCTGACACATCGTAAATATTTGAACAAATAGGCGAGTTTCATTGTTGACAAAAGCGCGCGTTGCATGCTGGGAATTGTTTTGGTTGGCGGCAATAAACACTAATTCAACACGACGGACGGAGCGAGAAAGCCCGTAAAGGGTGTTGATCCCGGACCCAAGACCATTTGACCAGAAATTGGTCATAAACATCGACGGACGACAAATCACCCTTTTCAACCCCGACAAAAGGTGAACCAAACCAAATTTCTGGTCAGAATCGCCAACTACCTGGACAAATATTCACTTGGGCGATATCCACAATGACTTGGTGGAAACTCCTGGGCCATTCACAGCAGAAAAGATGAAAACCTCCAAGAGTCTCGATGTGTTTGTTACAAAGGCCTTGGATTCTGGGTCTTCCGCATGGAGACTGTCACTGCGAACTCTGGCCCCCTTATGTGGCCCCATCTTTCAGGGCTGGGGCCAGGTATTGGGGTTCAGCGTTTTTCAGAACTGCTAGCAGAGAGACTGCGATGAGAGTGCTCTTGTTGTGTTTTTCTTAGATTCAGTACTAGGTTGTTTTCATTTTGGTGGTGTGTGCGTAATATACAACGTAAGCAGATGTTCTCTTTGTTTTTATTGTTTGCTATATACTTTTCTTTATCGTATTTCAGCCTGTTTTGGCCTAATTTGCGTGCGTCATGCGGAGAGATAGCGTAACTCTGGGTACGGCACCTCTTAAAGGTGAAGTATAGTTAGAAGAGCGGTTCAAATTATTATGGCTGCATCACTAATGTATTTTATGTTCGTTACTGCCTTTTATTCACTTCTATTATTGTTCACTGCTATGTTTAGAGTTGTTTAACATATCCATGTGTGTTATTATGTATAGTTGTAAGGTTATTTAATGTGCATTTTTTGTGCCTTGTTTTCCACAGAACCACACATTTACACCATTTTCTCCTAATACTGGAAATTCAATAAAGCTCCCTATTCAAGACATCTGGCTGATCCTTCCAAAGGCGCCCTGCAGCGGGTCAATACAGACAGCACCCCTTAGTATATTTTACAGTGTTGTTGAACTTGTTGGAGTCCACGGTTTGTTAGGATCTTCTACGTTTGCTCTGCGGATGTTTGAAAGTCGTTTAATTCACCGTTAGCGGTTCTTTTCACTCAGAATACGAAAAAGACATTTTCCTTCTTCCGTGCTTCTATTTGTGCGTCCGATAATGCAGCAGGAATTTACCATTATCGGGGATAAATACGCGAGGTTACGCACTGTGTTTGACGCTACCGTGTTTCTTGCCTCCGACCAAAATATTTCCCAGCAGCAACGCGGGCTTTTAATAACAATGACGTCAGCTGAAACTCGGCTATAAAAACAACAATTTTCTGACTTATTACCATAAAAACAAATATACTGACATTATCGGCAGCTACACTTTTACTCACCGGATTTTAACACCTCTGACTGTTTTTTATTGATTTTATTTGCTATTTTTAGTATATTTTATGTTTTTTATTGACTTATTTATTTATTTGATGCTTTATTTTATTTATTGTGTTCATTTACATTGTGTTAGACTTTATGTTGGTAAAATGTGCCATACAAATAAAGCTGGATTGGACTGAACATAATGAATTATAGTTTAAAAACCGGAAATTCGCTCAACGGTGATTCCGGATCTCACCTTTAGGCAAACCGAGCTGCTGTAATTCGCTGGACAGAGACTCACAGTCCACGTCGTGCTTGGCTGCGTTGGACAGGATGAAGCTGAGCACGGCCACGCTCGCTTTAACGTCTCCGCTTTCTGAAACGAGAGACTCAAACTTCAAGAAAAAGTCTGATCGTGTTAGTATGGATCCGTGTTTAAATACATTTAAAGAGGCGACTCACCGAACTTTGCGTCTGCTGTAAGTTTTGTAATCTTGTCATACTGCGGAGAAAGATGCAGATGAGTCATGCAGATATGAAGAAATCCGATAATAAACTAAACTGGGAACAAAAATAAACTTTAAATACCTACATCAATGCCTTCTCCAAGTAAATCTTTTAAGACTTGTGCACAAAGTAGTTTCATCTTGACACTTGACTAAAGAAGAAACACAAAATACAAACGTCAGAAAAAGAAAAGTTTGCCAATATCTGACCAGATTTTCAAAATAAAAAAACTGTTTGTGGTGGTTGGTGATAATAAAATTATGAATAGAGTGAGTAATGAAGGAAAACTGTTCTGTACTCAGCACTAATGTGAATCAGTGTGGTCACATTTTCTTTATGTTTTGGTCGTTTTTAAGCAGCTTTTCTGTATTTTACCTAAACAAATGACAGTTTATGTCTCTCTTTACTGTTGTCAGGGGTCAGATTGGTCAAAAATTGTAACAAATTCTGGTTTAGTCCTGGTTTAATCTTACTTTAGACCTGGTTTAGATCAGATTGGTCCAAAATAAGGACACCTGGGACATTTCTTGAATAAAACTGGGACAAATCAGTGGTTTTGTATAAATCTGCTGGCACAGGGGACACAGGCTCAAAACTGGGACTGTCTCAGGTAAACGAAGACGTCTGGTCCCCCTAGATCAGGCGTGTCCAAACTATGGCCTGTAAGCCAAATGCGGCCCTCAGGCTTCCAGGTGAATTGGCCCAAATGACCTTGCACCAATTAAAAATAAACTTTTTACTGCAAGTTTTTTGAACATCTACCTTGATAAAGCTCATATTTAATATTTAGTGTGTGGTTTTAAGGATCTTGGCATGAATAAAGACTGATGGATCATTCTAACGTGTTAAACATGGACATATTTCAGTTATTCCCTGTACTGAGCACCAGTCTACAGCCCTCGATCAGCCCTCTGCTTCATCTGTGTTTAGATGTGTGGTCCTTGTTGAAAAAAGTTTGGACACCCCTGAACTAGATTAAAGTCATCAGAGTAACAACAGCAGGCAGGAGTAAGCATTGGTCAGATAAAGTATAGGTTATATTTGCAGTGTTATTTAGGATGACCAGGTTTTCAAAATCAAAAACTGGGACTGTCTCGGGTTGGTCGCGGTTGGTAATAATAAAACTGTGAAATGAGTGCATGTTGTTCTGCAGTTGGTCCATTCATGAGTCAGTACAGTCATATTTTATTTGTGTTTACTTACACAAAAACCTAAAACAAAAAAACCTAGACAATTTATGCTTCTCTTTACTGTTGGCAGGGATCAGACTGGTCAAAAATAGAGACACCTGGAACATTTCTTGAATAAAACTGGGACAAATCAGTGGTTTTGTATAAATCTGCTGGGACACAGGACACAGGTTCAAAACTGGGACTGTCCCGGATAAAAAAAAAAGACGTCTGGTCCCCCGAGATCAGGCATGTCCCAACTATGGCCTGTGGGCCAAATGCGGCCCTCAGACACGTTTCCTGGCCCTCAGACTTCCGGGTGTATTGGCCCAAATCACCTTGCATCAATTAAAAATTAACTTTTTATTGCAAGTTTTTTGAACATCTACCTTGATAAAGTTAATATTTAATATTTAGTGTGTGGTTTTAAAGATTTTGGCATGAATAAAGACTGATGGCTCATTCTAACGTGTTAAACATGGACATATTTCAGTTATTCACTGTACTGAGCACCAGTCTACAGCCCTCGATCAGCCCTCTGCTTCATCTGTGTTTAGATGTGTGGTCCTTGTTGAAAAAAGTTTGGACACCCCTGCACTAGATTAAAGTAATTAGAGTAACAACAGCAGGCAGGAGTAAGCATTGGTCAAATAAAGTATAGTTTATATTTGCAGTGTTATTTAGGATGACCAGGTTTTCAAAATCAAAAACTGGGACTGTCCCGGGTTGGTCGCGGTTGGTAATAATAAAACTGTGAAACAAGTGCGTGTTGTTCTGCATTAGTCCATTCATGAGTCAGTACAGTCATATTTGATTTGTGTTTACTTACACAAAAACCTAAAACAAAAAAACCTAGACAATTTATGCTTCTCTTTACTGTTGGCAGGGATCAGACTGGTCAAAAATAGGGACACTTCAGGCATTTCTTGAATAAAACTGGGACAAATCAGTGGTTTTGTATAAATCTGCTGGGACACAGGACACAGGTTCAAAACTGGGACTGTCCCGGATTTAAAAAAAAAGACGTCTGGTCCCTCAAGATCAGGCATGTCCCAACTATGGCCTGTGGGCCAAATGCGGCCCTCAGACACGTTTCCTGGCCCTCAGACTTCCGGGTGAATTGGCCCAAATCACCTTGCATCAATTAAAAATGAACTTTTTATTGCAAGTTTTTTGAACATCTACCTTGATAAAGCTCATATTTAATATTTAGTGTGTAGTTTTAAAGATTTTGGCATGAATAAAGACTGATTGATCATTCTAACGTGTTAAACATGGACATATTTCAGTTATTCCCTGTATTGAGCACCGGTCTACGGCCCCCGATCAGAAGTCTGCTTCATTTGTGTTTAGATGTGTGGTCCTTGTTGAAAAAAGTTTGGACACCCCTGCACTAGATTAAAGTAATTAGAGTAACAACAGCAGGCAGGAGTAAACATTGGTCAAATAAAGTATAGGTTATATTTGCAGTGTTATTTAGGATGACCAGGTTTTCAAAATCAAAAAGTGGGACTGTCTCGGGGTGGTCGCGGTTGGTAATAATAAAACTGTGAAATGAGTGAAATGAGTGCATGTTGTTCTGCACTTGGTCCATTCATGAGTCAGTATAGTCATATTTTATTTGTGTTTACTTACACAAAAACCTAAAACAAAAAAACTAAACAATGTATGTCTCTCTTTACTGTTGGCAGGGATCAGACTGGTCAAAAATAGGGACATTTCTTGTATAAAACTGGCGACACATCTAGGGGTGGGCGATATATCGATATTTTAAATATAAATTTCATAAACTCGATATGAATTCTGACATATTGTATATATCGATATAATGCTTATATTCAATTCTGATTTCGCCGCTTCGCTTGTTTACCTTCTCTCCGCCCGCCCCCGCCTCCCTGATTTTGTTCGCTTGTGTCTCATTCACTCCTCACTGTCGCCGTGAACGCCTAAAGTTGGTGCCAGTGAAAAACTTAAAGCACCACGAACCTTTTCCACCATTTACAGACAAGAACATCAGCAGCACATCCTCATATTCCACCGAGTCGCGTCCTTTAGCCCGAAAGAAGCTGAACGAGTTGAGCTGCACGAGAAGTGCGCCGTTTATGCAAATGAGTCATGAGCTTAAGTTTAGTTTCTGTAAAATGTAAACACACGTGCGCAAAACTGCATTAAACACATTATTATCGCTAATAGGCTGATGCGGCTCTAGAGTCGTTATGCTTTATATATTGTAAAGTTTAGCAATGTAAATTCTATTTATGCAGAATATTTTAATGAATAATCTGCTGCAGTGTCACTTGTACAATAGTGTTTGGAAACGTTTGATTTGATCTGCAGTGGATTGTGGGATTAAACCTCAGAGCTCCTCACTGCTGGAACATGGATCTATTGAAATAAGGAACATCCTGAGCTTCTTCTGTTAAATGAGCTCATGGTTCTGGTTCTGGTTTGGAGAACAGAGTTAATGCAAAGATGAACTTGTGTTGAGTTGTTTTATTTATGAATGAAAAGAAGAAAATATGTATTATTTCTTTTATTTTACAGTTAAATTATTATTTATGTAATTAGGGTTTTTCTGTAATCTTAAATGTTCCTATATGAACTGCCGACCTCTTACACTTCAATTAAAAAAAAAGACCTTGTGGAATTTGGCAGATTTGTTTTTGCAGTTTTCAGTTTTAGGGGGTTATTTTTTCTTGAACATATATCGAGATATATATCATATATCGAGATATAGCAAAATATATCGAGATATATTTTTTGACCCATATCGCCCAGCCCTAGACACATCAGTGGTTTTGTATAAATCTGCTGGGACAGGGGACTGTCCCGGGTAAACAAAGACGTCTGGTCCCCCTGGATAAAAGTCACTGATTAGAGTAACAGCAGCATGCAGGAGACTGTGCTGGACCACCATAGTTGAAAAACTAGCAGAGAAAACACTGGGAAAATAAAGTTTAGTTTAAGTTTGCAGTGTTTTTGATTTTCAAAATCAAAAACTGGGACTGTCCCGGGGTGGTCGCAGTGGGTAATAATAAAACTGTAAAATGAGTGCGTGTTGTTCTGCACTTGGTTCATTCATGACTTATTCACGCTCAGTGTTGGGAAAGTGACTTTTAAAATGTATTCCCCTACAGATTACAGATTTACAGACCCCAAAATGTAGTTTGTAACGTAATCCATTAAATTACTTGAAGTGAGTAATGTAATCTGAATACTTTGGATTACTTGATTTGCTGTAGAGAAGCAAAGACGAGGAAATCGTAACATAAGATGTTTTGTCTGATAAAAGAAAATTAAAAGTCCAGACTTTACTAAACCAAATTAAAAATATTATTGATAGAAGAAGAAACACGTCCACACAGCAGGATTTAGTCCTGTTAAATCCTGCTTTAGTGCTGTTTTAATGCTGTTTTAGTCCTGGTTTAGTCCTGGTTCAGTCCTGGTTTTAGTCCTGGTTATAGTCCTGTTTTAGGCCTGTTTTAGACCCGTTTTAGACCCGTTTTAGATCTAGTTTAGACCTGGTTTATTTTGTAACTGTAACCAAATACAGTTACTCATAATTTGTACTCTGATTACATAACTCCGGTACATGTAATCTGTTACTCCCCAACACTGTTTACAACAACATGTGAGTCAGTATAATCATAGTCATATTTTCTTTGTGTTCACTTACGCAAAAACCTAAAACAAAAAAACCTAGACAATGTATGCCTCTCTTTACTGTTGGCAGGGATCCGATTGGTTAAAAATAGAGACACCTGGGACATTTTTTGTATAAAATTGGGACAAATCAGTGGTTTTGTATAAATCTGCTGGGACAGGGGACACACTGGGGGTAAATAGGGACGTCTGTTCACTTTACTCTATGTTTACGTGTATTAATAAGTGGTTGGGATTAAACCAGAACTAAAACAGTACTAAGTCAGGACTAAATCAGGACTAAACCAGGACTAAACCAGGACTAAACCAGGACTAAACCAGGACTAAAGCAGGACTAAAGCAGGTCTTAACCAGGTACTAAACCGGGACTAAACCAGGACTAAACCAAATCAAAACCAGGACTAAACCAGGACTAAATCAGTTATTAGACCGGGACTAAAGCAGGACTAAACCAGGACTATACCAGTACTAAACCAGAGATTAGACCAGGACTAAACTAGGACTAAATCAGGGACTAGACCGAGACTAAAGCAGGTACTAGACTGGGACTAAACTAGGACTAAACTAGGATTAAACCAGGACTAAACCAGGTCTAAACCAGGACTAAACCAGGACTAAACCAGGACTAAACCAGGACTAAACCAGGACTAAAGCAGGTCTTAACCAGGTCTTAACCAGGTGCTAGATTGGGACTAAACCGGGACTAAACCGGGACTAAACCGGGACTAAACCAGGACTAAACCAGGACTAAATCAGGACTAAACCAAATCAAAACCAGGACTAAAACAGTTATTAGACCGGGACTAAAGCAGGACTAAACCAGGACTATACCAGGACTAAACCAGGACTAAATCAGGGACTAGACCGAGACTAAAGCAGGTACTAGACTGGGATTAAACTAGGACTAAACTAGGACTAAATCAGGACTAAACCAGGTCTAAACCAGGACTAAACCAGGACTAAATCAGGACTAAACCAGGACTAAACCAGGACTAAATCAGGTCTAAACCAGGACTAAAGCAGGTCTTAACCAGGTGCTAGATTGGGACTAAACCGGGACTAAACCGGGACTAAACTGTGACTAAACCAGGACTAAATCAGGACTAAATCAGGACTAAACCAAATCAAAACCAGGACTAAACCAGGACTAAACCAGTTATTAGACCGGGACTAAAGCAGGACTAAACCAGGACTATACCAGGACTATACCAGGACTATACCAGGACTAAACCAGGACTAAATCAGGGACTAGACCGAGACTAAAGCAGGTACTAGACTGGGACTAAACTAGGACTAAACTAGGACTAAATCAGGACTAAACCAAGTCCAAACCAGGACTAAACCAGGACTAAATCAGGACTAAATCAGGACTAAACCAGGACTAAATCAGGACTAAATCAGGGACTAAACCAGGTCTAAACCAGGACTAAACCAGGACTAAACCAGGACTAAATCAGGGACTAGACCGAGACTAAAGCAGGTACTAGACTGGGACTAAACTAGGACTAAACTAGGATTAAACCAGGACTAAACCAGGTCTAAACCAGGACTAAATCAGGGACAAAACCAGGTCTAAACCAGGTACTAGACCGGGACTAAACCACTTTACTCTATATTTACGTGTTTTAATAAGTGTTCATATTAATCTTCTTTTACTTACCAGTTTGGCCAGTGTGCTAATTTCTGCAAGAACCCAATCTGGGCAATCCAAATCTCCACAGAATCTGAACCTCTAGAATCCACAAAACAAAACAAAACAAACAGTCACAAATCTCATTCAAAACACATTAGCTTAGCTCGTTAGCCTGCCTGTTTTTATGCACGGACAAACGATGTAAAGAGTCACGTTTACAGAATTATGTGCGGCGTGGATTAATACACATCTCGCGTACAAATTACAGATAATAAAACCGTGCATTTGTAATAATTATTAAATGTTTACCATGGCTCAAGGGAAGAAGATCCGGGGAAGTGCAGGTTTTCGTCAACTCGCGTCTGATTGGTTCAAGATGTTGACGTACGTCTGCGGCATACGTACCACGTGACCGTAAAAATAAAAATAAAATAAAACGAAATCAAATCAAAATAATACTGCCATGAAAATAACACTTTTATTTCTCTCTGGTATTAAATTAATAAAATAAAAATAAAAACTTCAGATAAATAAACAAACCCTTGGTACAGTTTGGGTTCAGCATCGGTTTCAGAATGGCGAAAAATGAGGGCCGTTGCCATAGCAATTAAGGGTTTTAACCAATATTTTTATTTTTTTTGCGTTTAAATGAGGCTAAAATCCTCAAAATGTTTCATAACAGAAAACTGAAATAAACGAATATGAATATTTACTACGTGACTATATATATATATATATATATATATATATATATATATATACAATTAAAAAAAAAATTATAATAATAAATAACTAAATAACTAAATAAATAATAACAATAATAATAATAATAATAATAATAATAATAATAATAACACCTTCAAAATAACACTTTTTTCTATTTGGTATTAAATTCTATTTAGTAGTATTTGTATTTAAGAATATAAATTATCTCAAATAAATAAATACTTATTATCATTATTATCCAGTGTTTCCGAATGCTGAAAAGTGAGGGCCGTTGCCATTGCGATAACAAATTTCTCTGTTATCTTGTCTTTATTTTTATCTTTTTAATAAGGTTAAATTACTGAAAATGTTACACAACAAGAAGCTGAAATCAAAGAATATGAATATTCTTTTCTATACATTTTTTCGGCTAATAATTTCTGATACTAAACCAGGACTAAAGTGGAATAAACCAGGTACTAGACCGGTATTAAACCAGGTACCAGACCAGGACTAGACGAGGACTAAACCAGGACTAAACCAGGATTAAACCAGGACTAAACCAGGTACCAGACCAGGACTAAAGCTGGACTAAACCAGGACTAAAGCTGAACTAAAGCTGAACTAAACCAGATAATAGACCGGTATTAAACCAGGTACCTGACCAGGACTAGACGAGGACTAAATCGGGACTAAACCAGGTTTTAAACCAGGTACTAGACCAGGACTAGACCAGGACTAATCCAGGTACAAGACCGAGCCTAAAGCAGGTACTAGACCGGGACTAGACTAGATAGTTCCTAATATTCTTTCCTACACACTTATTTCTGCTAATTATTTGGATATTATTATTATTATTATTATTATTATTATTATTATTATTATTATTATTATTATTATTATTACTTTGTATTTATTTATTTTGGATAACGCTGCTTTCTGTACGTAAAGGTACGTCACCTTGGTAACGGAACGTACCTCTTACCGGTGTCCCGTAAGCAGGTAAATAACCTCCACGCAAGATTAGCCTAAATAAAGTCTCTGTCGGAGCTCCACTAAAGCTGAACTAAACCTCCACTCCTCCGTGCCACCTCAGCATGAAGATCACAGTCTCTGAGGAAAAGAGGGAGGACACGGGCATTTGTCTTTTTTTTTTTTTTTTTCTGCTGATATTTCTGTATGCTCCAACGCCCGCGGAGTTCAACAATCCGTTTATTTTATTTTAATTGCACCGTCGCGACAGAATCGGGTAGGACACTGTTCGGACTTGCTCTTTTTCTCTGAGTGCTTCGTCGGTCGCGTCGTGCACTGAATCGTGTCACGTTTTTGGTTTCCTTCCCCGTCGGAGGATGCGCTCGGTGACTGCACTGCCCTGATCATTTCATTTCACACTCGTGCACTGAACATGGACTTGAGAATAATGCTCCTCCTGTGCGTTTGTGTCGCTGCGAAGTTTAATTTTCTGCTCGGCGATCTGATCGAAGACGCACCGACTCTGGGATCACGGAACGCACCGAGATTTTTAACCAATCGTAAGTTTGACCGACTGCGTTTTCTGACTTTTTAACATCTTAAAGTGTAAAACCTTTTGAGCCAAACAGGTTTCTAAATAATTCTGATTAAATTGAAAGACGCACTTGATGGCTGCGCTTCAGGGACTAAACCAGGACTAAACCAGGACTAAACCAGTATTAAACCAGGACTAAACCAGTATTAAACCAGGATTAAACCAGGACTAAACCAGGATTAAACCAGGACTAAACCAGGACTAAACCAGTATTAAACCAGGATTAAACCAGGACTAAACCAGGACTAAACCAGTATTAAACCAGGACTAAACCAGTATTAAACCAGGATTAAACCAGGACTAAACCAGTATTAAACCAGGACTAAACCAGTATTAAACCAGGATTAAACCAGGACTAAACCAGGATTAAACCAGGACTAAACCAGTATTAAACCAGGATTAAACCAGGACTAAACCAGGATTAAACCAGGACTAAACCAGGACTAAACCAGTATTAAACCAGGATTAAACCAGGACTAAACCAGGACTAAACCAGTATTAAACCAGGACTAAACCAGTATTAAACCAGGATTAAACCAGGACTAAACCAGGACTAAACCAGGACTAAACCAGTATTAAACCAGGATAAAACCAGGACTAAACCAGGATTAAACCAGGACTAAACCAGGATAAACCAGGACTAAACCAGGATTAAACCAGGACTAAACCAGGACTAAACCAGTATTAAACCAGGACTAAACCAGTATTAAACCAGGACTAAACCAGGACTAAACCAGGACTAAACCAGTATTAAACCAGGATTAAACCAGGACTAAACCAGTATTAAACCAGGACTAAACCAGTATTAAACCAGGATTAAACCAGGACTAAACCAGGATTAAACCAGGACTAAACCAGGACTAAACCAGTATTAAACCAGGATTAAACCAGGATTAAACCAGGACTAAACCAGTATTAAACCAGGACTAAACCAGTATTAAACCAGGATTAAACCAGGACTAAACCAGGATTAAACCAGGACTAAACCAGGACTAAACCAGTATTAAACCAGGATTAAACCAGGACTAAACCAGGACTAAACCAGTATTAAACCAGGACTAAACCAGTATTAAACCAGGATTAAACTAGGACTAAACCAGGATTAAACCAGGACTAAACCAGGATTAAACCAGGACTAAAGCATGTACTAGACCAGGACTAAAGCAGGACTAAAGCAGGTACTAACCCAGGACTAAACCAGGATTAAACCAGGACTAAACCAGTATTAAACCAGGACTAAAACAGGACTAAACCAGTATTAAACCAGGATTAAACCAGGACTAAACCAGGACTAAACCAGGACTAAACCAGTATTAAACCAGGATTAAACCAGGACTAAACCAGGACTAAACCAGGATTAAACCAGGACTAAACCAGGATTAAACCAGGACTAAAGCATGTACTAGACCAGGACTAAAGCAGGACTAAAGCAGGTACTAACCCAGGACTAAACCAGGATTAAACCAGGACTAAACCAGGACTAAACCAGTTTTAAACCAGGACTAAACCAGGATTAAACCAGGACTAAAGCATGTACTAGACCAGGACTAAAGCAGGACTAAACCAGGTACTAACCCAGGACTAAACCAGGTACTAGATCAGGACTAAACCAGGACTAAACCAGGTACCAGACCAGAACTAAACCAGAACTAAACCAAATACCAGACCAGAACTAAACCAGAACTAAACCAGGTACCAGACCAGAACTAAACCAGGACTAAACCAGGTACTAGACCGGGACTAAAGCATGTACTAGCCCGGACTAAACCAGGACTAAACCAGGTACTGGACCGGGACTAAACCAGGACTAAACCAGGACTAAACCAAATATTAGACCAGGACTAAAGCGCATACTAGATGTAATGAGGATTGAGTGTCACTACAGGGTGTCGGGTCAGGACTTATAGACGTTCAGGTGAGTTAAAATGAGGGAGTCCACATCCAGGTAATGTCGAACGTTACTTTAATGTCTGCGTGCTTAAAGACGTGTGTGGTTCTGTCTAGAGGACGCACACTATCATTCCAGACATTAAAGTGTCAGACACAGCCGATGCACTGAGCGTCACGCCGCTATACGGACTCAAGAGATCGTGACTCACTCGGTGTGCGAGCGCGTCCCTCTTGTGGTGAGAAAGAGTATAACAACGAACAACAGCTAATAATATAACAAGACTAAATGTCTTTTATACACTAGATGTGGACTAAACCAGGACTAAACCAGGTACTAGACCGAGACTAAACCAGATTCGAGACCGGGAGTAAACCAGATTCTAGACTGGTATTAAACCAGGTACTAGACCAGGACTAGACCAGGACTAAACCAAGTACTACACCGGGACTAAAGCATGCACTAGACGGGGACTAAACCAGGAGTAATCCAGGTACTGGACCGGGACTAAACCAGGACTAAACCAAGTATTAGACCAGGACTAAAGCGCATACTAGATGTGGACTAAACCAGGACTAAAGCAGGTACTAGACTGAGACTAAACCAGGTTCGAGACCGGGACTAAACCAGATTCTAGACTGGTATTAAACCAGGTACTAGACCAGGACTAGACCAGGACTAAACCAGGTATTAGACCAGGACTAAACCAAGACTAAACCAGGTACTCGACTGGGACTAAAAAAGGATTAAACCAGGACTAAACCGGGACTAAACCAGGACTAAACCAGGACTAAACCAGGACTGACTTGAATCACAAAACACACCAACATTTTTAACCAACATTAAGTTTGACCGACTACATTTTCTGTTTTTTACATTTTAAAGTGCGCACCCGTCTGATTTCCATCTTCTAAACAATTCATCTCAAATTGAAAGAGGCTTTTAATCGCCGCGCTCGAGGGAACAGGTGCTGATTAACGGTTTACTCTTCTAATCTCCAGACTCAGTGACGATTGCCGAGTACCCAGAACCACAAAACCACACAGTGTTTTTCTACAAACAGGATGATGAAGAAATGTACGTTGGAGGAAAAGAATTTGTGTGGAAACTAAACATGAGTAACAATGACGTCACAGAGGTAAATCGGCTTTTTGTTCAATATTTGATGAAAGGGGAAGATAGTTTTCGGAATTTCTCTCGCCCATGTGGAAGTTTAGAGCAGAAGTAAGCACAGAAATTCATTTATAACGTTTAAAGAGTCTGTGATATTTGCACAATTTCTGATCTACACTATCGGTCAGAAGTTTTAGAAACTCACACTTCTTCAATTTTTTTTACTGTTTACTGTCGATCAAAATGTATTCTAAACTTTTGACTGAGTGTGTTTACATGCAAACAGTGTTGGGAAGGTGACTTTTAAAATGTACTCCCCTACAGATTACAGATTACATACCCCAAAATGTAGTTTGTAACAGAATCCATTAAATTACTTAAAGTGAGTAATGTAATCTGAATACTTTGGATTACTTGATTTGCTGTAGAGAAACGATGACGAGGAAATCGTAAGATAAGATGTTTTGTCTGATTAAAGAAAATGAAAAGCCCAGACTTTACTCAAGCAAATTAAAAATATTGATAGAAGAGAAGGAGACAGTTCCACGCAGCATGATTTAGTCCTGTTAAATCCTGGTTTAGTCCTGGTTTAGATCTAGTTTAGATCTAGTTTAAATCTCATTTAGACCTGGTTTTAGTCCTGGTTTTAGTCCTGGTTTTAGACCTGTTTTAGTCCTGGTTTAGGCCTGGTTTAGATCTAGTTTAGATCTAGTTTAGATCTAGTTTAGACCTGGTTTTAGTCATGGTTTAGACCTGGTTTTAGACTTGATTTAGACCTGGTTTAGACCTGGTTTAGACCTGGTTTAGACCTGGTTTAGACCTGCTTTAATGTCCGGCAATGAGTGGAATTACCAAACAAAATAATATAGCCCAAAATGTGGAAACAGGAAAATACCGCCATGTAATCCATTTACTTCAACAATGTAACTGTAATCCAATTACCACTCACTGAAACAGTAACTGTAACTAAATACAGTTACTCATAATTTGTACTCTGATTACGTAACTCCAGTACATGTAATCTGTTACTCCCCAACACTACATGCAAATGAGTATCCCGGTTATGATCGGGTTTTTTGAGTATCCCGGTTTCTTCATAGTGCATGTATACGGTTTCTCATAACCTGTAGCTGGTATTTTACGATAGTAACCGGGACACTGTGGCATGTAAACGCAGTATCCCGGTTACTGCAACGTAAATTTGAGTCCAAAAGACAAATATTTTCAGTCTTTTCACCACTACAACAGCAGTGACATAAATAAAGTGACCATACATGAGTGAAATGTCTGCGCTAAACCTACACAGGAATCTGCACTCGTACGACCTGCACAAACTTGATCGCTGAAAAGTTAAACATGAAACATCTCCTATACGATATGTAACGTGTGTTAGTGATCCGGCGGAGAGCGCGAGCTATAGCCCTTAACATGTGCTCTGGGACAGCGGAGAGAAGAGCGAGACTTACTGATTTCCACTGATACTTGGTTTATTACACATTTAGAAACCATACGATGCCAGGTCTCCACGGCGAGAAGTCTGAATCATACATGAAATAGAAATTAGTCAGTTTAATTCCGGTACAGCACATTGCTTGAGTTGCAGAGCACAGAGGTGCGTGTCCATTACATTACACAGCACTGCAACAAGCGAGTGAGCTGTCACCTAACAGTATAATAAAAATAAAAGGGACCACAATCAGGTATTACAGTATCAATAGTAATATAAATGTAATACTGACTGTTACAGATACACACACAGAACAGACTCACCATCATCAGCACCTCCTCTGTCACAGAAAAAAACACACATAATCCACTGAGTCGTGTCCTTTAGTCCGACAGAAGCTGAACCACATCAGCGCACAAGGAGCGAGCTGTTTTTATCAGCACTAACAGTTTATGCTAATTAGCCATGCGGTTTTAAGTTTCAGTAAAACGTAAACAAATGTGGTAAAGATGAATTATATGATGAAACGGGCTGATGTGGTTGTAGTTCATATGTTATAAAGTTGAGTTTATTTATGCAGAATATTTTAATAAAATCTATACGTTGGGTTTGATCTGTGCAGTGGATTGTGGGATCATGACTCCTCACTGCTGGTTAAACCTCCCGAGCTTCCTGTTTATATTTTTCCTGGTTTATTAACTTAAACAAAGTAAATTTTTGCACTTGCGCATTTGTAAGATTATGTCAAGAAACAGGGATACTCCATTTGATCATGTCACAGGGATATGAGTGTCCCGGTTTCTCAGGCATGTAAACGCAGTATCATGAATACTGACATACCCGGGACATGGCTAATAACCGGGATACTGATGTGCATGTAAACACACTCAGTGATGTGTGTGTTGACCTTTGTCAGATAGAACAGCTGAACACACTTGTGGCTCGTTCTTTTTACAACACAAATCAAATATTGTTCAGAAAGTTCTTCCCAAGTCTGTCGCAGAAGTTTCCATAAATGTGTGGCACTTGTTGGTCATTTCACTCTTCAGTCTTCAGCTCGATGGGGTTTAAGTCTGGAGACTGTGCTGCTGGACACTCCAGGTTTTCAAGGTTCTTTTTTCCTGTTAACCTGTTACCATCCACCTAATTTTGGCGTGTGCACAATAGCACTACATACCCAAATGCCATAGCTTATTAAAAGAAAACCTTAGAACCCACATGCTTGTGTGAGGCACCATTTTAAAGCTTAGGCCTTCTAGTTTCTGTAGATATGTACATGACACTACACTCATTGTTCAAGTTGTTGGCAACAACTGTGTAGAATTTCAGATCTCTAGGACAAAGGGTTTTGATGCTGTGAGCCTTTGTGTAAACAAAATGACAATTCGGCACAAGATTGCCAAATTTGTGCCAAAATAATAATAATAATAATATAATAATAATAATAATAATTGTTATTATTATAATACTAATTCTTCTGATCTTTAGGCATGTTTTCTCAAGAAAAAAACCTAAAAGTAGCCAAAATTGTCCTAGCAGATCTGCCCACTATGGCTCCTCCCGCACTGCTTGTCTGTGTCTCTCTGTTGCGCTTGTAAACACAGGGTCCGTTTCCAATACAATCTGAATGTCCCACCCACCGTTTGAAAGCTCTGGTGATAGGCTAAAACAATATGTCAATCACTTTCTGAAAGATCCAATGACTGAAGAGATTTCCTGTAAACAAACTGATGACGCGTGCGTAAAGCCAGGAAGTACGTGAGTGCGTTAGCTTCTTCAGCGGCTTGTCCCACCTAAACCCCGCCACCGACAACAGCGGGGAGGGTCTCATTTTGAAGCTAAGAGTGTGAGGAAAAAGAGCGCCAAGACAAACGGAACTCAGAGAGGGAGAAGGCATGGAAAGGCAACATATATTTTCATTCACGCATTCATCCATTCATACGGACGAGGACTTTCTGGATTATTTACCCACATGGAATTATTTTATGGAAAAAACAACTTGATATTCTTTTTTCTGTGGATTATTACGGACTTATTGAGTACAACTTTTCATGGATTGAACGCGTTTTGGACCGACAGAACCGGCTCAAAGGTAAGAAACACGTATCTTATTCTTTGTTTATGATGTGAAGTTTTAAGTTTCCTTTTTGGTTCTTCCTGTGGATCAGTCCTGCCCTTCACCTTCACCTTTCACTATTTTTCAATTCCGTTGGGAAGAGAAACAGTTTGAACAGAGGTTTGAGTCACACACATCTGATTCACTTTTGTATTTATGAAGTTCACAAACACATTTCTCGAGCCGTTTTCCTCTGTTCGGATCCAACAACGATTACGATGTCCGAATCCCAGAACTAAAATATGACAATATCAGAACCAGAAACAAAAGTGATATGGTTCAAAAGACTTGAAAAGATCGACTTTGACAATAGACACATCCCACTGGGAAAACAAACATGGAGGTTTGATGTTGACTTTTTCAGAAAATCCTTCCCAGTATGAATTGCACGATGACCGGTCTGAAATTTTTGATGCATGTATTTGAAGACAACAAACATGAATTTTCAGGATGTGGTTGGTACATTCATGTAGTTTTAAAAAAGCAGGACAATATCAAGTAATCCAAAGTATTCAGATTACATTACTCACTTTAAATAATTTAATGGATCATGTTACAAACTACATTTTGAGGTATGTAATCTGTAATCTGTAGGGGAATACATTTTAAAAGTAACCTTCCCAACAGTGGTCCTGAGTGTCAGTCAGAGTCAGAGTGGAGCTCAGTAGGGAGTATTTGTGCATAAGATGATCTGGCACCTGTGGGAGACAGACATGACGCAGAGATACGCAGCTGAAAACATAGAGCAGGACAACAGTCTACGTGCTGACAGTCCTTCACAAACAGCTGATACGAGTTTTATTTGCGGCACCAACAGCTGCGAGGAACAAGCAAAAAGGCAACTGCTGCGATACCAGTGTGGGAACAGACGGTCGCCAGGTGAAGTTTATATTAAAGGGACACTTGGGAATTTTGGTCCCATATAGAGGCTTTGCACCGTCACGTGACCCTATAGCAACGGTACTTATGCTGCCATGACACCAGGCACAGTACGTCATTGACTTCAGCAGCATCGGAGAAACATGGGCAGGTTTTGTTGTGTATTTGGTTGTTCTAGATCAGGTGTCTCAGACTCGCAGCCCGGGGGCCAACTGCGGCCCTCGGAAGGATTTTTTGCGGCCCTCCACTTAATTCCAAAGAATAATGTCAGTGCGGCCCGCGGTAGATGTACGCACAATCCCACCCCCCCCACCGCGGGCCGCACTGACAGATGAAGCTGCAATCGGTGCCTGTGCAGATTCACAACAACAGATTATTAACGCAGTTTACATCCCAAAACTCAATTTACAGCAGCTGTGAAGCAACGAGTCTAAGTGGATCTGTTAATACGAGTACACGTGCACATACGGCGGTTTTTTTTCATGCAACCACTATTTATCGAGTACTCAATGCGGCCCAGCCTCACTCAGACTTTATCTAATGTGGCCCTCAGGTAATTTGAGTTTGAGACCCCTGTTCTAGACGCTCTGAACGGGATAAAACGATTTGTTTCATCACTGTTCCTCTGGAAATTACTCATCAGGAGCTCAAACAAGGGAATTATCGAAAAAGTTTGGAATTTTGGACATAGGACCTCATTTCCTAGTTATAGAGAGTGTTGGAACCGTGTGGAGATGCTTTTTTAAATATTCCATCCAGTCCTTGTATTTGCAGAGGTCACTGGTGCCACTAAAAACAGTCTTACCCACTCCACAAAACACACAAAGAAAATCTATTATTACACCAGACTGTCCATGTGAATGTCTGTGCTGATAGAATAATGTTTGAAATAAAACTAACCTTGCATCACTTGAATCGTCGCATACTGAGGGACTATTTTCTCATATATCACTCCGCCGCTGCCAAGCTTTCTATCAGGAAGAGGAACTCACTGCTGCTGCTCAGACATAAATACAAGGGTGGTTTTACTTCTAAAATTATTCTATCGACACAGACATTCACACAGACAGTCTGGTGTAATAATAGATTTTCTTTGAGTGTTTTGTGGAGTGGGTAAGACTGTTTTTAGTGGCAGGAGAACTGTGGCCATTGACATGCACTACAGTAGTCTAGCACCAGTGACCTCTGCAAATACAAGGACTGGATGGAATATTTAAAAAAGTGTCTCCACATGTCTCCAACACTCTGGCTCACGAGGGCCCCGTCCACACTAGTAAGTATTTGAGTGGTGTTGGTTGTGGGTGCAGTGTTTGTTCACACTAATCCGACTGAAAACGGCTCCAGAGACGGAACGATCTGGTGCCTCCAGCTCCCACGAATTCATGTTCATACAGATCTGATTCGGCACCGTGTGGACGCCTGAAAACACCGATACTCTGATGTAGTTCCGTGCACCGCGAAGTAATTCACCACCAAAACACTAAGAGGCGAGAATATCTGTCCATTCATGTAAACGTGTGTCTGTGTGTACGACCTGCAGACGTATAATCTCTGAGAAGTTTCACATGAACCATCTCCAACACGACAGAAACACAGAACAGACTCACCATCAGCAGAACACCCCTCTGTCACAGAAAGAACACTCATATTCCACTGAGTCGTGTCCTTTAGTCCGACAGAAGCTGAACCGCATCAGCGACACAAGGAGCGAGCTGTTTTTTTGAGCGTTTCGTTTATGCAAATGAGTCATGTGGTTTTAAATTTCATTTCTGTAAAACGTAAACAAATATGTACAAAACTGTGTGGATAGGAAAGACTTGTGGACACAGAAACGACGTGTCAGATACGGTGATACGGTGATTTGTTTCAGTGTAAACGGGATCTAGGAAATGGGGTCCAAAATATGTCCAAAATTCCGAACTGTCCCTTTAATACAGAATCGTAAATCCTTGTGTTTACCCATCAGAAGAACGACTTACCGTACCTTTACGTTATTATTGTCTCATGAATATTAAAATACACTTATAAAGACATACAGTAATACGAGCTGTACGCCTTCTGTTTAATTCATTGTGTAATTCTTGTTTTAGAGACGAGGCCTGAGGCTGGACGAGTTTATTTACGTCAGAACAGAGCCCAGAGACACAGACCCTCAGGACTATGTGATAGTGTTATCTGGTTTCTATCAGTCCAGTCTGGCTATGCTGCCGTTGTAGGGAGTATTATACCACTGATAACGCTGGCCATGATAACGGGAACTGAGCTTGTAGTGCCCTCAGTTCAACACAGATATGGAATTTCTCTAACAGATATGGAATTATGATAATGAGGATTTGTAAGGAGTGAGGTTGGAGTTTGGGGAGTGGAGGCAGCTGGAGTTTGGGAAGGGGCGAGATAGTTTGAAACTGACTCTCCTTCTTCAGATGCATGAGCCAGATCTGTGTCACTCTAAACCGTTCTACACATGATCAAACTGGAGCGTCTCTCGCTGATAGAGGTCTGGAATGCGGATCGCTGTGACAGATATCTGAATCTGATCGAAGCGTGACTGCAGCTGACGAAGCGGAAGCATCAGGGAGTGTCTACAGCCGTAATAATGGGTTGTGTAAGCAAAGAAAAAAAAAAAAAGGCTCTGTGTATATTAAAAAACCTTGGACCGCTTCGTAATTCCTTCCTTTATTTCACGCTCCACTGGGATTTAATATGTGTCAGTTTTACGACGCCAAACACAATGCGCTGCAACACAATGAGCCTGTGGCCTTAAGGCTTTTGTCTCCATGTATTTCTAACGAGTCTGTGGTCCGTGGTGTCAGGACCCATTACTTGAAGTGGCTTTTTTGCCCATTGGGTTGACCCTGGAAAACACTGCGGTGTCGTTATATATATATATATTTTTATATTTTATGTGCAAACCGCAGCTGTTGTGTCTGTAGTTTCATGTTTGTGTAATGACATTTCTCTCCACAGAACTTGTTGACCACCGGACCCCTGGAATGCCCGAAGGTGAGGCTTGCAATTTACTGAAATAACACTGATTCAGAGCAACAAATGAGGAACTGAAACAACATTTTATAAGGATCCATACGCTATTGATTTGACATCAGCAGAACAGAAAAGCAGAAATATGAGCTGGACAGATATATTTAACCCAACGGTTAAATTATCTATTTCCTGTCTGTGTTATAATGTGTCATGTTCCTCGTCACAAACACGCAAACAGAACTGGACTTGTGTTTTGTTTCATTCACACGTTTAACACACAAACCCTGCAGATTTAGGCCGAGTTCTTCTCTCGAACCGAAAAAACACTCTATTCCACCTTGTGATGTCATGTGGTGATACGGGAAGTGCTTCATTATGTTTTTAAACTCCACACACCTTCACTAGAATCACTGAAGAGGCTAATCTTTGGCTACGTTCAGACTGCAGCCTGAAGTGACCCAAATCTGATTTTTTGGTGTCTCTATGTTCCTGTATCTGATCTTTTAATGACAGTCTGAACCACACAGATCTGTTTTTTTCAAATGTGACCCAGGACACTTGGATATGTGCTCCTGAAACTGATACATATCTGATCTTTTGACATGTGACTTCAGTCTGAACGGTCAAAGTGCATTCATCCACCTACACGTTATCAACAAGACACAAACGTCACTATTCTGCACTGAAGTAGGCGAAAATTGTTAATGAACTCTGTGTCACTGAAGTGAAGCACATCTCCACTCACCACTCTTGGCTCCGTCTCCACATCCACACGTTCCTTTCAACGGACTGAACCACAAAACACCACGACCAAAAACCTCGTCCTTCTCCTTCTCAATCTCCTCCTTAAAACAAGTAAGTTGTTCATGTTCTGGCTCCGGTACGAGAGGAACTTTAAAATCTCCAGGTGCTCGATGCTGCGTCCATGTTTGGACAACTTCTGTAAACACAGAGACGCTCGCTGCGGTTGACGTCGTCGTGTCTCCAGTGTCACATGTGGGACACTTTTGGGCCGTTTACTGTTCACACTGGAGTCACATACAAGTCACATTTAACTGGAAATGTGAACGACCTCGAAAAAACATCGGATTTCACCAAAAAATCCGAACTGAGTGTTAAGCCCTGCAGTCTGAACGTCGCCTTAGACTCGTTTTCTCCTTATTACTAACTTAACCTCTCCACAAAGAAAGATGATGAAGATAATGAGCCTGTCTTACGCATTTACAACTTGATGTCATTGCAGGACGGTAAAACGACCGTGTTGCTCCAGCCGTCTATTTTCTTTATTGTCAACAAGTTCAAGAACAGCATTTCTTCACCCCCAAATGCTTAAATCATATATCAGTTTTCTTTCTTTTGAATCAAACATAATTCATGTACCGAAAGATATTAAGTTGTCTTTTAAACTAAAATACAAATTAATCATTATGAATTGTTAATTATTTGCAAATATGTAAACCTTATGAAATGGCACTTACAATCATCGGGAATTTCAACCTGGGAAGTGTCAGTCTCTACTGAACTAACATGTGACACTGGAGACACGACGACGTCAACCGCAGCGAGCGTCTCTGTGTTTACTGAAGTTGTCCAAACATGGACGCAGCATCGAGCACCTGGAGATTTTAAAGTTCCTCTCGTACCGGAGCCACAACATGAACAATGAACAATGAACTTACTTGTTTTAAGGAGGAGATTGAGAAGGAGAAGGACGAGGTTTTTGGTCGTGGTGTTTTGTGGTTCAGTCCGTTGAAAGGAACGTGTGGATGTGGAGACGGAGCCAAGAGTGGTGAGTGGAGATGTGCTTCACTTCAGTCACATGGAGTTCTTTAAAAAATTTTTCGCCGACTTCAGCGCAGAATAGTGACGTTTGTGTCTTGTTGATAACGTGTAGGTGGATGAATGCACTTTGGCCGTTCAGATTGAAGTCACATGACAAAAGATCAAATATGTATCAGTTTCAGGAGCACATATCCAAGTGTCCTGGGTCACATTGGAAAAAATCGGATCTGTGTGGTTCAGACTGACATTAAAAGATCAGATACAGGAACATAGGGGCCAAGAAATCGGAATTGGGTCACTTCAGGCTGCAGTGTGAACGTAGCCTAAAGGCAAAAGGAGCTGTTCTCTTCTTGAAAACTACCGCTTCATGACATCACAAGTTGGAACAGAGCGTTTTGAGCTTTGGAGATGTAGACAGACTAATAATAAAGAGTTACTCAAACATGTGAATGAAACAAAACACAACTCCCGGTCTGTTTTTGAGGAGGAAAAAACATTATAACATTGCTTAAAGCTCACAAGAGTCAAGTTTGCATAATATAGCACTCAAGATTAAAGTCTAACACACTCTCAGACAGAGCAGTGCCTCCAGTTACACACACACATCAGCTGCAAAGTATCAATAATAATAACACGATTTTATTTATGTATGTATTTATTTATTTTTTAACTGTTTGTGTCTGATCTGCAGGATGTAATCTGTGAAAACGTGGTCACAGTGATCCAGGAGCTCAATGGCGTCGTGTTCGTGTGTGGGACAAATGGACTCAGACCTCACTGCTGGAACCTGGTAAGGACCTGACCACTGCACTTCCGCTGACGGTTTGATCTGCTCGTAGCGGTTTTCCTCAGAATGGTCACGTGATACTGCTGTGGTGTGATTAGTCAGATGATTTAAAGAGGTTTTGGCACGGTCTTCCTACTATAAACGAGGGCGAGGGGGCTTTTTTACTCTCACACAGCTGGCGTCCTGGAGAAGTCTGCTTTAAGCCGAGCGTACTGTACACTGCAGTATTTTTGATGGTTTCACTCAGCACCAGCTCGCGGCCAAAAAGGCACTTCAGAAGGAGAGTATAGATCTGGTCGTTACATTGGCGAAGCAGGAATGCCAAAGTGTCTGTAAGCAACATCTGCTTAATAAATGGCAAAAAGAATGGGAGGGGGAACGGCACTTTTTTGGGCAGGCACTTTTTTGCCTGTCAGTCGTCAAAGTACAAAATAGCAGGAATGGTGGGTCCAGCTGCAGAAGAGACGAAGTCGTCTTAACGAGGTTGTGATTAGGGCTCTGTGGATTGGCTGCGTGCTTATTTAAAATCGGGAAACACCTCAATGGCCTCTGCAACTGTGACAGCCCAGAAATCGTTAGACACACATTGTTGTCATTAGTGACGGGCATTCGATGAAATTTTCTTAATCGCTCGTCGGAAGAATTAACGATCGATTATCGATTAATCATTAACGTTTTTATATTAAAATGATCATCATTATTATTACTATCTGCACTACTAATCTGCATAAATAAATTCAACTTTACGACATATAAACCGTAACGACTCTAGAGCCACATCAGCCCGTTTGACATTATAATGTGTTTAATTCAGTTTTGTTCAAATCTCACAGAAACAAAACTTAAAACCACATCACTAATTTGCATAAACTCAAGCGAAGATAAAACTCCAGCTCTTGTGTCGCTGATGTGGTTCAATTTCTGTCGGATTAAAAGACATGACTCAGGTGAATACAGGTCAGTGTGACCAGATTTGCGTTTGTTAAAACCAGGACAGCGTACGGGGGGAGGGGGGCGGGGCCTCGTCATCCACATTGAGCGACTCTCACCTGGAAAAACTTTTCCCACTGGACACAGAAACATATGTGCTGCTTTATACACTGTGCACATGGACTCACACTTGTCCCGAACGCAACGGAAAGTGTGGAATTTCTTATACATGTCATCGTTAAATACGCATTTAAATACGCATTCGTTGCAGACTGACCGAATGTTTCTGTTTGTGTCTCGCTCCTTCTGAGTGCACAGAGCTACATGTACGGACCCCCATTTGGTCACGCTACGCACAGCAACCTACATTCAGTTTGTCGATTAAAATGAATGTAATCGATGAAATTCTTAATGATCAATTATCGATTAATCGATTAATCATGCCCATCCCTAGTTGTCATGCAGCACCTACAGCAGAGAAAGGAAGCAGCTCTTCAAGGAGCTAGCGGACCTGGGACTTGTAACCTTTTCGCTCAAAACTATTCTTTCTTCGGAAAATAGTTCAGTAAATTTAGCTCTGTTAAACATTCTTCACAGCTCTTAATATCTTTATAATGAAGGTGGAGGGCATGCGTGTAGCCTGCTGGAAACTATTAGAAAAAGCTCCAGCTCGCACGGTTTAAAAGTTCACAGCTCACGATTCATGTTCTCACACTATACAATCCGATGCTTGGATGCGATCTTCCTGCGCACACTGTACGTCCACATCACGACATGTGGAGTTCTTGAATTATTGGAGCCAATATATTACACAAAATCTCTCTTGCTTTTCTCTTTGTCTCTCTCTATCAAACACACAGACCACCAACAGCAACAATGAATTAACTACGTGTCTACTTTGCCAGTCTGGACAAAAACATTACCTGGAAGCTGCAACTGAGCGGCAATCTACCCCCAGCTGTTCTCTGTTTTGTTGAGGTCATGTTCGCCCTGTGAGGCCTCACTGAAAAGGCTCGGGTAAAAAGCCAAAGCTCGGTTAGCTGAGCCTCCATATCCTGTTTCCAAAACACACGCTGACCCGCTGTTGTCCTCCACCAACTTCATATTATTTCATTCTGCTTCTGTGTTCGCTCATGCTCAATCAATCAATCAACAACTTTATTAATCCCAAAGGGCAATTCAGTTCGCACATCTCTGGTCATGCACAATATATAAATATAAATAATAAAGAAAAAGAAAGACAGACACTAGACGTTCGAACCACAGTGCATCAGGGACACAGTAACAAATTCACTTTCCGTTTAAAATCCTTACGGCAGAAGGAATAAAAGATTTGGCGTCTGACGGATTCTGGCAAATCGGATCGCGGAGCCGTCACGAGAGGCGACTGGATTTCAAACAGGATTGATACCCAAAACCTGCTACGTAGGTCTCCAGGACAGTTGATAGTCAAGGTCAGTTAAAAACAATCAATCAATGAACCTGCCCAGGGACGACAGGTGGAAATGAGCACCGATGCTACAACCTGATGTACCAGCATCTCTAGTGTTAAGGTTAATGCAAAAATTGCACGCTGTCCCTGTCTCAAATAAATAAATAAATAAATATTCTTGCGATCTACGATTAGGGTTGGGTATCATCAAGAAGCTGCTGATACGATACATACCTCAATACACAGATCACGATACGATACATATCTCAATACAGTGCACTTTCGATTTGATACGTTTAAATAAAAATAATCCTGGTTATGAGAAACCAGGATACTGTAGCTCAGGGGTGTCACTCATTTTGTTCCGGGGGCCGTATCCAACCGACTTTGATCCCAAAGTGTCCGGATCAGAAAACTCATGTCATATAAACCCAAAAATAACAATAAGTTCAAATATTTGTGCAGAGAAACACAAATCTATTACAGAAATCTTTTTAAATTGATGAACTCTTTCTTTTACAAAATATTATAATATTATGAACAACCTGAAACTTTAAGAAAAATGCAATTTCAACACAAAGTTTTAACATGAACTTGTTTGCAAATAGGAATAAGTAAATTTTTGTTGTAAAATCCTGCACTCGGCTCCACTTTTCTCATGTTGGACATTTTTCTGATGAGGGTGTCACGGTCAACAGTCAAAACGATCGTCCTTTAAGAGCGTTTGGAAAGAGACAAGTCTTCATTTGTGCTGCTCTGGTGGGAGGGGCCACGTACAGAGACGCTGGAGACGCTGATATGCTCAGCACAGCAGAAAATTACCAATATTTTAATTAAAATATTTAAGTTGAAAATCAGTCAAGGACCAGATTAAAGGTCTTGGAGGGCCGGATCTGGCCCCCGGGCCTTATGTTTGACACCTGTGCTGTAGCTGGTATATTCCGATAGCAACTGGGGCATGTAAACGCAGCATAAAGTTGAGTGCACCTGCGTCCAAAAGACAAACACTTTCCAGTCTTTTCACCACAATAGTGACACAAATAAAGTCACCAACATGAATAAAGTGACTGCAGCTACCCTGGTTTTCTTAGCGAGAAAGGACTTCACGCTTCGTACTGATGATTATGTGTCAGTATTTATTCTCAGCAATCTTCAATTCCATTAACACACACCGAAACACACCGTGAAAACTAAAACAAAGACAGACAGAAAATATCTTAACTTTTCATAAACACCTTTAAATAAATACACAATTGAAACTATATTTACTGTTTTCGCCTTTACGTTTCCAGCGGTAGTTAACAGGTTTTTATTTTGATGTCTTTTTCTTTACACCTTTACTCTCTGTTTCTCCCTTCTCTCTTTTCGCGCTACTACTTTTTCTCTTTTCTACTTCCGGGGGCAAGGCAAAAGGTCACACAACTCAAAAGGCAAATATATTCACAAATAAAATACAAAAAACAATAACTGCAATATTCTGACACATCTCAATACTTGAACAAAGAAAATAATAACCTTCTCACTTATTACTATAAAAACAAATATACTGACATTATCGTCAGTTACAGTGACCACACATGAGTGAAATGACTGTAGAATAAAGAGCTGCGCTAAACCTGCACATGTACAACGTGCACTCGTATGACCTGCACACGTGTGATCTACGATTAGGGCTGGGAGTCATTAAGAAGCTGCCGATACGATACATATCTCAATACATAGATCACGATACGATACATATCTCGATACATAGATCACGATACGATACATACATAGATCACGATACGATACATATCTCGATACACATAGATCACGATACGATACATATCTCGATACAGTGCACTTTCGATTTGATACGGTTCAATAAAAAATAAAGGCAAAATTATGGCTGTGATACTAAAACGCTTTGTTAAACCACTTCTTGTGCAAAGTTCATATGAAACACAAACATTTTAATCATCAAAACACTGAGAATGTCAAATGGGTCCAGTCAAGTGGTAACGGAGGGAAACAGGGGCAGATTTTTGACATTCAAATGTCTCTTATTCAGAAACTAGAGGAACTATTGAAATAAGTAAAGTATCAGAATGTAGGAAAGAGTTACACTCCAACAGGGTCAAGTTAAACCTGTGATATTCTTTCAAGTTGTTGACAAAAAATTAAAAAAACTCATGTCGGTAACGGAGGGAATGAAATATGCAGCACTTTTTGGTCAATAAATCCAAACAGTGATAACTCTTGGTTCTCACTTACATATCCTTAACAAACTGGTTTGAATATTTGCTTCATATAGTTTTCTACCATATGGTACAAGATTAGGTTGAAAAACCTCTTACTTTTTGACTCATGAGATTTTTTATTAAGAAAGGTCATGGTAACGGAGGGAAAAGTAACGGAGGGAAAATTGTACGTAGAAGGTGCAGGATTTTACATCATTTGTCAACTTTTTTCTTCTGAATACTTTAATATTACTTCAAAATGAAAGGAAACTATTTCTATAAAATATGTCAGTCCTTCCAAGAACATTTTTATCATTTTAAATACTTTTATTTTTATTTTTAAATCATGTCCCTTCATCAACAGTTCAAAGATGGAATAACACAAGATATGATGAAATACATCCATTTATTTACATGATTTTGCAGGTCTTTGAAATTTGGGAAATAATTTTTGTTCCATGTTTCATACATGGTCTGTTTAAAACATATGGAACTTTAGAACCAAAAATGGTACAGAAAAAAGATCAACAGTTTCATAAACTAGAGTACATATGTATCTGTTCAATACATTTTTATATCAGATGCAATTAACTTGAATTTTTGGCCTTGATTGTTTACTTCTGCTTGACTGGGCCCAATTGTGTCACATAAATGAGTTTTCTTCCTCTGAACAAGCAACAAAACTGTAACTGTAACAAAATTATTTAGTAAATTATACCAAAAAATACTCTTGGTGATATATCGATACAGTAGAACATGATATCGAGACTGTATAACCACATTAAATGATACGATATGTCGATATTTTGATATTTTTGCACACCTCTACCTACGATTGCCGATCGGGAGCTGGTCGTGAGGTATTTATCGGTTCTTGTTACCTCATGTTTACGACACGAAGCACGACACGATTAAGACAAAACTCACGCCGATCCCAAAAACAGTCGCACAAGTGAAAAATCGGCTCAAAAAGGACCAAAAATCACAGTGTAAAATATAATACATCAATATAACACGACCACTCTGAGGGAAATCGTTACGAGCAATCGAAACTGTCAGGGATGAAAACAAACTGAACATTTTATCTGAAAAAAAGAGCCTAAGAATTTTTTTTTTCAAATTATCAGTGAACCAAATGAATCTTGTTGGACTTTTAATAATATTTAGATTTTTTTTCTCCACAGTCTGCGTTACAAAACCACTCATCACAAGGCTTTGACGGACAAGGCATTTCTCCGTTCACATACTCCCAGAATTCCATATCTCTCACAGTAGGTACGTTCACGGCACCATCATCTCCTCTTATCTTCTCATAAAAACAGGACTGGAAGACTAAAGCGTGACTTAGCAGAGCGCTCGCAATTACATAATCGGCGCAAGTCATGTGCAGCAGAGTGGTGTGCCATCTGCTCCCTGTTAAATAATGTAAAGCGTATTCCTGTCATGTGATGTCTGTCTCCATGCACAGAGGGGGACCTGTATGCCGCCGCCCCACAAGAAAGTGACGGAAGCTCTCTGCAGTTCAGACGGAAATCTGGCAGAAGAACCAACGTCAGGATGTACCACAGCTGGGTTTTAGGTACGTCTAAAATATCTGTCAAAACAACTGATTAGAGAAGCAACACAAGCTAAGTTTCACTATTACAGTCTAATACAGTGTTTTTTATCGTTTTAGCACAGGCTTTGGATTACAAAATCAGAATTACATGTGTCAAACAGGGAGAAAAGTTCATACAGACTGCGTACAAATACACACATAGGCCTGTCGTGATAATTACTATACTGAGTGTGTTTACATGCACATGATTGTCCCGGTTGTGATCGGGTTTTTTGAGTATCCCGGTTTCATCGTGGTGCATGTATTCCTGTTTCAGTGTCCCGAATAAGGCAGTATCCCAGTTATTAGAAACCAGGATGCTGTAGCTCAGGGGTCTCAAACTCAAATTACCTGGGGGCCACATTAGATAAAGTCTGAGTGAGGCTGGGCCGCATTGAGTACTCGATAAATAGCGGTTGCACGAAAAAAAAAAAAAACGCCGTACGCGCACGTGTACTCGTATTAACAGATCCACTTAGACTCGTTGCTTCACAGCTGCTGTAAGTTGAGTTTTGGGATGTAAACTGCGTTAATAATCTGTTGTTGTGAATCTGCACGGGCACCGATTGCAGCTTCATCTGTCAGTGTGGCCCGCGGTGGGGGGGTGGGATTGTGCGTACATCTACCGCGGGCCGCACTGACATTATTCTTTGGAATTAAGTGGAGGGCCGCAAAAAATCCTTCCGAGGGCCGCAGTTGGCCCCCGGTCCGCGAGTCTGAGACCCCTGCTGTAGCTGGTATATTCCGATAGTAACCAGGATACTGTGGCATGTAAACACAGTGTCCTGGTTACTGCAACATAAATTTGAGTGTGCTTGAGTTCAAAAGACAAACACTTTTCAGTCTTTTCAGCACAACAATAGCGACATAAATAAAGTGACCGACATAAATAAAGTGACCGACATAAATAAAGTGACCGACATAAATAAAGTGACCATACATGAGGGAAATGACTGTAGAATAAAGAGCTGCACTAAACCTGCACATGTACAATCTGCACTCGTATGACCTGATCGCTGTAAAGTTAAACATGAAACATCTCCTATACGATACACACACAGAACAGACTCACCATCATCAGCACCTCCTCTGTCACAGAAAAAACACATATATATGGGCCCGGCCAAGCAGAAGTAAACAACAAGGCCAAAAATTCAAGTTAATTCATCTGATATAAAAATGTATTGAACAGATACATATGTACTCTAGTTTATGAAACTGTTGACCTTTTTTCTGGACCATTTTTGGTTCTAAAGTTCCATTCGTTTTAAACAGACCATGTATGAAACATGGAACAAAAATTATTTAACAAATTTCAAAGACCTGCAAATCATGTCAATAAATGGATGTATTTCATCATATCTTGTGTTATTCCATCTTTGAACTGTTGATGAAGGGACATGATTTAAAAAAAAAAAAAAAAAGTATTTAAAATGATAAAAATTTGCTTGGAAGGACTGACATATTTTATAGAAATAGTTTCCTTTCATTTTGAAGTAATATTAAAGTATTCAGAAGAAAAAAGCTGATAAATTATGTAAAATCCTGCACCTTCTACTTGTTTGAACAATTTTCCCTCCGTTACTTTTCCCTCCGTTACCATGACCTTTCTTAATAAAAAATCTCATGAGTCAAAAAGTAAGAGGTTTTTCAACCTAATCTTGTACCATATGGTAGAAAACTATATGAAGCAAATATTCAAACCAGTTTGTTAAGGATATGTAAGTGAGAACCAAGAGTTATCACTGTTTGGATTTATTGCCCAAAAAGTGCTGCATATTTCATTCCCTCCGTTACCGACATGAGTTTTTAAATTTTTTGTCAACAACTTGAAAGAATCTCACAGGTTTAACTTGACCCTGTTGGAGTGTAACTCTTTCCTACATTCTGATACTTTACTTATTTCAATAGTTCCTCTAGTTTCTGAATAAGAGACATTTGAATGTCAAAAATCTGCCCCTGTTTCCCTCCGTTAACACTTGACCAAACCCATATTACACTGAGTCGTGTCCTTTAGTTTGACAGAAGCTGAACCACATCAGGACGCAAGGAAAGACAGTTTATGCAAATTGGCCATGTGGTTTTAAGTTTTGTTTCAGTAAAACGTAAACAAATGTGATCAAAGCTAAATCATATTATCAAACGGGTTGATGTGGTTCTGGTTTATATGGTGTAAAGTTGAGTTTATTTATGCAGAATATTTTCATAAAAATCTGCAGTGTGTAACTTGTAAATAGTGTTTGGAAAAGTTCAGTTTGATCTGTGCAGTGGGTCATAGCTTCTTAGCGCTGGTTAAACCTCCCTTCCGACACTAAAGGAGCTCATGGTTTTTTGTATTTTTCCTGGTTTATTAAATTAAACAAAGTAAATTTTTGCGCTTGTGCATTTCTAAGATTATGTCAAGAAACCGGGATACTCCATTTGATCATGTAAACAGGGATATGAGTGTCCCGGTTATGGATAATAACCAGGATACTGATGTGCATGTAAACACACTCATTGATTGTTTTGTCGTTCAACATATGAAAACTGGTTCTTTGCATTTTGGGGCCAAATTTCTGGGTTTCAGAAGACAGATGCGGGTCAGCTAAAATTATTACTGATAAAATGCAGATTTGTTTTGTAATACAGTGAGTTTTTGGTGCAGTCAGTCGTAGAAATGATCAGGCTCAACATTTGTGCATTTATTTTTTTTAGATATTTGATGGCAAAGTGCAATGTATTTTGAAATGTACAATGAAAAAAACTGTCCCTTGTCTGGGATCATGACATTTTAGAATCTGAAAACACATCTGAAAATATTTATCGTGTGTACAGTTTCTGTGCGATAGTGGGGAGAAGTGTTGGGACGAGACACAATTTCTCAAATCCAAATCCACTTTATTTCTATAGCACATTTTACAAACAAAGCAGAGGTTCGTAGAGGATCATAGAGGATCATAGAGGATTATAGAGGGTTGTATGGGATTGTAAAGGATCGTAGAGGATCCTAGAGGGTCGTAGATGGTAGTAGAGGATCATAGAGGATCGTAGGGGATCTTGGAGAATCTTAGAGGGTCATAGAGGATTATAGAGGGTTGTATGGGATTGTCAAGGATTGTAGAGGATTGTAGCGGCTAATAGAGGGTCGTAGAGGATCACAGAGGATTGTAGGGGATCTTAGAGGGTCGTAGAGGATCGTAGGGGATCTTAGAGGATCCTTTGTATCGTGGGGGATCTTAGAAGATTTTAGAGGATTATAGAGGGTGCCAGGGGATTGTAAAGGATCATAGAGGATCGTAGAGGGTCGTAGAGGATCATACGGGGTCATAGGGGATCTTAGAGGATTATAGAGGGTCGTAGACGATCACAGAGGATTGTAGGGGATCTTAGAGGGTCGTAGAGGATCGTATGGGGATCTTAGGGGATCTTAGAGGATCCTTTGTATCGTGGGGCTAGATCTTAGAGATTTTAGAGGATTATAGAGGGTGCATAGGGGATTGTAGAGGATCATAGAGGATATAGAGGGATCGTAGAGGGTCGTAGGGATAGGATCTTAGGGATCTTAGAGGATTATAGAGGGTCGTAGAGGGATTGTAGAGGATCATAGAGGATTTAGAGGGAGAGGGTTGTAGGGGATCTTAGAGGGTCATAGAGGACTGTAAAGGATCGTAGAGGATTTAGATCGAGAGGATTAGATGGATGGAGAGGATCGTAGAGATATCAGAGAGAGATTGTAGGGGATCTTAGGGGATCTTAGAGGATTATAGAGGGTCGTATGGGATTGTAAAGGATCATAGTTAGAGGATCGTAGAGGGTTGTAGGGGATCTTGGGATCTTAGAGGGATAGAGGATCATAGAGGGTGTATGAGGTCATAGTCATAGGGATCTAGGATTGTAGAGGATCGTACAGGATCACAGAGGATTGTAGGGGATCTTGGGGGATCTTAGAGGGTCGTAGAGGATTATAGAGGGTCGTATGAGATCATAGGGGATGATAGAGGATTGTAGAGGATCATAGAGGATGCTTTTACCATTTTAGGTGCACTGGCAAAGGTTTAGTTCGGTCCGTCAGTCTGTCAAATCATTATTGTCATATATCAGGGAATTAAAACTACAAATGTCTTTAATAACTGCCATGTTTTCATCTTGGCTGCATTGAACCAGAGCAAAGGATCATGATCTATGTCGTTCCTTCTGCTTTTCTAAACATTCTACTCAAACAAACCCTGGATCAAGTATATAATCTATATTTTGATATATTGTAAATGTCCTCAACAACACCATGGGCCTGTCCATCATGACTAAAATGTGTTTTTTGCGTCCTGTATTACACAGACGTGACTCTTGAGCCACAACTTAGCCACAAACCAACGCTGTTACCTCATCCAAAATATATGGTTTGTTTTGTGTTTGAGTAACTCTTAATCATCCGTCTGGCTCTATCTTCAAAGCTCAAAATGCTCAGTTCCAAGCAGTAGTTTTCAAGTGAACAGCTACCTCTTGCTTTTAATTTAGTAGAGATTGGTCATTTCAAGGCTGAAAATGATCCGAATGATTCTAGTGAAGGTGTGTAGAGTTTAAAAACACAGTGGAGCACTTCTTGTTGCTTGAGTGTTTTCTGTTTGAGGGAAAAACTCAGCCTGAATCTGCAGGGTTTGTGTGAATAAAACAAAACATAACTCCCGGTCTGTTTATGATGAGGAAACAACATGAGAACATAGATCACAGAGGAGCCCTTTAATCTGTATTTACACGTGACGTTTGTGTGTTTTTTCTGTCGTAGAGCCCACATTTATCGGTTCCTCGTGGGTGAAGCGGGAGAACGACCCAGACAACGAGAAGATCTACGTGTTTTTTCGCGAAAAGAACTCGGACACCAACCCCGAGGCCGAGCAGTGGATCTCGAGGGTGGCGCGGGTGTGTAAGGTGGGTAACGTCAGAGAAAAACTCATCAGACAATGTTGTAATGGCCACACCCAAAGAACACGACACCACCTCATTTGTGGCGACAGTCAGATTAAACACTGGTCCAGCGCTCTGTTTGTCATGTGGTTACGCCAGTGCTTATTGTACTGCACAGATGTCAAACATACGGCCCGGGGGCCAGATCCGGCCCTCCAAGACTTTTAATGTGGCCCTTGGGTGATTTTCTACTAAATATTTTAATTATATTTTCTATTAAAATATTGGTAATTTTCTGCGGGGCTGAGCATAGCAGCGTCTCCAGCGTCTCTGTACGTGGCCCCTCCCACCAGAGCAGCACAAATGAAGACTTGTCTCTTTCCAAACGCTCTTAAAGGACGATCGTTTTGACTGTTGACCGTGACACCCTCATCAGAAAAATGTCCAACATGAGAAAAGTGGAGCCGAGTGCAGGATTTTACAAGAAAAATTGACTTATTCTTGTTTGCAAACAAGTTCATGTTAAAACATTGTGTTGAAATTGAATTTTTCTTCAAGTTTCAGGTTGTTCATAATATTATAATATTATATTAAGAAAGAGTTCATCAATTAAAAAAGATTTCTGTAATAGATTTGCGTTTCTCTGCACAAATATTTGAACTTATTGTTATTTTTGGGGTTTATATGACATGAGTTTTCTGATCCGGCCCCTTTGGGATCAAAGTAGGTTGGATACGGTCCCCGGACCAAAATGAGTTTGACACCCCTGTTATAACTTTTCTGGTCCAGACTGTAAAGAAGTGGACTAAAGGAGCGTGACGTCATCGAGCTCATTGAGGCTGCAGTTAGAGTTCTGTTTTAGGAATAGCAATGGATTTACGGACAAAATAGCGAAATAAAACTGCAACTGCAACTTTATTCACTTTAAAAACAACACAGATTGACCAAAGTGCTGCAGAATATAATCAAACAATCGAATAAAATAACAACATCTCAAAGTCAAAGTGTGTCAAAGGCCCAAAGTGACCATGTGCGTTTTAAGAAGAGATTTAAAAACAGTACAGAAGAGGCTTGTTTCATCCACAAAGGCAGTTCAGTCTGTAATTTTGGTGCAGCCACCGCAAAGACTCAGTCCCCTCTGAGGTTCCAGCTGGTTTTTGGTTCAGGAGGAGTTGGTTTTTAGTTCAGGAGGAAGTTGGTTTTTGGTTCAGGAGGAGTTGGTTTTTGGCTCAGGTGGAGCGGATCAGCCGATCTGAGAGCTGCGCAGGAGTGTACAGATGGAGGAGCTCAGGGAAGTCCAGCGTGGCAGCACCAATCAAACACTTAAAAACAAATTAAAGAGGTTTAAAATTGATCTTAAAAACACCAGGATCATGTAGAGTGAATTATTATGAACATTTAAGACCAAAATGTGGAGTTTGTGGACTGTTTATATAAATGGACAGACTCACTGCTGTGTTCCAAATCAAAGGTTTACATGTGGCTCCTTCTCACGCCAGCTCCCTTTTTCTTTTTTTCTTTTTTCTTTATTTGAAATAGGGACAAAACACATTAATGAACATATACATGATATATAAATATGTTATCAGATTGAGTTATATTAGAATATTGTGGCTCCTCTGTCTGTACCTGCTGCTGTGAGTCTCGACATTTTGGTCTTAAAATGTTTGTATTAACCCGCGACACATGATCCTGGTCAAGTCTGTGCAATTAATAGAATTTTGATCACGATTTTCGATTTGTGTGTCAAACGATCTCCAAACTCCAAAATAATCGGGTTGAAACAATAAAGCTTAACAAAGTTTATTTTTATATAAATAAGTATATTGATTTTACTTTTTAAATATAGAGATTGTAGAACAGCTGGATATATAGTTTATTTTGGAGACATTTATATTATTTTTCTGCCTTATTTCATGATCAAAGTTTATTTTATTAATTTTTTTATTATTTATTATTATTTATTTATTTAATTCATGAAGTATAAAAAGTGTCACAACATCAAACATACAAGAAATGAATGAAAAGGAGCAGAAAGAAGAGTAATTTTATGTTTTATACGTCACAAAACTGCTCTAAGGTTTATATTTGTAGCCTATATTTATTTTCAATTTGAAAGTTTTGCGCAAATTATTAATTACAAAGTGTTTTTTTTTTTGAGAGAGAAATGCTGAGTAAATGCATTTTGTAAATAAAAAATAATCAGTTGAATAATCATGATTTCAGTATTGGCCAAAATAATCGTGATAATGACTTTTTCCATAATCGAGCAGCTCTAATCCTGGTGTTTTTATCTCGCTGTTTTGTCAGTTCAGAAAAAATCCTACTCATTTTATAGAGACTGAATCCAAATGTGCTCTTGTGCCGAACGTCACACTCACTTAGTCCACTTTTTTATACGGTCTATGAGTCTGACAGCAGCAGTTTCAGTGACGAGCGACAGTTTGTCAATACAAAGTGCACTGGAGCCAGAGCCGATGGAGCTGGAAGTGCGTCCGTGCTTCACTTTCTATTTGGAGCTCGGCGGTCAGCAGGATTAAACTTAAAGGTTGTATAGAGGATTTTTTTAAGGGAAGAGAAATACAGCGACAGTCCTTGTGCGCGTTCAGAAGTCAGTCAGTTTTTAGACCCTTCGTCTGCTTCGGTCGCGCCATCGCTGGACGAGATCTCCAAGAATCACCTCAGTTTCTCTTCTTCTTTCAGCGACCTCAAAAACGGACTTTCTTTTGCGGCGAACCGGTCGTGGATTCTCGTCCGCCGTCGCGACAAACTTTGTGCGAAATGCGAGGAAGCGACAGTTTGAAAAAGCCTCTAAGAACCGCTGCATAAACCACGTAATCCCCGCGCTCCGACGAGTCAGATAGGCTACGTTCAGACTGCAGGGCTTAATGCTCAATTCCGATTTTTTTGTGAAATCCGATGTTTTTGCGAGGTCGTTCACATTTCCAGTTAAATGCGACTTGTCTGTGACTTCAGTGTGAACGGTAAACGGCCCGAAAGTGTCCCGCATGCGCACTGGAGACACGATGACGTCAACCCCATGCGTCAACCGCAGCGAGCGTCTCTGTGTTTACGGAAGTTGTCCAAACATGGACGCGAGCATTGAGCACCTGGCGATTTTACAGTTCCGGTTTCCGCCTGCTTCAGCGCAGAATAGTGACGTTTGTCGCTTGTTGATGACGTGTAGGTCGGATGGATGCGCTTTGGCCGTTCAGACTGAAGTCGCATGTCAAAAGATCGGATATGTATCGGTTTCAGGAGCACATATCCAAGTGTCCTGGGTCACATTTGAAAAATTCGGATCTGTGCCGTTCAGACTGTCATTAAAAGATCGGATACAGGTCACATAGAAGCCAAAAAATCGGATTTGGGTCACTTCAGGCTGCAGTCTGAACGTAGCCTTATACTAGGGAGTTTGATTGACAACCTATCAGCCAATAGAAAATGAGGGAGCCTCGTTTTCTATTGGCTGATGTTTATCTGGCCTCAACACGTCCACAGTTAGATTTTCGTTCTTTTTTTTTTTTTGGTCATCATAATTACAAAGCTGCTGCGTCTCTGTAATGGTATTTTAATCTTTCACTGACAGTTTGAAACAAAAAAAAAATCCTCCATACAACCTTTAACACAGACGTCATTGTTGTGCTTTTGTAGTGCAAAATGCAGGAAAATACAGAAACATCTTAGTTCTTTATGTCAGATGTTAAATATTTTTTTGCTTTTGCACTTGTTGTCCTCGGCTGTGGTCAGGACTGTGGTTGGGTGTGGATGTTTTTTTGGTCAGACGTTACTGTTTTGACTCCACAGATACATCAGCTGAGAAACATGTGCTCTTGTTTGTGAACAGTGTTGGGAAGGTCAATTTTAAAATGTAATCCCCTACAGATTACAGATTACACACACCAAAATGTAGTTTGTAACAGAATCCATTAAGTTACTTAAAGTGAGTAATGTAATCTGATTACTTTGGATTACTTGATTTGCTGTAGAGAAACAAAGACGAGGAAATCATAACATAAGATGTTTTATCTGATAAAAAAAAATAAAAAGTCCAGACTTTACTGAACCAAATTAAAAATATTATTGATAGAAGAAGAAACACGTCCACACAGCAGGATTTAGTCCTGGTTTAGTCCTGGTTTAGTCCTGGTTTAGACCCGGTTTAGTCCTGGTTTAGACCCGGGTTAGTCCTGGTTTAGTACTGGTTTAGACCTGATTTAGACCTGATTTAGACCTGGTTTAGACCTGGTTTTTAGTCCTGGTTTAGTCCTGGTTTAGACCTGGTTTAGACCTGGTTTAGACCTGATTTAGTCCTGGTTTAGTCCTGGTTTAGTCCTGGTTTTAGATCTGATTTAGTGTCCAACAATGAGTTGAATTACCGAGGAAAAAAAAAAAAAAAAGGAGGATTTAGCCCAAAATGTGAAAACAGGAAAACACCTCTGTATAATCCATTTATTTCAACAAAGTAACTGTAATCCAGTTACCACTCACTTAAACAGTAACTGTAACTGAATACAGTTACTCATAATTTGTACTCTGATTACATAACTCCGCTACATGTAATCTGTTACTCCCCAACACTGTGTTTTGTTTTATGTTTCGTTTGTTTTATGTTTTGTGTGTTTTGTGTTTCGTTTGTTTTATGTTTTGTGTTTTGTGTGTTTTTGTGTGTTTTTGTTTGTTTGTGTGTTTTTGTTTTGTGTTTTGTGTTTCGTTTGTTTTATGTTTTGTGTTTTGTTGTGTTTTGTGTTTTGTGTTTGTTTGTTTATGTTTTGTGTTTGTGTGTTGTGTGTTTTTGTGTTTTGTGTGTTTTGTGTTTTTTGTGTTTTTGTGTTTTGTGTGTTTTTTTGTTTGTTGTTTGTTGTGTTTTGTTTGTGTTTTCGTTTGTTTTATGTTTTGTGTTTGTGTGTGTTTGTTTTGTTTGTGTTTTTTGTGTTTTGTGTTTTTTTGTTTTTGTTTTGTGTTTTTTGTGTTTTTGTGTTTGTTTTTTGTTTTATGTTTTGTGTGTTTTGTGTTTTGTGTGTCAGGTGGACGAAGGAGGATCCAAGCGTTTCTTTCAGAACATGTGGACGTCTTTCATCAAAGCTCGGCTGGTGTGCGGTTTTCCGGAGGAGTCTCTGTACTTCAGTCGTCTGCAGGACATCTACGTTCAGCACGAGGACGACTGGAACAGAACCAGAGTCTACGCCATTTTCACGAGCAGCTGGTGCGGACTTCCTCTTCTTTCATCAGCAGAGTTAGAACGCGCTGACAGCAGTCTCACCTCGAGTGGAAAAACCAGTCTGCAACATCAGCTTCTCACAGCTTTTCACCACATTATAGTTGTTTGAATGTTCTCGGAGTTTTTAAAATGATTCGTTCATGTTTGAAGAATCTTTAATCGCTTATTTTTAAGACGATCTACAGGGTCGATCTAAACCGTTTTCAGCTCCAGCGGTTTTTTAATTGGTTGTGAATGTCAAATTTTGCAGTGGTGCGTTATTTTGGCACTTTTTTTTTGTTTTGTTTTTTTGTTTGCTCACGAGTGTGATGTGCAGCTGTTTATAGGAGGTTTGGTTTGGTTCTATCCATAGGAGGGACCCACAGCCTGGTTTAGTCCTGGATTAGTCCTGGTTTAGTCCTGGTTTAGTCCTGGTTTAGTCCTGGTTTAGTCCTGGTTTAGTCCTAGTTTAGTCCTGGTTTGGTTCTATCCATAGGAGGGACCCACAGCCTGGTTTAGTCCTGGTTTAGTCCTGGTTTAGTCCTGGTTTAGTCCTGGTTTAGTCCTGGTTTAGTCCTGGTTTAGTCCTAGTTTAGTCCTGGTTTAGTCCTAGTTTAGTCCTGGTTTAGTCCTGGTTAAGTCCTGGTTTAGTCCTAGTTTAGTCCTGGTTTAGTCCTAGTTTAGTCCTGGTTTAGTCCTAGTTTAGTCTGATTTAGTCCTGGTTAAGTCCTGGTTTAGTCCTAGTTTAGTCCTGGTTTAGTCCTAGTTTAGTCCTGGTTTAGTCCTAGTTTAGTCCTGGTTTAATCCTGGTCTAGTCCTGGTTTGGTTCTATCCATAGGAGGGACCCACAGTCCTGGTTTAGTCCCTGTTTTAGTCCTGATTTAGTCCTGGTTTAAGTCCTGGTTTAGTTTAGTCCTAGTTTAGTCCTGGTTTAGTCCTAGTTTAGTCCTGTCCTGGTTTAGTCCTAGTTTAGTCCTGGTTTAGTCCTAGTCTGGTCCTGGTTTAGTCCTGGTCTAGTCCTGGTTTGGTTCTATCCATAGGAGGGACCCACAGCCTGGTTTATCCCTGTTTTAATCCTGGTTCAGTCCTGGTTTAGTCCATGCGGCGCTTTGTTGTGATGACGTTTACGGCCACATCGGCTCCTGTTGGACACCACAGTTTATTTACGTGGAAATTAATTCACTTGTTTCTTTTATTAACTCGTTTCCGATCAATATAACATCTTAAAATAAAATAACATCAACAAAAATAACGACACCACTGGCCACAGGCGCCATCGATTTGTAATTACAGAGCAAACACAAGCACAAGGTCGGATTTAGAACAAACTGGTTACGCAAAATCTATTTTTTGAAGCATTGTTCCACAGTGTTCCAGTGTGTTTCTGTCATTAGCTCACTGAGGGTTTTATTTTGAGTAATCCTGCATTGTTCATAAGCGGCTTTAGGGCCTCGTATCCCCACCCTCCGCTCTGAACTCACCAGAGGGTCAAAAGCTTTTACAAAAATAAAATCGTCTAAAGAGAAACCTACTGTTGGATTATACGGAGCTGCCAGAGTACCAGTGTCACCGTGTAAAACAGTGAAGTACATTTAGTTTGTGACCACGATCCAGAACATGAGACTTACCACAAATAAATAACCACAATAAATAACACACACAGTCACTCGTGTTTAACTCGTGTGTGTTTTTAGGAACTCCACGGCCGTGTGCATCTACACCATCGGGATGATCGAGGAGGTTTTCGAGAATTCCACCTTTAAAGGCTCCAACAAAGCGATCCCCACTCCACGACCCGGACACGTGAGTTTCCAGAGCTGCCCTCTTCACACTCGTTATTTTAACACTCCGTTTATTTCTGCTTGTGTAACTTCTCATTTTCGCAGATTTAAATAGCTGGTAAATGTTTCTCACAGAACCACGGAAATGTTTTTCCACGAACAAGTGCTGAGTGCAGAAGTGGAGAAGTGCTATCTGATTTTAAACACACTTCCTTTTTACTTTCAAAACACTACTGTTTTGTTATATTATATTACCGTACATGAACTCACACAGAAAACACTTAAGTCAGGGGTGTTCAAACTTTTTTCATCAAGGGCCATATATTTAAACACAGTGGAGGCAGAGGGCCGATCGAGGGCCGTAGACTCGAGTGGCGCAATAAAGTGAATAATTAAAATATGTGCATGTTTACCTCATTAGAATGAGCCATCAGTCTTTATTCAGGCTAAGATCCTTAAAACCGCAAACTAAATATTAAATATTCACTTTATCAAGGTCGATTTTCCACAAACTTGCAATAAAAACTTATTTTTTCATTGATGCAAAGTAATCCGGACCAATTCTCTTGGAAGCCTGAGGGCCAAGAAAAAATTGTCTGAGGACCGCATTTGGCCCATGGGCCATAGTTTGGACATGCTGGACTTAAGATATTTTGCTCTTGATACTTGGGGTGTGATGCTAACTGTAAGCACTGCTCTGTCTGACTCAAATTAGACTTTAATCTGAGCTTTGATCAACACAATCTGACCATGAAGAACTGACTCAGCTGGAATTATAACAGGTGATCTGATCTGTCAAACATCAAATTACAGTCACAGCCTCGAAACATTCTGCAACACACTACACAGATTAGCATGGTCCAAAACTTTTGTTTTTCGATTCTCTAGATTAGAACCCTGCATTTGGTTCCATATTTGACCAAAATATGTGGGTCCAAATTTGATGCAAATTCATTAATATTTAGAATTTGCTCAAGACACTTGAAAATTGCCCTGTAGAGCCTAAACTATAACATAGAACCAAATAAATAAGGCCTATTCGAATAATTTGTCATTTTATTCAGGAAACACAAACTGAAACTTGCATAAAAATGACTCCATAAAAGTGTCTTATAAAGTCCAGCTCCTCTGTGTGTTTGTTGGCGTCACTAAAGATGCTCCTGTGTGTTTGACTCCTGCCGTAGAAACAGTTTCTGATCTTCATTGTTTGTTTCGCTTCAGTTAAAATGTTGAATAAGCTTCACCTCCTTTCAGCAACATCATTTACAACTTTCCTGGAATGCAGTTTTATCACTTTCTAAAAGTCTGCATCATCAAAGTGTTTTTGGCAGATCAAGAGCTTCGAAGAAACACATGGTGCTGATGGAGACAAACTCACTGATCTGTTTCTCTTCATAATCTGCTGGATTAAGGGCTTTGGTGGATCCACTGAACCTTCCTTTTCCATAATATTGTGACCATCAGCTTCTTCTATTCCTTTGTCACACTGGACTGAAGAATGCAGGACAAACATTTCTTCACTCAAGTAACAAAGATGTCGCCCAAAGCTGTTCAGGTGTTTTCTTCACAACTGAATCTTCAGAGGCGTCTTAAGGAAAACCAAATCATCTGCAGGAGCTTCAGAACTTCATGCAGAAACTTCACGCAGCTTGAGCAACCTCTGAAACATCTCCTTTTTCTTCCTAATTTCTTCCTAAATCATCTTTTGGAGCTGAAACCTAATGCAGGGTTCTGAAACTTTATTTGACCCTGTAGTTTAATCTTCTGCTGCAGCCGCATTGTAAATAATTCCTGTTTTAGAATTTCAGTAAAAGGAAGTTGATGTTGGCATTAACTTAAGAGAGAAGTCTATTTAAGTTTGTTCTGTTATTTGTCCATTTGCATCGCACAGTTTAAGTAACAGATTACATCAGACTTTTTCTGCTAAATCAACTTTTCAGAGCTTTTAATCATGTTCTAGTTGTTTCACCTTTTGCTCTTTTGAAGTTGTTTTTGGAGTGATTCGTGCATGTTTGAGTAATTTTAATCACTAATTTTGAAAACACTATTAACAATCAACCTCTGTACTTCCTTCTGTGGTTTTATTTTCTTAAATGGACAGTCTGGAATTTTGGACATAGGGCCTCATTTCCTCATGATCCAGAGTGTTGAAGATGTGTGGAGACACTTTTTAAAAATATTCCATCCAGTCCTTACCCACTCCACAAAACACCCAAAGAAAATCTATTATTACTCCAGACTGTCCATGTGAATGTCTGTGTTGATAGAATAATTTTACAAGTAAAACTAACCTTGTATCGTATGAATCGTCGCTTTTTCTCAGCAGCAACGGAGTTTTATTCTGCTCTAGTTAGGCTCCGTTCAGACTGCAGGGCTTAACGCTCAGTTCGGATTTTTTTGTGAAATCCGATGTTTTTGCGAGGTCGTTCACATTTCCAATTAAATGTGACTTGTATGTGACTCCAGTGTGAACATTAAACGGCCCAAAAGTGTCCCACATGTGACACTGGAGACACGACGACGTCAACCGCAGCGAGCGTCTCTGTGTTTACAGAAGTTGTCCAAACATGGACGCAGCATCGAGCACCTGGAGATTTTAAAGTTCCTCTCGTACCGGAGCCAGAACATGAACAACTTACTTGTTTTAAGGAGGAGATTGAGAAGGATGAGGTTTTTGGCCGTGGTGTTTTGTGGTTCAGTCCGCTGAAAGGAACGTGTGGATGCGGAGATGGAGCGAAGAGTGGTGAGTGGAGATGTGCTTCACTTCAGTGACAGAGTTCATGAACAATTTTCATTTGACGAGAAGAACGTTTGTGTACATTTGTCGCTTGTTGATAACGTGTAGGTGGATGAATGCGCTGGGTCGCATTTGAAAACATCGGATCTGTGTCGTTCAAACTGTCATTAAAAGATCAGATACAGGAACACAGGGGCCAAAAAATCAGATTTGGGTCACTTCAGGCTGCAGACTGAACGTAGCCTTAGTTGTGATGATGTGAACGTGGCCATAACTGGAACAGGCTTCTTCGTGTGCTCTATGTGTCTCCACACGTCTCCAACACTCTGGATCACGAGTAAATGACGCCCTACATCAACAATTCCGAACTGTCCCTTTAATCAGTGATAAACAAACGATTCAGCGTCTCGTAGTCATTTTGGTACAAATAGAAAAAACGCTCTGCTCTAGTGTGATGTGCAGATGTCCACAGAAGGAACCCACAACATTTATCTCGAATAAACACTCTTGACTATGAGTTTATTCTGACTCCACTTCAGCGTCCAGTCAGTTTCTATAGTGCATTAAAAAGTGAGTTTATTCCAGACAGGTGCAGTGTTTTTCCTGTACAAAGTTTAGTCTAAAGGCCGCCACACACTGCAGGAGAATTTGCCTAATTGTGGCTGCAATTTGCTTCTCCCCAAGTTCACGGAAGCGTCTGGTAATTATTACGGTAATTACTTTCCCACTGTGTTAATCGCAGCACATTCGCACGGGATAAACAAAGTCCGTGAAATGATTTTATTTTACTGACATTGATTGGGATTGAAAGAGAAAAAAACATGGAAAGAAGATGAAAGAAAGAGACAGAAAAGGCTCAATTACAACAACAAACACTGAGGTGCACATTCACACGGGACTAGGATTATCACCGGACGTCTTTGTTTGGTGAAATATAGAAGGTGCTTTACAAATTACAGACATGGAGCATTCACACGGGATTAAGATCTCAGGCGTCCTCCATAATTATTACACATCACCAAAGGTTCACAGGTAAAACTAAACCTGTGCAAACAGAGCTTTTGTGTGAGATTTTGAAGCCGCTGTGCTCCTCATGTGTGTGTGTGTGTGTGTGTGTGTGTGTGTGTGAGTGTGTGAGTGTGTGTGTGTGTGTGTGTGTTTGTGTGTGTGTTTGTGTGTGTTTGTGTGTGTGTGTGTGTGTGTTTGTGTGTGTGTGTTCCTCATGTTTGTGGCGTCAGTGCGACTCCGAGCTGCTCTTTTATATCGCAAACAGTAAAAGAAAATAAAACAGAGCATCGGCGATAGGCCTGGAACCATAATGGACTTTGCTGGACGATTAATTGACCAAGAATTTATTGCGATAAACGATAATATTGACATTTTGAGACCATTTTCAACTAATATAATGACTTGTTCACAAAATGCCCTTGAATAAACCACTGTTGAACCAAACACAACCAAAACAATAAATGCATGGATTATTAAGTCTCTGTAACAAAATTGCCCTTAAAAGTGATTTTAGTCATTGATTTATGTCAGAATATTGTGGCTCCTTTCTCTGTGGCTGCTGCTGTGAGCCTCGCGATCCTGTTTCACCCTGAGGGAGCCGCTGTCCTGTCTCGTGTCGCGTCGGTGTATTGTGGGATTTCTGTGGACTTCGGGCTCTCCCCAGGGGTCAGGCTGGTTGTGTCGGTCGGGCATGGGTGTATGTCGGCTGCTGGGGTTTGAGACATTTCTCATGACTTGTTTTGGGACACGGCGATGAACTGTTTTGGTTCTGACGGCGGCGCTTGTTTCTAGAGGACTGCACGGGACAGAATTTTCAGTCCCACTCCCGCCCTCATCTGCGATATTTTGGCCCACAATGAAACCTTTTAACATTCAGTCTCTTTAGTAGAGAGAGATGAGGAAAACAAACAAGCATGCAAACAGAATTTATCGTGGTCAGAAAAGTTATCAAGCTCGTTAAAAGTTATCGTACGATTAATTGATTTATTGATTATCGTTACAGGCCTAGTCAGGGGTAGACGCAGTGAAGGACACAGAGACGCAAGATACAAACTCAGTGTAACTAGAGTAATTATTACTCACCACACCTAAAGTTGTAAAGTTAAACTGCAGTATTTTCATTCACATTATCCATAGAATTTGTCGTACGCAAGTAATCACCCCAGTCCACAAAATTACGCTGTAAGTCGGGTTTGAGTCGTTGTTTAAAAGTAAAAAGGTGGGAGTAGTTCCTCACGTGTGTTTGTTTACATCCACACAGCGCACGGATCGAGCTGAAGCTGCAGATTAAATTAGTGACAGTGACTCTTCTTCCTGTGGACTTTATCTCCGATCTTTTTTTATGCTTTAAAAATCCTGTATCTGAAGTTTTGCACCACATTTCACACATAATAATGACACAGTTCTGACGTGTCAAAAGAAACAGAAAACGCACACTAAAATTCTTGTAGAGGTGCGAATGCAAGGAGCAGCCAGACTAGGGTGAAAAAATGCATAGCACTCGGTTGGCCAATGTCCAAAATAACGTTTCGGCAAAATGTTTTGGACCACAGCACACAAAATGGTTGCCAGTCCAGGTGCCCAAATACCCTCCAATGAATGGGAGGTCCCAAAGTGAGGTCACCCAGTGAGTTCAGCCCACTCTACAACAAGAAAAACAGTTTAGATATTTACATAAAAAACATTCTATAAAATACAGAAATAGTTTAAGTCTCTCACAAAAAACATCGTAGATCAAACTCCACATTCAGTCCGTGAGGAGCGAGAGTCTTCAGTTGGTGAATCCAGAAGTTTTCTCTTTTTGACAGGAGCATTTCTAGATTCCCACCTCTAGGGGGCAGCTCCACGTGTTCAATGCCAATATATCTTAAGGAAGAGACAGGATGGTTAAAATCAACAAAATGAGCCGCCACAGGATAGTTCATGTTTTTACATCTGATTGTTCTCCTGTGTTCTGCAGTACGTGTTTTTAAAGCCCGGCTTGTTTTACCCACACAGGGACAGGTGATCATATATAAATCACAGACTTGGTGTTGCAGGATATAATTCCTCTGATCATTATTTCTTTTCCAGTGTGATGGTGCTTAAACTGTTGCAGCGATACGTGTAGTTACACTGACTGCACCACCACAGCGGCGATTTACATAATTTCTGACGTGTATTTAAACTAGGGATGTACATTCGATTACATTTTCTTAATCGATTGTCAGGAGAATTAAAGATACATTTTTTATTAATTTTATATTAAAATTGTGATCATTATTATTACTGTTACTAATCTGTATAAATAAACTCAACTTTACGACATATAAACAGAACGACTCTAGAGCCACATCAGCCCGTTTGACATTATAATGTGTTTAATGCAGCTTTGACACATTTGTTTATGTTTTACACTAACAAAACTTAAAACCACATGACTCATTTGCATAAACTAATCGCTCTGATAAAAACAGCTCTTTCCTTGTGCTGATGTGGTTCAGCTTCTGTCGGACTAAAGGACACGACTCAGTGGAATATGAGTGTTCTTTCTGTGACAGAGGGGTGTTCTGCTGATGGTGAGTCTGTTCTGTGTGTGCGTCGTGTTGGAGATGCTTCATGTTTTCACAGATCGTACGTGTGCAGGTTTAGTGCAGCTCTTTATGTTGCCGTAACCAGGATACTGCGTTTACATGCACCGTGACCAAACCGGGACAGTGATGTGCATGTAAACGCTCTCATTTAGTGGAACAGAGTCTCAGAGGAGCCAGAGCCCAAACGTGGGACTGTGAGGCCAAGATTCCAGTGTTTATGTCAGACTCAGACTCGTCTCCTCGCACTGAAACCTACATTCGGTTTGTCGATCTAAAAACGAACATCATCTTCTTCTGATGACTGCAAGAAAAATGATCACTATCTACTGGATGAAACCTGAAATACCAACCCCCGATCAGTGGAAATCAAAAATCAGACAAGTTTATACAATTATTGACTTTTTCAAATAAGACACGTGTGCCCTAATATGCCTTATTTTTATGTTTTTACATTTTTATTTTTATTTGTTTTTGCATTTTTTTTCTCTTTTCTTCTTCTACAGGGGGGAGGAGGGAGAAAAAAAAAGAGTGAATATATAAATTGTGTGAAGGCCTGGTCTCAGGACACTGTTGATGTGAATTGATTTGTGGCAATAAAAGTGAAAAAAACAATAAAAAAATAACATAATCAACGTAATTCTTAATGATCAGTTATCGACCAATCATGCCCATCCCTAATCTAAACTAGAAGTGCAGAGTCTGATCTTTGAACATTTAAGAGTCTCAGAGCGACGGGAAACAGCTGACGATATCACGCTCACATCTTTATCTCCTGTGATCGATCTGCAGACAAATCTCGATGCAGTTTTTAACTTTTTGCTGCATGTTTAAAAATCGTTTAAGACCAAAAAACCCTGTAGTGTGTGGATGCCTTAGCACTGTTTTCATAAAGCTTTGCCCTCCGCTCCCTGCAGTTCTCCTCTGATTACTTTCTCCTGCACCAGCCTCTCAACCCACACACGCATGTAATGTCTTCATCCTCCTCCTCCTCTTGCTCTTTTTTGTGCAGTGTGTTAAAAACAGCAAGAATCTCCCACTGGCCACTGTCAACATGATCAAGGACCACCCGGAGATGTCAGACTGGGTCCACTCTGTGCATTATAAAGCCCCGTTCTACGTGAGCAGCTACAACTACACCAAGATCACAGTGGACCAGGTCCGAGGAGCTGACGACAGCGTCTACAACGTCCTGCTTCTGGCCACTGGTACGTCCTTCTTTGGTTTGGCACTAGACTGTTTATATAAATGGACACAGATAAACCGCTCGCTGCCAAACAGAAAGTGAACACTCTGCTACGGAAGATCATTTGTTCCATTAGAACACATGTATCATGAATCTCAGACTTCCAGTCATTGTTCAATTCACACTGGGAAGGATTTTCAAATCTATCAAATGTATATCAAACCTCCATGTTTGTTTTCCCAGTGGGATGTGTCTATTGTCAAAGTCGATCTTTTCAAGTCTTTTGAACCATATCACTTTTGTTTCTGGTTCTGATATTGTCATATTTTAGTTTTGTCCAGTATGGACAGCGCGATGACCGGAAGTCCGAGATTCGTGATGCATGTATTAGAATTTTAAATCTCCCTGAATTTCTCACTTTGAATTGTTTAACTCTGAAAAAACATGTTTGAATTGTTTTTATTCTGAATGAAATTTTAAGCGTACTTTTTCAATGCGTTTCAAATTCAAAATAAAAAATAAAAAATAAATCACCTTTTACATATTCAGCACAGATATTTTCAAGCTCTCAAATTCAACAATTAAAATTTCACAACAAAGCCCCAAGACGCCGAGGCAGAAGCATCGATCCTGTGTGAGTGACGAGGACAGAGGCTGTTTCCTATTGGCCGTTCTCATCTGTGGGCGGGATTTAGTTTAATTAATTTATTTAAAGAGACAGGGACAGTGCACAATAAATATTAATCTTAACAGGAGAGTGTTTGTACCAGGTTGTAGCGCCAGTGCTCATTTCCACCTGTCGTCCCTGGGCAGGTTGCAGTGAGCGTGACATGCAAGTAAACTCCTAAGCAAAAAACTTCAGGAGATAGGAAGATCTACGATGTCTTTATTTTAGCGCAGGCAGCTTACAGAACTCAATTCAAATGATTACAGGATTTCGGTCACCAGCGTCTCAGAATGACAGCAGAATAGACAGCTCTTATACATGACATCTTGTTGAAATATTAACTTATTGATTAGCTCACTTAAACAAGAAAGTCCACATACATATTTGATAAAACTTGTTTTGAAGGACATTTTGCAGACATATTGATCAGGCTACCAGGTTCACATATGCCCCCCTTTGGACCTTGGTTTGGGGCAGCAACCAAAAGAAAACATAACAAGAAACATTTTGATATGATTCAATTAACAGTAAAGCATCAACACAAGAAAATAAACCCACAATCTCCCCTATTTGATCACATTAAACATGTGATCACTCAACCAATATGGAGAAGCAAGGCGCTACCTCCACCTACAATTTATCCAAATTTAAAAACCCCATGTGTGAGTAAATATCATTTTAGCCTTAGCTTTTTGATTTCAACATATCTCAAGTTTTACTAACATAACACACTGAATAGCATAATACATAATCAATACATGACTCTCGGACAGCGGAAGAGACAAGGAGCACTTACTTAGAAGCTGTTTTAATCTCTTATTTAAATCAATGATTTAATCTGTAGGGTTTTAATCAAACCCAGTCATCTGGTTCGGGACGTGAAAGTTGAGAATCAGTAGAGAGTAATAAAATTTGAGTAACAGGAGCATTTCGTGTAAGGGCAGAAGTAATCAAACGCTCTACCAGCGATCTCATACACGGAATGATGCAACATCCAATTACGACTAATACTGCCATTATAATCAAAAATAGTAGTAACAAGAGATACTATAGTAGCCGTCCAAGGGCCAAATATTTTATAGAGCCAGTTAAACCAAGTATTTTCAGGTACACCAGAGTTCTTAACCAGTTCTGCTGATAATGATTTGAGTTTGGCTAAAGCTTTGGTAATACTCCCATCAGGAGAAGTGTTGTTTGGTATGTAGGTGCAGCATTCTGCCCCAAACATACTACATACTGATGATTCTTTGGCAAGTATCATATCAAGGGCGATTCGATTCTGCCAGGCCATGAGTGAAGTTGGGCCCAATTGTTCTACAATGCCTTCTAGTGCCTCAATCGTATAGTTTATGAATCTTTGTTGATTATAGTAGAGGTAATTTATCCAGATAGCATTTTTAGTTGCCATTACTGCAGGAAATAAAGCTGCGGTGAACCCAGCCACAATTTCGTGTTGTGCTTTGAATTCGTCTGGGATACCTACTGGGGTTCCTATAGCGCTTATATAAATATCATCATTAAAAGATCCTTTAAGTTTGGGTCTAACCCGGTGAGAGGACCTTTTGGACACATGGTTATATTTTAAGTTAAATCTGTGTGACAATTTAGTCGGTTTTAGACTCATAACTGAATTTGCAGGGCCAATAGTAAATGGAACAAATAACATAATCGGTGCACAAATGCCTGACCACGTCTTTGGTAGAATGGCATATAAGCGTAAATCTGCACATAACCACCAAATATCAGCACGGGCAATAGAGTGGTTGGTTAAAAGGACAAAATCTTTATAATTATCAGAAGACAAAGTCTGATTACAGAAATTGTCTGAGAAACTCTCTATTTCAATTTTGTCAGCCTTTTTTGTACCCGTATTTATAACAGTATCTCTAAGGAAGCAGGTATATCTAGCAATTCCCATCGTCCAAGATGTAGGTACATCTTTTGAAGTTACTACTGGTAGTTTGTGATGGAGGTGATAACATTCATCAGTTTTATCAAACGATTTTCTAGTAAAGAGTCTAAGGATACAGGTCAGGTCTGTTTCATTAGAATATGGTAAGGATGTAGTGGTTAACCTAGGTCTGGCCGCAGAACATACAATACAATCTTCTGTAGTCACAGTATGGGCAGTATACTGCACCCATTTTAACCACGTGTTTTCATTCAAATCTTGTCCTGTTTCGATTTTTATTGCTTCAGTTAGGGAAATTAAATCATTTTCTGAAGCAGGCTTATTAGTCTTTAAAATTGTTATTTGTATGTATCCTTCGAAATTTAACTTTATTTTCCTATTACATGGCACAGAAGGGATTTTAGAACACAGGAACCCTATAGAATATATACCAGCGTCATTAAATATTGAATTTTGAATTGATAATAACAAAGGATTACATCGTTGTGTAATTGATTTACGCCCTCTACAATGTTTTAAGTCTGCTTGGAAAGCTGCATCATCTTTCCTGTTTTTTGTTAGAGTAATTCTCTGTTGTAAATCAGTTTTGAAAGTATTTTCTGTTTCGTGTTGCTCATCAGTACTGGCTATAACTCTGGCAAACCCTATTGAATTACCATTTTTTCCTGTCAGACAAGTATCTTTGCAAAGAACTTGTACATTGAATACGTGATCTATAGCTGGGATATTTAACATGCAGTCGAAAACTTCGCATGCGTCAAATAGGATATTGCAAGTTTGTCCCTCATAACAAAATTTCGCAAGTTTTGGTGTTTCTCTTTTTAATCTGTTCAGTGCTCCTTGACCCTTACCCGTATTGTTGGTCGCCAGCTCAGTTGTTTCTTTGATTGTTGGCTGTGGCTGTCCGAGGTCAGTTCCAAGGCTTCTATGGATAGGTACTATAAAGCAGATACAACAGATAAAGATTAGCATAATCAAAGATAGACACTGAGAATTTCTCAAAAAGCATGGCCTATACTCCCCTTCTATGTTTTCTCCCCTTTTTCTCCTCCTCCTCTGGAGCCTCAGTGGTGGACGGTGGACAGGGTTGTTTCTTAGGTTCTCTGGTTCCAGCAGTGTCCGGATTTCGTTGGTTTTCCCCATCTTCATCCTGGATGGTAGATGTAGCGGCAATGTCAGTTTGGATTTGGGTTAGACTTCGATCATTTGGGTCTACTGGTGACTTGAAGCAGTGCGATAAATGGTACCACACTTTAGATGTTCCCTTTTCAACTTGTACAGATCTCCCAGTGGACTGGATGACTTTATACGGACCAGTTTGATATGGCTGTGTCCAGTTGTTCCGTTTGTGTACCTTTACGTACACCCAAGATCCTGGTGAGACGGTTATATCTGGATTGGCTCTGACCTGTAAGTCATGCGTTCTTTGTCGACATTTATGCAGCTGCATCACTATTTCTTGAAGCTGTTGGACATATGCGTGATGTTGTTTGTCCCAGTCTATGAATGGTGCATCTTCAGTGAATGGGCCTTCAGGTTTATGCATTTCTCTTCCAGTCAGTAGTAGATGAGGAGAATATGATGTAGTTTTATTTACACTGTTTCTGATGTCCATCAGGACGAACGGTAGGGCAGTGACCCAATCAAGTTTTGTAGTTTTCCAGACCTTTGCAAGTTTTCTCTTGACAGTTGCATTCATTCGTTCACAGACTCCTTGGCTGGCGGCGTGATAGACAGTTCCAAAGCGCTGGGTGATGTTAAGAGCCTTTAGCACATCACGGACTATTTTGGCGGTGAAATGTGTCCCATTGTCAGATCTTATGACATCTGGAATGCCAAAACGTGGAAAAACATCAGTAGTTAAATGTCTTGACGACTTCCTTTGCAGTTTCTGTCTTACAGGGGAATGCTTCAACCCATTTGGTGTACTCACAGACTATAACCAACAGGTAACGGTATCCTCGGACTCTCATCTCAGGACCCATGTCTGTGAAATCCATGACGATTCTTTCAAAAGGCTTATTTGGGAGAGCATAAGTTCCTGGAGGTGGCTTGCAAGACTTCTTCGGGTTCATAGTCTGACAAACGTGACACTCGTCTATCCAATATTGCATAATCGGCTTCAAATGAGGATGCCACCATAAATCAATATGTTTCGAGATGGCTTCATAACTTCGATGAGTTGGGGTGTGGTATTCTTCAAAGAGCATTCGAAGCAACGGTGTTGGAGCCAGAATGCGTCCTTCATGATTTCTCCAAATTCCTGTAGCATCTTTTGTAGCACCACGTTGTTTCCAGGCGCTCTGTTCGTAGACTCCAGCTGCTTCTTGAATTTCCTTTATGTATGTTGCATCTATTACATTTGCATCGGGTAGCATCTCAACGTTTCCATCAACATGGACAAGCATGTTTCTTGCANGACTGGGTCCACTCTGTGCATTATAAAGCCCCGTTCTACGTGAGCAGCTACAACTACACCAAGATCACAGTGGACCAGGTCCGAGGAGCTGACGACAGCGTCTACAACGTCCTGCTTCTGGCCACTGGTACGTCCTTCTTTGGTTTGGCACTAGACTGTTTATATAATGGACAGAGATAAACCGCTCGCTGCCAAACAGAAAGTGAACACTCTGCTACGGAAGATAATTTGTTCCATTAGAACACACGTATCATGAATCTGACTTCCAGTCATTGTTCAATTCACACTGGGAAGGATTTTCAAATCTATCAAATGTATATCAAACCTCCATGTTTGTTTTCCCAGTGGGATGTGTCTATTGTCAAAGTCGATCTTTTTCAAGTCTTTTGAACCATATCACTTTTGTTTTCTGGTTCTGATATTGACATATTTAGTTTTGGGATTCGGACATCGTAATGTGTGGTTGTTGGATCCTAACAGCGGAAAACGGCTCGAGAAATGGGCTTCGTAAGTTTGCGAACTCCACAAAATGCAAAAGTGAATCAGATGTGTGTGACTCAAACCTCTGTTCAAACTGTTTCTCTTCCCAACGGAATTGAAAAAGTGAAAAGGTGAAGGTGATGGGCAGGATTGATCCACGGGAAGAACCAAAAAGGAAACATTTGACTGACCCGAGTTTGCAGAGAACATTTTATATGTGGAGCGACAACAAAACAAAATCCCGTTTGTTAATGTAGAGGAGCAGAAGACAAACAGACTGAGCTGCACTTTCTTGTTCTTGTGGTTTTACAGCAACATCACGTCTTGGTCTCTTTGCAGTGGAAGGTGTTTCTTGGTGAACAGTTGGTGCCTTTTGCTTTGGTGTTGACTTTTTAAATTCATAACCGAGGTTGATCGAAAGATCAGGATTTTGTTTTGTTGTTGCTCCACATACAAAATGTTCTCTGCAAACTCAGGATAATTTCTTAGGCAGACAAATGTTTCCTTTTTGGTTCTTCCTGTGGATCAATCCTGCCCATCACCTTCACCTTTCACTATTTTTCAATTCCGTTGGGAAGAGAAACAGTTTGAACAGAGGTTTGCAGTCACACACATCTGATTCACTTTTGGGGTTATGGAGTTCGCAAACTTCCGAAGCCCATTTCTCGAGCCGTTTTCCGCTGTTAGGATCCAACAACCACATAATTACGATGTCCGAATCCCAAAACTAAAATATGACAATATCAGAAGCAGAAACAAAAGTGATATGGTTCAAAAGACTTGAAAAGATCGACTTTGACAACAGACACATCCCACTGGGAAAACAAACATGGAGGTTTGATGCTCACTTTTTTTGGAAAATCCTTCCCAGTATGGACAGCGCGATGACCGGAAGTCTGAAACTCTTGATGCATGTATTAGAATTGGAGTTGGGAGTGAGACCGGGACTGAGACTGGGACTGAGACCCTGACCAGACCGGGACTGGAGACCAGGACCAGACCAGGACTGAGACCACGACTTAGACCAGTTTAGTCCCGGTTCAGTCCATTATCTGTTTTTTCCATTATTCATTTAAGCACAAAATAGAGACAAATAATGAAGAGAATAGTTGTTTTTTCATTTTCAGATTTTTGGTTTTGTTTTGAAAAACAAATGAATGAATGATACACGGAATCTTTGGTTCCAATTCACTTTGTATTGAAAAAAGTCACTTCTCTGTCTGTACCTGCTGCTGTGAGGATCGATTTTTGGTTTTAAAATGTTCGTATTAATCCGATCCTGGGGTTTTTATTTCGCTATTTTGTCTGTAACTTAATTCATTTTCCTAATATGAACCTGGCTCCAAATTTTCTTCTATAACTGCTGGCCTCTGTGAGCTTCATTTACCTCTGGAGCTGAACGCTGTGGGTCACACTGCCTTTGTCGACTCCTTTATATATAGCTCTGTTTTTGTTTGGGCGCAGCTCGGGTTCTATTGTTAAGAGCTTCCCTGTTTAGCCGCCTGTTCCTGTTTTATTTATCAGTGGAACAATAAACTAAAAATACCTGCTGGAGGCAAAAGGTATTAAAGGCGCTTCACTTTCTGCACAGATTCTGGAAGATCCATAAGGTCTTGGAGGCGGGACCGAAGCCAGTGGTCGTCTCGGAAACGCGTCTCCCAAATACCTCGACTGTGCTGTCGATGAAACTGGACTCCGCCAAGGTAAATGACGAGGCAGAACGAGCTGCTGGAGTTTGTTTTTTTTTTTTCAAATGAAACAGAAAATAGACATCAAAGTTCTTGTAGAGGTGCAAATGCAACGAACAGCAACTTAAAGGTGAAAAAAAATGCACAGCACATTCAGATGGCCCATGTCCAAAAGCTTTTTTTGTTTTTAAATTACGTTTTGATCTTTTTTCGTGCTTTTGGGGCCCTAGTGAACTTTAGTGTGGGGCTCTCATTATAATGCACTGTTTTGTTTTGTTTTTTTTTGTTTTTTTAATATTTATTGTCTGTTTTTCATATTGTTCATGAGACACACATATCTTTATTTGAATTATGGTGGATTGGAAACTCGTCTTATTAGTTCAGTCGCCGACTAGAAAGCCAGAATTGAAAGTAGTTTTATTTTTTTCTAGTACAATTACATTTTTGTTTACATCCATTACATATGATTATGATTATGCTGTAATTATGTTCAAATCAGGGTCAAACTGACTCGTCCATTCTAACGTAAAAGGGGCAAACGGTTTGCCAGTTTAAATAGATCTAGTTTAAAGATCTTGTTTAAAAGTAAAACTCCTCTCATTTAATATCATATTGAGAGAAAATCGAATTGCTCTGAGGACTCGGCGATTAGTGGCACTGAGGGGAATTGTCTCTGTGAATGAATGTCTTGTATTGTCACTATGCACATGTATAATCCACAGTTTACACCTGCACAACGAGATAAAAATCAACTCACCCTCCAGTGCAGACATGCACGTGGGACATGCACAGCGCAGTACAAAAAAATAAATAAATACAAAATAGAGGAAAGAAATAGTAAATAATAGAGCCCGACCGATATATCGGCTGGCCGATATTATCGGCCAATATGGGCACCTGGAGACATATCGGCTATCGGCCGATATGCTCGCTGATATGGGCCGATATTTCACGTGGGCATGTTGTACCTCGTTATAAAGCTTAGACTCTCTACATTATGTTCATTTAATCCAATTTACAGACAGATAAATGTCCTCATATGTGGCTCCGCATCAGTATTTATCTCTGCGGTATAATTTGTCTGTGTCCGTACTGTCCCTGAACACACCACCAGAGTGACGTCACTTCACTCACGTGTGTTTGTTTACACCCGCAGACGTGCGCAACACTGAGTTTATATTCTTTTTCGGACAATCGGTTTGAGTCTGGATTAAAAGGACATTTATTAGTGCAGACTTGTGATGTGAGGAGGAGCCTGTGTGAGTCTGAGTGTTGGAAATACATCGACTTTGAAGCTAGTTTAGGTTTTGTTAGCGGTTAGCTGCTGTAGCTCCCACACATAAACAGGCTGTTTTCTATTGGTCTATTGTAAAGTGACTATATTGGCCGTGTATTTGTTACTGAACCTGCATTGATATGTAAATGAGCTGTGAATAGACGTGTGAATGATCCACATTTATGCATATAATTTAATTACCGCGGTGCGCAGCATTCACGGCTAAAGGCTAATAGCGATAGTTTACTAGCTAGGAGTTATGGGTCGGTCGCGATCGAAGCGGCTCTTAGAGCGAACAACAGGAGCCTGCTTCTTATTGGGAGCCGTGTTTTCTCTTTTTCTCACTTTTTCTCTTCAAGCCGCATGTCGACCCGTAGTTTGACAGCAGCAGCGGCTGAAAACGAAACTTTCAGAAATCTGCGTGTGCATAGGATAAAAAAAAGTGCATATTTGGCTGCAGTTCAGCATAAAATGAATAAACCAGGACTAATCTTGGGCTCAGTGAGGAGAGAGATAGAAACCGAGTCCCGACACTCAGTCCTGGTTCAGTTTTGGTTTAGTCCTGCTTGCAACAAAACATCTCAAGAGTCGCTTGGGAGCCGAAAGAGCCAGCTGCTTTAGTGAGCCGAGCCAAAAGAGCCGGTTTCTCCAAAAAAAAAAAAAAAACTGGAATCCCATCACTAGCAGCTAGAATGTGATGCAAAAATGCCATTAGGCCGACCTACTGTCTGTAAATATGATGTAAAGAGTCAAAATAACAATAAATGTTGCCTAAATAAACCCAATTTAGAATCCACTAGAGCCAAACCTAAGTTTTTTAATCAATTCAAGATTTACAGTGAATTTTTACATCACTAAATATATCGGTGATTATATCGGCTATCGGCAGCTCCAACTTCCATTATATCGGTTTCATATCGGCCACAACAAAATCCATATCGGTCGGGCTCTAGTAAATAGTAAATCTATGCTCTATGCTCAGGGAAATACTCTGATGTGTTATTTTGGCTTTTGTACAAATGCTGTAAAGTTGTTAGTGTTTAAATCATATTGTTCACCCTTGTACAGTTCACCTCTGGATTAATTACAAAAAAGCCACTTTGTAAAGACTGCAGGTGCCTACAATGACACTTTACGGAGCTTTTGAGGAGCCACGATGGCTGAGTGCGACTGAAATGTTTGTTACTGCATGAGTGAACACTTTGCAAGCTGCACTTAGAATTTCAATGTACAGTTTTATCTGCAGACTGAACAATAATGTAATATAATATAATATAATGTAATATAATGTCACTCACAGATATAAGAGTCAGTGCAATTCAATATCAGTCCAACATGTGGAGACACTGGTGTGAGTGTCTTTTAAAAACATAAAAGTTTATTGTTTTGTAATATCACTGAGTGTGGAATAAAGATGATGATGATGATGATGATGAAATATGTGCGTAAGTAGTAGTGCAAGACATAAAAAATGCTGGGACACCCAAGACAAAAAAACTCACTGCACTGTATTTAGATATTGCACAACAGGTGGACGGAAGGAGATGATCTGACGAAAGCTTATTCCTGAAAAAAAAAAAAAATTTTTAGAAAAGCTTTTGGACATTGGCGTGTGGCGTCATCCGAGTGTGCTATGCATTTTTTTTTTTTTTTTACTTTCACACTGTTGTAGTTCTTTGTCATTATCTTTAGCCATTTGACTCTATTCACGCTTACGTCACAAACCAGGAAAGATGCGATGACGACTTCCAAAGGCCGAGTTTTCTTCGTCTCCATGTCATTGTCGTGTTCTGTTATGTTCGCCTCATCAACAATTCCAACCGCACTTGAGTTTTCATCATTTCTCCACTGACACACAACTCCGAGAGCACTGGGTACACGCGAAAACTCCAGATGATTCCAAACAGCACATACGTCCGCAGTCTTCATTTTCCCGCTGATCATGTTTACGTCAGTGGGTTTGATCACAGTCGGTCGGCGAGCGAAGTGTCGGGAACCACACCGGGAGTTTTCATCGCGTGTTTCCAAACGTCTTCCCGGTTTGTGACGTAAGTATGAACGAGGATCCTGACACGGAGGAGGTGTGTGTCCCCCTCTACTGGCAGAAATGGGAAACGGAACTAATATCTACATGAGTGAGGTTACTGCTTTGTTGTGACTAAAGATGTTTTTAAAAAGCTCAGTCGGTGCGGAGTGTTTTTCTGATTTGAAGGCTGACAGGTTTAAATCCCGCTCTCGACGTAAACATCACTGGTGAGCGTTCAAATCCACTGACTCACAGGTTGGTGGTGTGATTCCAGCTCCCGCACATGAATGCTGTCATTGTGTTCTTGGGAAAGGACACTTGACCCACCTCGCCCCCAGTGTCTGTCTGCACTGGTGTGTGAATGGATGAGTGTTTCCCTGATGTAAAACGCTTTGTGCCTTGACGTGCTCTATAAAAATGTGGCTATTTACCACAATCTCTACTCACGCTGACGTCACAAGCTAGGGACGGGCATTCGATGAAATTTTCTTAATCGATCGTCGGAAGAATTAACGATCGATTATCGATTAATCATTAACGTTTTTATATTAAAATGATCATCATTATTATTACTATCTGCACTACTATCTGCATAAATAAATTCAACTTTACGACATATAAACCGTAACGACTCTAGAGCCACATCAGCCCGTTTGACATTATAATGTGTTTAATTCAGTTTTGTTCAACTCTCACAGAAACAAAACTTAAAACCACATCACTAATTTGCATAAACTAAGCGAAGATAAAACTACCAGCTCTTGTGTCGCTGATGCAGTCAATTTCTGTCGGATTAAAAGACATGACTCAGTGGACCATATTTGTGTTTGTCAAAACCAGGACACCGTACGGGGGGAGGGGGGCGGGGCCTCGTCATCGACAGTGCACGATTCTCACCTGGCAAAACTTTTTTCCACTGGACACAGAAACATATGTGCTGCTTTATACACTGTGCACATGGACTCACACTTGTCCTGCAAACGGAAAGCGTGAAATTTCTTGTACAAATCATCGTTAAATACGCATTTGTGCTTCGGTTCGTTGCAGACCAACTGTCTGTGTTTGTGTCTCGCTCCTTCTGATGCAGAGACACATGTACACACCTGTTTGGTCTCACTACACACAGCAACCTACATTCGGTTTGTCGATTAAAATTAACGTAATCGATGAAATTCTTAATGATCATTATCAATTAATCGACTAATCATGCCCATCCCTATCACAAACCAGGAAGACATTCGGAAACATGCAATGACAACTTCAGGTGGAGTTCGCTGGGACACTGGGCTCGACGACCGACTGTGATCAAACCCACTGAAGTAAATGTGATCAGCAGCACCAGTTTAACTCTTTCCCCCCCCTGTTTCCTTAATTGACGTGTTTTGACACCTCCACTGTTTCACTAAAGACAGTGTTGTGAAGGTGACTTTAAAATGTATTCCCTACAGATTCAGATTACATACCCCAAAATGAGTTGTAACAAATCCATTAATTACTTAAAGTGAGTAATGTAATCTGAATACTTTGGATTACTTGATTTGCTGTAGAGAAACAAAGACGAGGAAATCGTAACATAAGAAGTTTCATCTGCTAAAAGAAAATAAAAAGCCCAGACTTTACTGAACCAAATTAAAAATATTATTGATAGAAGAGGAGGAGACCTGGTTTAGTCCTGGTTTAGTCCTGGTTTAGTCCTGGTTTAGACCTGCTTTAGACCTGGTTAGACCTGTTTTAGACCTGGTTTAGACCTGGTTCAGTCCTGGTTTAGACGTGGTTTAGTCCTGGTTTAGTCCTGCTTTAGACCTGGTTAGACCTGGTTTAGACCTGGTTTAGACCTGGTTTAGACCTGGTTTAGACCTGGTTTAGTCCTGGTTTTAGTTTTAGGGTCCTGGTTTAGACCTGGTTTAGTCTGGTTTAGACCTGGTTTAGCCTGGTTTAGTCCTGGTTTCCTGGTTTAGACCTGGTTTTAGACCTGGTTTAGTGTGGGTTTAGACCTGGTTAGACCTGGTTTAGCCCAAAATGTGAAAACAGGAAAATCCCTGTGTAATCCATTTATTTCAACCAAGTAACTGTAATCCAATTCCCACTCACTGAAACAGTAACTGTAACTGAATACAGTTACTCATCATTTGTACTCTGATTACATAACTCCGGTACATGTAATCTGTTACTCCCCAACACTGCTAAAGACGTAATTTGACGACCATTAGAAAAGTTTCCTGTTTTTCATATGTAAACAGAGGCTGTGATCGGTCGGGGCCACTACAACCCACACTGACCAAGAGGATTCAAGGATGTGTTTTCGCAGATTTTTTCCAAAGTTAATCGAAGTAGTGACGATTGTAGCTTCCGGAAAAAAAAAAAGCACAACACGAAACATGAGCAATGGAAAGATTGCGGCGCACAGTTTTAGAAATAATGAGGAGCGGACGTATTTTATGGATAAGTTTAGAGAAAGTGACTTTTATTGATTTCAAAATGACGATGAAGTTGATTATAAAGTGGAAAACAGCGACAGCGACGGACTTTCAGAGAGTGAAACTTACGGAGGTGAAAATGCAGCTGATGCGTCGGTTTGCCCGAAATCTGGATGTTGCTCAGGTGAGTCCTTTGAAATATTTCAAAATATTTGGGATGATCTGGACTGAAGAGTGAAGCAACCTACAAGTGCCACACATTTATGGAAACTTCTGTAAAAGACTTGGGAAGAACTTTCTAAACAATGTTGATTTGTGTTGTAAAAAGAACGAGCCACGAGTGTGTTCAGCTGTTATGTCTGACAAAGGTCGACACATCAGTCAAAAGTTTAGAATATGTTTTGGTCGACAGGAAACAGGAAAAAAAGTGAAAAAATGTGGTGTTCTAAAACTTTTGACCAGTAGTGTATGTGCTGTTTGGAATCATCTGGAGTTTGGCGCCTCGTCTCTTCCAATCCCATGTACCCAGGGTTTTGTCTCAGTGGAGAAATGATGAAAACTGAGGTATGGTTGAAATTGTTGATTAGTCGAACATAACGGAACACTACAATGACATGGAGATGAAGAAAACTGGGACATTTTCTAATTTTTCCTAGATATTGTCAGACTTACCGTATTTTTCGGACTATAAGTCACTCCAGAGTATAAGTCGCACCAGCCAAAAAATGCGTAATGAAGAATAAAAAAACACATATAAGTCACACTTTTTGGGGGAAATTCATTTTATAAAATTGGAGACCAGGAGCCGACATTTCCTGTGTAAAGTCAAGTTGTAGTAAAAACAAAGAGAGAAATAAAGAAGAGCACAATTCACACAAAGTACAGTACATAAAATCAAATTCTTCAGTTAACAGTTAAACTATCTGGATTTAAACAGCGTCACAGAAGAGTTCTCACATGTTCAGACTGTTCCAGGTTTTAGCTCATGAACCTGAAACTCTGACTCCCCTTGTTTAGTCGTGACTCTGGGCACCAGCAGGATGGTCTGACTCCTCAGAGTGTGAGATGTTCATTGAACATGTCCAGATGGACTTTTGGTGCTCGAATGGAGACACTTGTACAAACAGAGCTGCTTTAAAGTTCTGAGCACAGGGCCAGAGCAGAGACCTGAGACGGACTTATGTGCTCGTACTTCCTAGTTTGAGTCAGGACTGAGCTGCAGCGTTCTGGATGTTCTGGATTTCTGGATGTCTGGATGTTCTGATGTCTGGATGTTCTGGATGTTCTGGATGTTCTGATGTTCTGGATGTTCTGCAGCGTCTCACACTCGTTTGGAGGACAGTGAACAGAACATTCAGTATCTAGTTTTCCAAGTCTGAAGTAAACTTTGTTTTGCTATGTTTTTGATGGTAAAAGGCTGCAGATGTTATTGACTGTGCTGTTTAAGTTGGTCCATTATACCCGAATTTCTTGTGATTTGAAGTTTTAGAGAGAGAGACTGGAGGTGATGCTGACACTGTCCCTTTGTTGTGACAAACACTATGACTTCATCTTTGTAGAGTTTAGCTGGAGAAGTTGTTTGCATCAACACTGATCTGTTGATGCAATGACCAAGTGAGTCATAACAAGAACAAACAAGTTTAACAAACTCTCCATTCACTCCAAATCACTAAATCATTCAATTCCTTCATCCTCGGTGTCACTCTGAACAACTCAACCTCCGGAGGTAACAGACGCAAACTCTTCTGTGTCGCTGTCGTCAGACTCAGCATCAGTTCAGTTAGAATTATTCGGGTCTTTTCTGAAGTCTGGTCTCCATCCCCGCTTTTCCCCATGTCCCTCACAAGTTTCTCTCTCACTCCAAACTTTCTTTCTGCAGCAGGACAGAGGCTCTTTCTGCAGGAGACATGCGCAGTAGAGCCAAGTGACAGTGGTACAGGAGGAACAGGAGCAGCAGATCCTCACACACAAGACTAGAGCCTCTCCACGCTTCACTCTCAACACTTTAATATATTTATAAGTCACACCGGAGAATAAGTCACAGGAAACACCCAAACCATGACAGAAAGTGCAAGTTACAGTCCGAAAAATACGATATATTGGGAACAATTAAACGCAACCTTAACTAGTTTTCTGGGTTATGGAATTCCAAACATTGTTCAGTAAAGTATCTGGGAAATATATCCAAATTTTCTTTCTGCTCCTCAATTTCCGTTTTCAGCTGCAGATTTCACGATTCGCTGCTCGTAATCTGCAGAATATGATTTTGTTTTGGGGGGAATTTGTGTTCAGTCTTCTCAGTCATCTTTTTAAGTTTGTTTAAATGTTAAAGAGGCTCTTTCTGCAGGAGACATGCGCAGTAGAGCCAAGTGACAGTGGTGCAGGAGGAACAGGAGCAGCAGATACTCACACACAAGACCAGAACCTCTCCCCACTTCATTGTCAGCATTTTAATATATAAGTCACAGGAGTATGTCACAGGAAACACCCAAACCATGAGAAAAAGTGACACTTATAGTCCGAAAAATACAGTACTACTGCGAACAGAGCCCAAAGGAAGTTGTCATCTCATGTTTACATATGTCTTCCTGGTTTGTGACGTAAATGTGAACAGTGCCTCTTGACCAAAGCCTCTTGTGTGTGTTTTTGTGTGCAGAAGAAACTGGTGGTCGGTTTGCCGTCCTCCATCGTGACCGTGGACCTGCAGTGGTGTGAGTACGGCTCTTCGTGTGAGGACTGCGTTTTGGCTCAGGACCCGTACTGCGCCTGGTCCACGGCGGCGTCCAGGTGCACGGCGGCCGCTCCGTAAGTGCTCCTCTGGACAAACACACGCTTTTTACGCTTTAACCAGTGTTGAGAAGATGACTTTTAAAATGTATTCCCCTACAGATTACAGATTACATACCCCAAAATGTAGTTTGTAACTGAATCCATTAAATTACTTAAAGTGAGTAATGTAATCTGAATACTTTGGATTACTTGATTTGCTGTAAAGTAGCAAAGACGAGGAAATCTTCACATAAGACGTTTTATCTGCTAAAAGAAAATAAAAAGCCTAGACTTTACTTAACCTTATTAAAAATATTATTGATAGAAGAAGAGACACGTCCACACAGCATGATTTAGTTAAATCCTGTTTTAGACCTGGTTTAGACCTGGATTTAGGTCTGATTTACACCTGGTTTAGACCTGGGTTTAGACCTGTTTTATACCTGGTTTAGTCCTCTTGCTTTAGTCCTGTTTTAGACCTGGTTTAGTGTTCGGCAATGAGTGGAATTACTGAAAAAAAGAAAAAAAGAAAAAGGGATATAGCCCAAAATATGAAAACAGTAAAATACCGCCGTGTAATCAATTTATTTTAACAAAGTAACTGTAATCCAATTACCACTCACTGAAACAGTAACTGTAACTGAATACTCATAATTTTTACTCTGATTACCTAACTCCTTTACATGTAATCTGTTACTCCCCAACACTGGCTTTAACAAACTTCATGATCACACTGAATGCATTTTCTCTTGCAGAGGGAACATCCAGAAAGTAATGACTGGAAACCACACCGTGTGTCCACCAAAAGGTAAACATTAAGCTTTTGTCCAAACCATAGACAAAATAAACCACAGACCATAAACTGGATTTTCAAGATTCCAAACTGGGAAACACCCAGGTTGGGTTAGTATAAATAAAATAGTAAAAACAGCATGTTTACCACGTCTTGTGTCAGTCATGACCTGAGGAACTTCAGACTCTGCATTTCTTGCTTTATTGTCATTCACAAACACAGATTTCTGTTTTATGGTAAAACAAATGACAATTTATGCTCCTCTTTACTGTTGGCAGGATCAGATTAGTCAAAAATTGTGATAGTTCTGTTTTAGGCCTGGTTTAGACTCAGTGTTAGCCTGATTCATCAGACCTCGCAATTGCTGCTGTTTGGTCGTGACGTCTGTAATGCTCCAAATCCCATAGGAAAAAGGACAATAACGTCTTTCCCTAAACGTTTCCCCAAACATTCTCTTTGTTCTGGCTTTAAATCCTTGATCTGGGTTCTGGCTTTAAATCCTTGATCTGGGGAATCGTTGCCAACACAGAATGTCTGTCTTCGTCTACATCCATCTCGCCGCTTTGTTTATTGTTGTGCTGAAACACAAAAGGGACACAGACAGACGCCACCAGTTTGACGTCATGTCTTCACAGCTCACAGTTGATTTTTTTGATTGCGTCTACAACTTCTGAGGTTCTTGCAAATCGTCTAGTGTATTCAGATTCCTGACCTAGAGCTGGAGAGAATTAAATTGTGTGGAGGCACTAGGTGGATTCAGCCTGACTAACTCGATGTAGTCCTGATTTAGTCTTAGTTTAGTCCTGGTTTAGATCAGACTGGTCCAAAATAGAGAAAACCTGGGACATTTCTTGTATAAAACTGAGACAAATCAGTGGTTTTGTATAAATCTGCTGGGACAGGGGATGGAGGACTCAAAACTGGGACTGTCCCGGGTAAATAGGGACGTCTGGACACACTACCATAGACCAAAGACACAGCTAACATGGCTGTAACTGGACATAGCTAACCTCCTAGCCGGCGTGTACTTCCCTCTCTCCATAACTGCGGCTGTGAGTCTTTCTGGTCTGAAAAACACCAGGATCAGATAGAGATCAAAATATGAACATTAATAACAGTCAAATCATGTGCGTATTTCGCCAAGGTCAGTTCTGCTGTTCCGTTAGCGACAGGTTTGATTGACAGCGTTGCTAAGTGTCCGCTCTCTGCTAAACCAGCCGGGCGGACGGGAAGGGGCAACACCCTCACTCCCGATTAGCTCTGTGATTGCTAAGATACTCACAGTCGTAATTCCAAACATGAAACTCGACTCCGAATCTGCTCCTATAAGTTCAGCCCCGATGAGCTTCATTTGACTGGAGCCAAACGCTGTGGGTGACGTCACACTCACTCAGAACACCTCTTTACGCCGTCTGTGGTCCAGATCAACCAGTATCAGTGCGATAAAGAAACAGCACTGGCAGTGTTGGGCCGGCACAGCAAAGTCCTGCAGTTTGACTTGAGAAACTGGAGGACACTGCAGCGTCAGCCCCGCACTGCCAGCTCAGATCCTCTTTTCTTGGCCTAGGTCATCAGACGTATAATACTTCCTACGAGACAAGCACAGACAGGCTCGACTTCAGTGGAGAACACGATCGTTATGTCTCCTGGTCCCACCTTGATGGTAATAAACTTCTACAGCTTTAAATCATGTTATAAAGTTGTTACCTGGAGTTTTGTTATTAGGTTCTTTTTTCAGACCAAGAGTTTGTTTTTGATACTTGACAGTTTTGACTGCTCACTAGCGGCCTTCCTCAGAGTGGTCACTGTGACGTGTCCAGTCAGCTGATTTAAACAGGTTTTGACGATCTGCAAACTCTTGGTCTGAAAAAAGAACCTAATAACATACATTATCAGAAGACCAAATGAACCTGATTGGACTAAACCTTCAGTTGTGCTTTATTCATTCACAAACGTGCAAAATCCCTCAGTCGTCCAGGTAGAATCCACAGCAAAGGAGAAATTCACTTTGTCAACTGGACATTTATGACGTTTATTTAGTTTGAAAACATTGACAGTTCATCCAAGCTGCTTCTTCAGTTCTGGTCCGACACTGGAGCTCTTTGTTTTCATCATGGGCCTGAATTATTCTGCTAATATGACTCCACACTCAGTCCACATGAATAGGCCAAGCTACAAATAGAAACTGTAAACAAGTGTGTGTGTTCGTTTCAGAGTAGTTTCAGTGTAGTTAGCTCCTCCCTTCAGGCAGATAAAAGGTCCAACAGCGTCTGACCACAACTAAAGAGCTAATAAACTTTTGTCCAGTTGACAAATTGAATTTCCCCTTTGTCATTCACACATGTTTGAGCAACTCTTTTTTATTAGTCTGTCTACATCTCGAAAGCTCAGAATGCTCTGTTCCACTTTGTGATGTCATGAAGAGGTAGTTTAACAGCTCCTTTTACCTTTAGTTCAGTAGAGATCGGCAATTTCGGGGCTGAAATCATCCAAATGATTCTAGAGAAGGTGTATTAGTCTTAAAAACACAGTGGAGCACATTCTGTATTACCACATGATGACATCACAAGGTGGAGCAGAGCCTAAATGTGCAGGTTTGTGCGTTAAACATGTGTGACTGAAACAAAACACAACTCCAGGTCTGTTTGTGCTGAGGAAACAGATCAGAGAATATCCAAATATGGACCCTTTGAAATCTATAAAAAGTCTAGTTAATATTCGTATTTCTTGGGATTATAACGTTTCTGTTTGTGTTTCAGAGTCGCAGTCGCGCAGCAAACGGGAGGCACAGACCTCCCTGTCGGTTCACGTCGTGTCTCTGGACGTGCCCTTTTACCTCTCGTGCCCCATCGACTCGTTCCACGCAGAGTACCACTGGGAGCACGGGGCCCTGCGGAGCCCCTGTCTGCAGATGAAGTCCCACTGCCTCCACCTCATCCCCGCCGTGACCCAGGAGCACTACGGCAGCTACAAGTGCGTGTCCCGGGAGCAGGGCTACGAGAAGGTGGTGAAGGAGTATCTGCTCAAAGTCCAGGAGACGCGGGAGGTGGACAGCGGACGGGTCCCCGAATCGGACACCGGAGAAGACACCAGATCGGACACCGGAGAAGACACCAGATCGGACACCGGAGAAGACATTCGAGCTCACACGCCCAGGCTGAAAAACGCAGCACAGTCAGTGTCCCAGTGCGTGTGTCTAACGCTGGCGCTGCTCTTCGCAACTGTTTACCTCTAGCATCCTAAAATCTTGAAAATAATTGTTAAGAACTTTCGCTTTTCTTCCAGCTGATGTCATCAACATTCCCTCGGGGAGTGACGCTGACTAAAGGCACTGACGGCGCTGCTCTGTTTGTTACTCAATTTATTTTAATCTGAGTTTCGATTACGATTATTATTTATCACAATTTGACCACAAAGAACTGACTTAATTAGAACTACAACAGGTGATTTTGAGCTGATTTGTGCTCTTAAATAAGTTTCTCAAAAAAACGTAAGAGCTGCCGTAGAAACCAGGCCCCGGGGTCTAAGCATGGCCGCCCGTTCAAGTCAACGGGCCGAGCTCAATGCTGCATGACACCAGATTTGCCTTTAGCAGCGAGGTACTTCCTGTGGCTTTACCCGCAGTAGTGCTCTTTTCTCTCTTGGGCGCACGCCAATGTACACGAGCGTTTGCACGAGGAGCGCGGCCTCTGTATCACGTGATAACTTTGTGATCGCAGCTAGAGCAGAGCCAGAGCAAACGATTTACAGCATTAGTGTTACTAATATTTGCATTGTGTTGCCGTGGTAAGTGCTGAACATTTAACCACAGACATGCATACAGAACCAGCAGCATGACGTCACAGCAAAATATCAATAAGACAAAGATCCTGTGAATTTTCATTCGACAGTTGAACCAATCGATAAAATCCTCTCCATTTTAGGTTCATTTATTTATTGGTTTGTCAACAAAAGTACTTAAAGTAATTTTCTGTTGGTTCGGATCTAAGAGTGAGTCGACCTCTGAGACTTAAAGGCTGACTCGGCGTTTACGTAATATTGGCCATCTAATTTAAAGATCCGCTATTTAACTTTTTGATGATGAAGATCAGCTCTTCTAAGTCTGAGGCCATGGTTCTCGCCCGGAAAAAGGCGTCTTGTCGTCTCTGGGGTGGTGGAGAGTCTCTGCCTCAAGTGGAGGAGTTCAAGTATCTCGGGGTCTTGTTCTCGAGTGAGGGGAGGGAGGACAGAACGTGAGATTGACAGGTGGATCGGTGCAGCGTCGGCAGTGATGCGGTCGCTGTATCGGACCGTTGTGGTGAAGAGGAGCTGAGTCGAAAGGCGAAGCTCTTGATTTACTGTCAGTCTTCGTTCCTACTCTCACCTCTGGTCATGAGCTCTGGGTAATGACCGAAAGGACGAGATCGACGATACAAGCGGCAGAAATGAGTTTCCTCCGCAGGGTGTCTGGGTGCTCCCTTAGAGATAGAGTGAGGAGCTCAGTCACACGTGAGGAGCTCGGAGTAGAGCCGCTGCTCCTCCACGTCAAGAGGAGCAGCTGAGGCTCGGGCGTCTGTTCTGATGCCTCCTGGGCGCCTCCCTTGGGAGGTGATCCAGGCATGTCCCACCGGGATGAGGCCCCAGGGAAGACCCAGGACACGCTGGAGGGACTATGTCTCTGGGCTGGACTGGGAACACCTCTGTTCCCCCCGGAGGAGCTGGAGGAAGTGTCTGGGGTGAAGGAAGTCTGGGAGTCCCTGCTTAGACTGATGCCCCCGCGACCCGGCCCCGGATAAACGGAAGAAAATGGATGGATGTAACTTTTTTTTCTGGAAGGTCTCCCACCGTCTCTATGAGAAGTTATGACTTTTTTACCTCAAAGAATCACATTAATCTCATCCGTCATAAAAAGACACAGTGCGCCTTTAAAATCTCAAAGAAAGACAGGAAGGCGGAATGTCGGTGTTTTGTTTTTGTTTTGAGAAGTGTGTAGAGATTAAATCAAATACATTTCTATTTTTTAACAATTGCACTGAGCAGGTCATGAACCCGACTGTCCTCTGTGGACAGACGTGCTGCTCCTCCCTGGAATGAAAAACTGGAAAAAGAATGTCAGACCTCAGCCCAACAGTAAAACATGACTGAATACATACAGTATGACATACAGTATGTGCCTGTTTCACTTTTACCAACAAGTGTGTGTGGCAGAAAAAAAAATCCAACTTAAAAACAGAACAATTAATACAGAAAAATTTGAAAAAATATTTAACTCACAACTTAATTTTTTGTGATTACAAAAATGAAGGTTAATTTTCTTTTGACATTGCACTTTTTAAACATTTTAATATATATATATATTTATTTGTTGGAAGGACTGGGTATAATACTCCCTACAACCAGTGTTGTGAAGGTGACTTTTAAAATGTATTCCAATACAGATTACAGATTACATACCCCAAAATGTAGTTTGTAACAGAATCCATTAAATTACTTAAAGTGAGTAATGTAATCTGAATACTTTGGATTACTTGATTTGCTGTAGAGAAGCAAAGACGAGAAAATCGTGACATAAGATGTTTTGTCTGATAAAAGAAAATAAAAAGTCCAGACTTTACTGAACCAAATTAAAAATAGTATTGGTAGAAGAAGAGACACGTCCACACAGCAGGATTTAGTCCTGGTTTAGTTCTGGTTTAGTCCTGGTTTAGCACTAGTTTAGACCTGATTTTAGTCCTGGTTTAGTCCTGGTCTAGTCCTGGTTTAGTCCTAGGTTTAGACCTGGTTTAGTCCTGGTTTAGCCCTGGTTTAAATGTAGTTTAGACCTGGTTTTAGACCTAGTTTAAGACCTGGTTTAGATCTGGTTTAGACCTGGTTTATACATGGTTTAGTCCTGGTTTAATTCTCGTTTAAAACAGGAAAACACCGCTGTGTAATCCATTTATTTCAACAAAGTAACTGTAATCCAATTACCACTCACTGAAACAGTAACTGTAACTGAATACAGTTACTCATAATTTGTACTCTGATTACATAACTCCGGTACATGTAATCTGTTACTCCCCAACACTGATTACAACACCAGTACAGACAGACAGACCATGTTCTAATGTTCCCTCTTGAAAAACAGAGGTGGAGTTGTGTTTCTCTTTGTAACTCTTTTTTATTCGTCTGTCTACATCTCCAAAGCTCAAAACGCTCTGTTCCAACTTGTGATGTCATGAAGTGGCAGTTTTCAACTTAAAATCCACTTTTACCTTCAGTAGTTCAGTAGAGATCGGCAGTTCCAGGGCTGAAATCTTCCAAATGATTCTACTGAACGCGTATTAGGTTTAAAAACGCAGTGGAGCACTTCCTGTATGACTGCGTGACATCACAAATTGGAACAGAGTTTATAGTTGGAGAGAAGAACTCAGCCTAAATATGCAAGTCAAACAGAAACAGTTGTTTTGAGAAAAAGAATAAAAACCCACAATTTAATTTTCCTTTGTCCAGAAATTTGACGTTGTACTTTGTAAGCGCTTTAAAATCTTTATAGTATTTATTTTTTAGTATGATTATGCTGTGCTGTGCTATAATAAACTATTTTTATATTAATTGTCTCTTGTTTTGTTTAAAAAGAGTCTTCCTTTGATGTTTAAGTTGGATTCAGATGGTAGAATGTGGTTTTCCAGTGGACGGCCGTTATAAGTCTACGGGACATTCACTGTTTTTGAAATAAATGTGGTAAACAAAACATGTTTCTCCTTCTCGTTATTTTTTGTGATGAACTTTTTTATCATTTGCAGTTATACATATTTGAGTTTTTCTCTCTTTTAAACCCAACACCTCAACCTGAAACTTTCTATTGATGAGCATCTGCAGAAAACACACACATTAAAATATGTATTTGAGTTCGGTCAAGTGGTAACGGAGGGAAACAGGGGCAGATTTTTGACATTCAAATGTCTCTTATTCAGAAACTAGAGGAACTATTGAAATAAGTAAAGTATCAGAATGTAGGAAAGAGTTACACTCCAACAGGGTCAAGTTAAACCTGTGATATTCTTTCAAGTTGTTGACAAAATTTTTTTTAAAACTCATGTTGGTAACGGAGGGAATGAAATATGCAGCACTTTTTGGCCATGCGTTTGTCTCCAGTAGGTTAGATACTGTAATGTCCTGCTCACTGGTCTCTCCAAATGAGCTGTGAGACGCTGCAGAACATCCAGAACATCCAGAACATCCAGAACATCCAGAACATCCAGAACATCCAGAACATCCAGAACACTGCAGCTCGGGTCCTGACTCGAACTAGGAAGTACGAGCACATAAGTCCTGTGCTCAGGTCTCTGCTCTGGCTCCTGTGGCTCAGAGACTTTAAAGCAGCTCTGTTTGTACAAGTGTCTCCATGACCGAGCACCAAAGTCCATCTGTGACATGTTAGTGTCATATGAACATCTCACACTCTGAGGAGCTCAGGGACCAACTCCTGCTGGTGCCCAGAGTCACGACTAAACAAGGGGAGTCAGAGTTTCAGGTTCATGCAGCTAAAACCTGGAACAGTCTGAACATGTGAGACAGACTCTTCTGTGACGCTGTTTAAATCCAGACTCAAAACATTTCTGTTTAACTGTGCAAATAACTGAAAGGTTTTCATTCTGCACTCTTCTCTCCAATTTATGTCTCTCTTTTTTAATTTTAATCTTCATGTTTATTTATGTTTTGATTTGTTTTTATTATGATTTTAATGTATTTCTTATTCTGTAAAGCACTTTGAATTACTTTGTGTACGAATTGTGCTGTACAAATAAACTTGCCTTGCCTTGCCTAAATCCAAACAGTGATAACTCTTGGTTCTCACTTACATATCCTTAACAAACTGGTTTGAATATTTGCTTCATATAGTTTTCTACCATATGGTACAAGATTAGGTTGAAAAACCTCTTACTTTTTGACTCATGAGATTTTTTATTAAGAAAGGTCATGGTAACGGAGGGAAAAGTAACGGAGGGAAAATTGTACAAACAAGTAGAAGGTGCAGGATTTTACATCATTTGTCACTTTTTTCTTCCGAATACTTTAATATTACTTCAAAATGAAAGGAAACTATTTCTATAAAATATGTCAAGCAAAGTTTTATCATTTTAAATAATTTTTTTTGAACAATCCTGTCCCTTCATCAACAGTTCAAAGATGGAATAACACAAGATATGATGAAATACATCCATTTATTTACATGATTTTTAGGTCTTTGAAATTTGGGGAATAATTTTTGTTCCATGTTTCATACATGGTCTGTTTAAAACGTATGGAACTTTAGAACAAAAAATGGAACAGAAAAAAGGTCAACAGTTTCATAAACTAGAGTACATATGTATCTGTTCAATACATTTTTATAATCAGATGCAATTAACTTGAATTTTTGGCCTTGTTGTTTACTTCTGCTTGACCGGGCTCAGTTATCTCAGCTGAACACACTCGTGGCTCGTTCTTTTTACAACAGAAATCAAATATTGTTCAGAAAGTTCTTCCCAAGTCAGTCGGAGAAGTTTCCATAAATGTGTGGCACTTGTAGGTTGCTTCACTCTTTAGTCCAGTTCATCCCAAACCAGCTCCATGGGGTTTAAGTCTGTGCTGCTTTTACCATCTTGTTCTTTTTTTCCTGATGTGGTTTTGGCAGAGTCATGCCGGCTTCTGTGGCCTTTGGCCTCAGTTTTTCAAAGCCTGATCCCGTCAGATCTCAGAGGCTCAGCAGGGCCGGGCCTGGTCAGGACTTGGATGGAGACACTGGAGAAATCATCATTCTGAGATCTCTGTCCACACACTTAATCAATATTTTTCCTGAAAACCTGTTGTATATAATTAAATACTGTCCATGGTCTGTCCATGGTTTTCAGGAAATAGAGCAGGCGTGACTTTCTCTGCTTTTGGAACAACTTTGTACATTTTGAAAAGGTTAGTGTAAGAATTGCCTAAATATTCTTAGTGATTCTTCAATATGAACATTTACTTTCTTAGATTAATCTATGAAGTTTTCATATTTTTATTTTCATTTTATAGAAAAATCATGTTAAAATTGTATCAAATTTGATACAGTAGGTATTTTTGATTCTGTTCTTCATCATCACTACAATGACATTTTTAATGCAATCTTCATAATTCATGCAATTCTGTGCAAATTTAACACCACACAATTTTTAGTATTTCATAACTAAGATGTCATGAGCTCTGGGTATCGCCGATACAAGCGGCACAAATGAGTTTCCTCTGCAGGGTGTCTGGGTGCTTCCCTTAGAGATAGAGTGAGGACCTCAGTCACACAGGAGGAGCTCGGAGTAGAGCCGCTGCTCCTCCATGTCAAGAAGAGCCAGTTGAGGCTCGGGCTTCTGTTCTGATGTCTCCTGGGCATCTCCCTCAGGAGGTGTTCATGTCCCACCATGAGGAGGCCCTGGGAAAGACCCAGGACACACTGGAGGGACTTTGTCTCTGGACTGGCCTGGGAACACCTTGGGGATCAACCCTGGAGGAGCTGGAGGAAGTGTGTGTGGAAAAGGAAGTGTGGGAGTCCCTGCTTAGACTGATGCATCCGCAGCCTGGCCCTGAATAAAGAGGAAGAAAATGGATGAATGGAACTTAGATGTCACCTTAAAAATATATTTTCAATTATTGCACAATGGTGGAATTTGGATCTTTACATGACTTGTGTATAAATAAAAGGTGCAGTGGTTTATTTGGTGTAACTGTCCTGCCTCTTCTTATTTCACTCACAAAATCACCAATAATCTATATTTGACTGATTCAGAGGAAACACAGGATTCACTCATTTATTTTTGACATATATTTATAATCATTTCACACACGTGTACGGTGGAAAATGTGATGTAGATCTGAGCTTGAACAAAGACCGTAACTGTTTTCTCTCCTCCACATGGCAAAATAAAAATCATCCAGTTCAGACATTTAAAAACAGATTTATAAAATGGTCAAAGTTATCATTATTTTTTGTTTACGTTTTGTTCAAAGGTCCAATAAAGAGTTAAATATCAAAACATTAGAATTTTGTGAGGCTTTGTAGGGTTAATATTTTCGTTCCAACATTTGCGAGGTAGAATTTCAGATATTCTCTTGGAACGTCGTCTAATCAATGCCAGACCGTATTTGGCATCGCGTTCTCACATAACTGCATCGATCTGTCTGCTCCTCGGCCCCGTCTCCTCTCGTTTTATCCTTTTGTTTTTGTTGTGAACTAAAATATGCAGCGACGCCGTTCCACAGACGTTATTGTGGTCGGTGTGAACTGTAAATCCTGCGTCGCCGTGGAAACATATGCTAAAGAAATAACAGCGTGAAATTAAATCGAAAAAATGGATAACGGACTGAACCAGGACTGAACCAGAACTAAACCAGGACTGAATCAGGTCTAAATCAGGTCTAAACCAGGACTGAATCAGGTCTAAACCAGGACTAAACCAGGACTGAATCAGGACTAAACCAGGACTAAACCAGAACTAAACCAGGACTGAATCAGGACTAAACCAGGACTAAACCAGAACTAAACCAGGACTAAATCAGGGCTGAACCAGGTCTAAACCAGGAGTAAACTAGGACTGAACCAGGACTAAACCAGAACTAAACCAGGACTAAATCAGGTCTAAACCAGGACTAAACCAGGACTGAATCAGGACTAAACCAGGACTAAACCAGAACTAAACCAGGACTGAATCAGGACTAAACCAGGACTAAACCAGAACTAAACCAGGACTAAATCAGGGCTGAACCAGGTCTAAACCAGGACTAAACTAGGACTGAACCAGGACTAAACCAGAACTAAACCAGGACTAAATCAGGTCTAAATCAGGACTAAACCAGGACTAAACCAGGACTGAACCAGTCTCAGTCCTGTTTGGTCCTGGTCTCAGTCCTGGTCTGGTCCCAGTCTCAGTCCCGATCTGGTCCCAGTCTCAGTCCTTGTCTGGTCCCAGTCTCAGTCCTGGTCTGGTCCCAGTCTCAGTCCTTGTCTGGTCCCAGTCTCAGTCCTGGTCTAGTCCCAGTCTCAGTCCTGGTCTGGTCCCAGTCTCAGTCCTTGTCTAGTCCCAGTCTCAGTCCTGGTCTGGTCCCAGTCTCAGTCCTTGTCTGGTCCCAGTCTCAGTCCTGGTCTGGTCTCGGTCTCAGTCTTGTTCTCGTCCCGGTCTCAGTCCTGGTCTGGTCCCGGTCTCAGTTCTGATCACCCACCGGTCTATGTGGGCACAACTCCGGGCCCATCCCGACACTCAGTCCTGGTTCAGCCCTGGTTCAGCCCTGGTTCAGCCCTGGTTCAGTCCTGGTTCAGTCCTAGTTCAGTCCTGGTTCAGTCTTGGTTCAGTCCTAGTTCAGTCCTGGTTCAGTCTTGGTTCAGCCCTGGTTCAGTCCTGGTTCAGTCCTAGTTCAGTCCTGGTTCAGTCCTGGTTCAGTCCTGGTTCAGTCCTGGTTCAGTCCTGGTTCAGTCCTCAGTCCTGGTTCAGTCCTGGTTCAGTCCTGGTTCAGTCCTGGTTCAGTCCTGGTTCAGTCCTGGTTCAGTCCTGGTTCAGTCCTGGTTCAGTCCTGGTTCAGTCCTAGTTCAGTCCTAGTTCAGTCCTGGTTCAGTCCTGGTTCAGTCCTGGTTCAGTCCTGGTTCAGTCCTGGTTCAGTCCTGGTTCAGTCCTGGTTCAGCCCATTGTAAAACTGTAAATCTGCGTCGCCGTGGAAACATATGCCAAAGAAATAAGAGTGTGAGTCATGATTTCAGACTGAGGCGTTTGTTCCACTGTGGGGCCTCCTCACTTAACAATGTTTGGGTTCAGGTTCATACAGAAACGGGGGAAAACCAACGATAAAGAGCTCGAACAATCTGTGAGTCAGTCTTTTATTATTTGTCTCCAAAACCAAAATGAAAAAAACAGATCATGATTCGTTTTTTCAGTTTTTGATTTTGTGTTTAAATGAAAAATGGAAAAACATGAATAATGGACTGAACCAGGACTAAAACAGGACTAAACCAGGACTGAACTAGGACTAAAACAGGACTAAACCAGGACTGAACCAGGACTGAACTAGGACTAAAACAGGACTAAACCAGGACTGAACCAGGACTGAACTAGGACTAAAACAGGACTAAACCAGGACTGAACCAGGACTGAACTAGGACTAAAACAGGACTAAACCAGGACTGAACTAGGACTAAAACAGGACTAAACCAGGACTGAACCAGGACTGAACTAGGACTAAAACAGGACTAAACCAGGACTGAACCAGGACTAACTAGGACTAAACAGGACTAAAACCAGGACTGAACCAGGACTGAACTAGGACTAAAACAGGACTAAACCAGGACTGAACCAGGACTAACTAGGACTAAAACAGGACTAAACCAGGAACTGAACTAGGACTAAAACAGGACTAAACCAGGACTGAACCAGGACTGAACTAGGACTAAACAGGACTAAACCAGGACTGAACCAGGACTGAACTAGGACTAAAACAGGACTAAACCAGGACTGATCTAGGACTAAAACAGGACTAAACCAGGTCTCACCCAGGACTCAAACAGGACTCAACCAGGTCTAAACCAGGACTGAATCAGGACTAAACCACGTCTAAACCAGGACTAAACCAGAAGTGAACCAGAACTGAACCAGGTCTCAGTCCTGGTCTCGTCCTGGTCTGGATATAATATTCGTAAACTCATAAGTATTTTGCAAAACTAAGTATAATTTACCACATTAGCAAAGTATAGAGTGTATTTGTGATTAGTTTAAAGTTATCTTCATTGAGAAAAACAGTGCTTTTCTTTCAAAAATAAGGACATTTCTAAGTGACCCCAAACTTTTGAATGGAAGTGTATACAAGCCCACACATCACTGTTAGAAAGTACAAAGCTCTGAATAGTTGATTTTGCATGAGACGGGCCCTTTAAAATTCTTTTATTTACTTTTAAGTGTTTGCACGGCCCAGCGCCCTCCTGCCTCACTGACCTGATCCACCCTTATGTCCCCGTCTCGCACTCTCAGATCTGCAGACCAGCTCCAGCTCGCCGTCCCAAAACTAAACGTAAGCTTTGTGGGGACCGTGTGTTTTCTGTTTCTGCCCCTCGACTGTGAAGCCAGTCGCCTTTAGAGTTTAGAGGCCGAGTCTGGACCTTTTTTTAAATCACTCCTAAAAACGCTCCTTTTTTCACTGGCTTCTAACAAGTGACATGTACATTTCTTGTTATTGAAAACTTTACAGTTTTCTATGTTTTTAATAGTTGTATTGTGTTTGTGTAATTTATTCTACTGTGATTGTCCTTGTCTGTCCTGTGTTTGTGTACAGCACTCTGAGAGTGTTCTCTGGGCAGCTGTACAGTTTTTAAAGTGCTTTATAAATAAAGTTGTTTTGGTTTCAGATGGAGAAAATGCCCGCGCGCTTTGTGCGCTCGCTCGCGGTGTGCGCGCTGCTGGTCGCAGTGACGCAGTGCTGCCCTCAGCCCTGCACGTGCGTGCATAAAGCGGCGCAAAACCTGGCAAACTGCGCGTACAAAGAGCTTCTGCAGGTGCCCGCGGATCTGCCCCCCAGCATCACCACCCTGAGCCTCTCCGCCAACAAAATCAGTCTGCTCAAAAGTAAGAGCTTCGTGAACGTGACGCAGGTCAACTCCCTGTGGCTCGCCCATAATGAGATAGTGACCATCGAGAGGGACACGCTGGCCCCTCTGGTCCAGCTCAGAAACCTGGACATCAGCTACAACAAAATCATCAACTTTCCCTGGGAGGACCTGCAGAACCTGACGGCGCTGCAGCTGCTCAAGATGAACAATAATGAGATGGTGAGTCTCCCCAAAGACGCCTTCTCCACTCTGGCCGACCTCAGGTCCCTGCGCATCAACAACAACAAGTTCACCACCATCGTCCAGGGCACCTTCAGCACGCTGTCCTCCCTGTCCCACCTGCAGATCTTCAACAACCCTTTCTCCTGCTCCTGCGCCCTGGAGTGGCTCAGGGACTGGATCACCACCACAAAGATCTCAGTGCCGGAGCCTAATAATATCGTGTGTGAGAGTCCCGCACACCTGAAGGGCACTATGGTCACGAACATGCCTCAACTCAGCTGCAAAGCCCCCATCATCACCATCACGTACCAGCCCGACCTGGAGAGCACCGAGCTCAGTGAGGAGGGGCCTGTGTGAAAAGGCTCCTGGGGACCTGAGCTGTGGTTCTCTGGAGAAGAGCAGGAGGTTGAGGCGTGGTCCGTCAAACACTTTTCTCCATGGAGATGTTATTGCTTTGTCTGGAATGTTTCACAGTGTGGCTTTAAACCTTTGTATCTTCATGGAGACCAGACCAGAGTTACAGGTCAGATCTGTGGAGAGGCGACCCCGCTCACATCAAAATGTTTGTTTTTCAAGGTATTTTTGAGCCATAAAACCACCTGTAATTGAATAAATGTCAAGTAGAGCTGTTTAATGTCACACTGTGGAACATTCCAGCAGTGACATCTCCATAGAAACAAGCAGGTGACAGACCCTCCACCAGAAAACCTACACAATACAAAGTATAAGTCAAAGTATTAAAGTACTTGTTTAAAAATGTACTTGAAGAGCCAAAAGTAAAAGTGTTTTGCAGAAATGTTTAAAACCATTAAAAGATGAAATGTAGTGACTTTGCTCAAAAGAGTCAGTTTTGTGTCTCCCCCTTCAGACGACTTTAATCTCTGCAGGTCCCAGAACGACGAAGGAGCCTCAGATCCTCTACACCAGGAAAATTCTAGAGTCTGGGGCGCGTCTTTCCTTTTTAATCTGTTTGTTTTCGCTGTTATCAAAGTCTGGCATTTAACAAGGAGTGACATTATTTCGTTATTTTCTTCTGTTTCTCAAATTACACAAAGAGCCCATTATAAAACGCTCTTAAAAACTAATGGACCGTGCTGTCAATCTGCTTCCTGCGTTGATACTCGTCTAATTCCCACTGATGGCAATTCCAATAGTTCCAGGCTCCAGTCTCGTCGTGGCACAGACTCGATTGAAACGGCGCCACTCTGCAGCTCTGCCCTCGTAAATGCCCACCAGCTCTGCCACAGGAACATCTCCGGCAAAATCATCTCATATTTCCCCCCCCCCGGTCTAATCCTCAGACCAAACACGGCTCCTTTAAACGACCTGGACTGAATATTAAGATTCATTAGTCTCCAGTGTTGGGAGTAACGCATTATAAAAGTAATGTATTACAGTAATGCGTAGATTTTTGCTGTAATGCAGTAATGTTCGGCATTACAGGGGAAAAAATGTTAATATTTTACTCGGTACAAATGTGAGTAACGCGCGTTACAATGCTTTTTTAACCTGGATTGAAGTGGTGGGTTTTTCTTCATAGAAATTCGCTAAAATCACCATGAAATCAGCAGCGGTGAAACGCCAGAGACGCAGCCGGATAAACCTTCAGTTAACCGCGGGCGAAAGGACCAACCCGCTGTTTAGACCTGGTTTAGACCTGAGTCACTTCTGGTTTAGACCTGGTTTAAAGTCGTCCCTCGCTCTAACGTGGTTCACTTTTCGCGGTCTCGCTGTTTCGCTGTTTGTTTGTTTTTTGTTTGTTTTTTTTGTTTTTTTTTGTTTTGTGCAATTTTGCATGCCTTTTGTTTTTAGTGTATGAGCACGTATTGTGTTCCTCCCGCTGCGTCCTGATTGGCTGAGGGACTCCTGTCTCCTGTACAGTACAGAATGTGTTCAGCTGCCAAATTTAAATAAATGTTCAATCTGTATCAGTGTGATTCTGAAGTGTTGTACAGTTGCAAGTTTTCTCTCCGACAAAATCCACAACGTCGACGAAACGTTCTGCACCGACAAAGGCTCCTGCGTGCACTCGCATCCAAAAGACAGAGGAAGATGTAAACATCACACAAAAAGTTGGACTTCTGGACACGTTGAAGGAAGGTAGAAGTTATGCGCTGTAGCAGAGTCTTACACCGGGTCTTGTACCTGCAAATAGTTGCTGAAATCAGGACCGTGAGCCCGAGCAGCAGGGTCCATAAAGCGCGACAGCCGCTCTTACCTCCATGAGGTGTGGAGCAGAGCCGCTCCTTTCTCCTGCGTCACCTTCGAGCCCGTCCCCACAGTGAGTCCTAGTCCTAGTTCAGTCCTGGTTTTTAGTCCTGGTTCAGTCCTGGTTTCAGCTCTGGTTTAGTCCTGGTTCAGTCCATATACGGCTCAAAAGTTCAGCTTTTTCGCAGTTATTTTGGTGAGAGTAACTTAAAGTAATGCAATAGTAATGTAATGCCTTACATTTTAAATGCAGTAATATTGTAATGTAACGAATTACTTTGAAATGACAGTAATAATTAATAAATAACACATTACAGTTTTAAAGTAACTTGCCCAACAGTGTTAGTCTCTGGGTTTAGTACTTGATGGAAAAGGATTATTTGGCTGGTTTCACATTGGGCTGATTTGAAACTTTAAGTGGCTCCAACATTGGGGTAAAATTATAAAATATTGACACTTTATATTTAGCTGGAGGCCGAGTCCGAGTCCTGCGCTGTTTTAACGTACTGGAATTTTACGGGCGGGTATGTGGTGCGGATTACACACGGGCGGGTCAGGACTAAACCAGGACTAAACCAGGACTACACCAGGACTAGTCTTGGATTTAAGAGAGAGGGAGAAGCCCGAGCCCGTGTCCGCAAAACGCAGCACTTACCTCCATGTGGCGCGTAGATCTGCTCCGGTCCTTTCGCCTGCCGTCACTTGACGGACAACGCGGGCGCACCTCCGGACCTGTCCCGACAGTGAGTCCTGGTTCAGTCCTGGTTCAGTCCTGGATTAGTCCTGGATTAGTCCTTGTTCAGTCCTGGTTAGTCCTGGTTCAGTTCTGATTCAGTCCTGGTTCAGTCCTGGATTAGTCCAGGTTTAGTCCTAGTTCAGTCCTGGTTTAGTCCTGGTTCAGTCCAGGTTCAGTCCTGGTTTAGTCCTGGTTCAGTCCTGGTTCAGTCCTGGTTTAGTCCTGTTTTTAGTCCTGGTTTAGTCCTGGTTTAGTCCTGGTTTAGTCCTGTTTAGTCCTGGTTTAGTCCCGGTTCAGTCTGGTTCAGTCCCGGTTCAGTCCTGGTTTAGTCCGGTTTAGTCCTTTAGTCCTTTAGTCCTGGTTCATCCTGGTTTAGTCCTGGTTTAGTCCTGGTTTAGTCCTGGTTCAGTCCTGGTTTAGTCCTGGTTTAGTCCTGGTTCAGTCCTGGTTTAGTCTGGTTTAGTCTGGTTTAGTCTGGTTTAGTCCTGGTTTTAGTCCCGGTTTAGTCCGGTTCAGTCCTGGTTTAGTCCGGTTTAGTCGGGTTTAGTCCCGGTTCAGTCCTGTTTAGTCCTGGTTTCCTGGTTTAGTCCTGGTTTAGTCCCGGTTCAGTCCTGTTTTAGTCCTGGTTTAGTCCTAGTCTGGTTCTCCTGGTTTAGGTTTAGTCCTGGTTTCAGTCCTGGTTAGTCCTGGTTCAGTCAGTCCTGGTTTAGTCCTGGTTTAGTCCCTGGTCTAGTCCATGGTGTGTGTGTAAACGTGCACGCGTAAACGCGCTCGATCAATGTTTCTTCTGCTCAATAATTAATGTGTGTGAAGTGACGACGTGTTTTTGACAAGTCGAGTCGCGTCTGTGAATTTGTATTCGTCATGAAGAAAAAGCGAAGGGAAAGTGAAACCATTTAATTTCGTTGTAATTGTTGAAGTTGTAATTTTTTTCAGTTCGTATTCTGATGGACGCTTCAGTTAGAAGCTTGTAATTTGTGTGATTTACACGGACCCGAGCGGGTAACAGCTGGAATGTTCACGGGTCCCGGTGGTTTAACTTTGATATGATCGCGGGTTAACGGCGGGTGCGGTGCTGAACTGCTCGGGTGTGGACGGGTGCGGGTCTCCAAAAATGGACCTGTGCAGGACTCTGGTGTAGAGCCGTGTTGGGAGTAACGCGTTATAAAAGTAACGAATTTACAGTAATGCATTACTTTTTGCTGTAACGCAGTAATGTGGCATTTACAGGGGAAAAATAATGATATTTTACTCGGTACAAATGTGAGTAACGCGCGTTACAGTGTTTTTTTTAACCTGGATTGAAGTGGTGAGTTTTTCTTCATACAAATTTGCTAAAATCACCTCGATATCAGCAGCGTGAAACGCTGGAGATGCTCCTCATAGACTTTCAGGTAAAAAGGAAGGACTGACAAAGAACTCCACACTGTTTAGACCTGGTTTAGACCTGGTTTAGACCTGGTCAGTTTGGTTTAGACCTGGTTTAGACCTGGTTTAGACCTGGGTCAGTTCTGGTTTAGACCTGGTTTAGACCTGGGTCAGTTCTGGTTTAGACCTGGTTTAGACCTGGGTCAGTTCTGGTTTTAGACCTGGTTACACTCGTCCCGCCCTCTATCGCAGTTCACTTTTCGCGGTCCTGCTGTTTCGCAGATTTTTTATTTTTTTTTTTTTTTTTTTGTGCAATTTTGCATGCCTTTTTTTTTTTACATTGTATGAATGTTTATTGTGTTCCTCCCGCTGCGTCCTGATTGGCTGAGGGACTCCTGTCTCCTGTACAGTACAGAATGTGTTCAGCTGCCAAATTTAAATACATGTTCAATCTGTATCAGTGTGATTCTGAAGTGTCGACGAAACGTTCTGCACCGACAAAGGCTCCTGCGCTCGCACCCAAAAGACAGAGGAAGATGCAAACCATCGCACAAAAAGTTGGACTTCTGGACACGCTGAAGGAAGGTAGAAGTTACGCGCTGTAGCAGAATCTTGCACCGGGTCTTGTACCTGCAAATAGTTGCTGAAATCAGGGCCGTGAGCCCGAGCAGCAGGGTCCATAAAGAGCGATCGGGCGACAGCCGCTCTTACCTCCGTGAGGTGCGGAGCAGAGCCGCTCCTTTCTCCTGCGTCACCTTCGAGCCCGTCCTGACAGTGAGTCCTGTTTTAGTCCTAGTTCAGTTCTGGTTTAGTCCTGGTTTAGACCTGGTTTAGTCCTGGTTTAGTCCTGGTTCAGTCCATATACAGCGCAAAAGTTATTTTGGTGAGAGTAACTTAAAGTAATGCAATAGTAATGTAATGCCTTACATTTTAAATGCAGTAATATTGTAATGTAACGAATTACTTTGAAATGACAGTAATAGGTAATAAATAACACATTACAGTTTCAAAGTAACTTGCCCAACAGTGGTGTAGAGTGATCAGATTTTCAAAATCAAAACCTGTCACACTTGGTTTGTGGTGGTTTGTCATAATAAAATTGTGATTCGAGTGTCTAAGGAAAACTGTTCAGCACTCAACCCAGAACATATGTCAGTATAAACTCAAAAAAATGATTCTTTATATTTACTTAAAAACCTTGTATCAAGCGGTTGCACGCAGCCACATTGAGTAATTGTTGTAAAGCATGTTTATACAGTATAGACTTAGCGTACTTCAATAGATGCATCAAGAATCTCAGACTTCAGGTCATCGCTCATTTCATACTGCGAAGGATTTTCCGAAAAACTGAGCATCAAACCTCCATGTTTGTTTTCCCAGTGGGATGTGTCTCTTGTCAAAGTCGATCTTTTCAAGTCTTTTGAACCATATCACTTTTGTTTCTGGTTCTGATA